AGTGGAGATATTTGAGAATCGTCTGGATGCAATTCTGTGCAACGTGCCCTAGGATAACCCTGCCTGAGCACGGAGGTTGGACCAGATTACCCACTGTGATCCCTTCCAACCTTATCCAGTCTGTGATTCTGTGATCTTGATTAATTTTTATTTCACTTCTGCTCTCAAGAAAAATCTGTGGTCTGCAGCTTTGTGAAGGAAATTTGAATTCAAAGAGCTAAAATACTGTTAGTAAAACACACTAATCTTAGGCTGTCAAATGGTGGTCAAACCACAATCCAGCCTATACTACCCTCAGCTACTTTAGTATTCAGGCAAGTATTATTGTCTTTTGAATGTGTTTTCAGTTTTGTAATATCCATGCTTTGCTAGGAAGGAGGTATGTCTGTTCTTGGTTAAGAAGTCAACTGACTGAAAGCTTTGCTCTGGATGCAATTGTTTGCATTATAAAAATAATCTATTTTTCCCCTGGCTTTGGGTCCAACAATTATTGCATGCACAAGATCACACTTTTAGAACCACCTGTCTCAGTAGATGCCTTCTAAGATGAGCAGACACAAACCAAGAAGAAAATTTCTGACCTTCTATTACTTACTCCACAAAGCAAATGTTGTTTCAGAGAGAAGTGGAAAGGTCATACGTGATTTTGTGCTTCACATGAAGCCAAGAACAAAGGTCCTGGAAGCCCTCAACTGAGCATCAACAATAGTTATGGAAAACCATAGTCAGAGAAGGCTAGGTAAGGTTTCCTTCCTTCAGCTTTTTTCTGGTGAATAAAATTTATCTGATAAATCATAAAATCAGAAACAATCCTTACTGTTTTTCTACTGGATTTTTTTTTCAGGGGGGCAGGGAGGTGGAGAACAGAGTTTGGAACAATCCTCTACTTGCCCTTAATTTGTAATCTCTCTTGTGAAGAAGGAGATACTTTGTCTTGTTTCCCATGACTTGCCAGTATTTCTCAACTACAGCTTATTAAATGTGCATTATAAGGGCTTTTCTTCCCTTTTCTTCATTCTGTCTTTCTTTTTTTCTCTATTCTTTTTCCTTTCCTTTGTCTTTGTTACATTTTCTTCACTTCTTTTCACTCTTCTCCTCCCCTCTCTTTCTCAAAAGAATATCGAAGTTTTTTTTTTATCTACTTCTGTTTGTGCTTCTTTCCTTGCTTTTGGCTACTGAAATTTAGATCCTACAGGGTCTGAAAAGGTTGTGATACCCAGAGAGCTAATGAAAAGGGGACATCACAAATTGATGAAATCCAAAGACTGAAAGAAGAGATTTTAGTTGAGGTATTCACCATTTATTTTTGTTCTTTGTTTAATTAATAGTTAGGGTGGTGGGGGTTTTTTAATAATATCTTTATTAAACAAAAAAAAAAATTTTTTTTCAAGTAAACAATTACATCAGATCTCTGCAGATCCATTTTGTCCTTATAAAGAATGGATAAGAGGTATAAGTCTTATTTTTAGATTAATTGCAGGCTGCCATAAGAAAAAATTAGATGGTCTGAATGTTCCTGGCTGGGAAACACTGTATTTTTCTGCTAAGTTACGAAATTAGCTTTGTTGAGGGTAGCATGCCAAAAACTATTGTATTTGGGTTTGTTGCCCTGATAGGAAGTAAAATTTTTTTGTGTTTGTTTTCACTCTCTTGCCATGGGGAAATCCCCAGGGCTTTGCTTTCCCATTGCCAAGAGGAAGAACCAGAATATCTGTTCCATTTGCCAATTGGAAAGGCCTTTGTTATGTTCCATCCCGTAAAGAAAGAAATAATACTGCTACCCTGGACTTTGATAAAAAAAAAGAAAAACACCTGCTAAGAGAAAGTAATCCCCTTTCCTAACAGGTGGTTTAAGATACCCATTTAACAGGGTATCTGAGAATTATGCTGACCACAGATCTTTGAGAGACCTGTAACTATCCAATTTCATCCTCTCACTAAAGAGACATGGTCCAATTTTGCTGAGAGTTTAAGTACATAAAAGGTATTTACATACCCATTGCTCTCATGCTAATCTCCATGCAAAACAGGGCCATCTATGCTTTTTCTGCTTCAATAGATCAGTTACACAGCAATGGAAGGAAGGCTGTAGTTGTTTTAGTTCCAATTTCAAACAAGAATTTTCAAACTGCAAAACCTCAAAAAGGTGCAAGGAAAGCATAGGAACAAGTTAAGTCCATCAAATTGCCTTGATTTTAATTTTTGAATGTACTAGAAACCAAGTTAGTGGTGTCTGTTCAACAGGCTGGTAAATAAATGACCATGACTCAAAAGTTCCCTCATTTACCGCTGTGCCAAAGGCTAAAGCTGAGTAGGTTTGCACACAGGAAAGGAGAAACAACTGAAGAAGAAATGAACAATGTACGTGACAAATGACACTGAACAACACCCGTGGGAACCCAACTGGGTTAGGAGTAAAGGACCAGAGTCGGAACTGGCACACGCTACCTAGTGCAGGCTGGAAGGCAGAACCTGTGACTCTCCCAAGAAAATGCGGCTTGTGAGTGCTCACAGGCGAAACAGCTTTACAAGAAACAGGTAACAAATCAAGGATCGTTAACCATATACTACCTGCATAAGAAAAAAAGCCCCTTTCTTGTTAAAAAATGAACACAGATCTAATGTATCATCTCCTGAAGGTCTGAGTCTTCTGTTCAAGACTTTATGCTGCAGTAATAATGTAAAAAAATCCTGCAGGAAAACAATGACAAACATTCAGATTTACAGCCTTCTTATTAAGGCTTTAATTCAAATAAATTAAGAATTATAAGATTGTGACTACTCTGATTGTGTATGATGCATCATCATTTTGAGGTGCATGAGTTAGTCTCCTTACTAAATATGCCCATTTTAATTTAAATAACTTTCTGGTAACAACAGTCACATAAGGTAGTGTTTCAGCCACAAATAATGCAGGAAAGAACATTCTGCTTTTTTCTTTTGATACATTTGTTGGTTGGACTAAAATTTTTGAGCTTATACTATTGTAGCTGTACTGGCTACTGAAAAACAAGCCTAGGATGATGACCTCTGAATCAATAGCAAAGAAAAGGAGAATATTAGAGCAAGAAACTGAAGAGCTGACATGCTGGTTCTCACCATGGAAAAGGCCAATTCCTTTCTGAATAGTCTGCCAATGAAGTCACCTTTTTGTTTACTTCTGTGGAGTATTGACTCAGTCCTCAGTGTCTTGGAGCTGAAAATGCAGTTTGGAAAATTAGGCAATAGAATTTCTGTGCTCCTGTTTACCAAATTAAAAACTAATTTAAAAATATATGTTTTCAATGTCAAGAAAACTACTTATTTAATAATTGGGAAGGGGGGAGAATGGCTTCTGAACTACAACAGGAAAGCGTCTCAGCCCTCTTTTCAAATTCTATAGCATGGTTGTCATGATTATATATTGAAACAAATGTTTGAATCGATTATATGGTTCATTCAGCTGAAGTCCTCAATTAATGCACTATAGAAACAAGTCAGTATGCACACACGAAGGATAAAAACAGTTATGTTCAGTGTTTCAGTGTGATCATATGCTTCTTTTCAATCATCTGTGCATGTGTCAGGTTTTTTGCTGCAACATGAAAGACATACATCTTCACGTGGATTGGTCGGTTTTAAATGCAATAAATACAAAGGGTTGAGGGCTATGCATTGTCACATATACAGCATTTCTTAATGTAAGACAGAATTTATTTGATGAATGAGAAAATCTTAAAATCAAAAGCTGTGCTTTTTCAGGAAAAAGCTCCATTTGTCTTCAACTGTGTCAGCAGGACCCAGGTCTGGCTCTGCCTGTGCAGGGGGTGTTGCGCAGGCCAGAGGGGTTGGGACTGGAGCAGTGATGATGGCCGGGGCTGAGGGCACTGTGGGGCCACCCACACCCCTCTCCCCACGTGTTGCTGACCCTTGGTACTGTCACAGAATCACAGAAACACAGAATTGTTAGGGTTGCAAGGGACCTCTGGTGACCATCTAGTCCAACCCCTCTGCCAAGGCAGAGTCACCTAGAGCAGGTGACACAGGAACACATCCAAGTGGGTTTTGAATGTCTCCAGAGAGGGAGACTCCATGACCTCCCCGGCCAGCCTGGCAGTGACAGTGCTGTCACTTCCTTGTGTTAAGGTGAAACTTCATGTGTTTTAATTTATGAGCGTTGCTCCTTGTCCTATCACTAGGCACCACCGAAAAGAGTATGGCACCATCCTCTAGCACCCACCTTTGAGATATTTATATGCATTAATGAGATCTCCTCTCAGTCTTCTCTTCTCCAGACTAAACAGGCCCAGCTCCTGCAGTCTCTCCTCATAAGAGAGACGTTCCAGACCCCTAATCTTCTTTGTGCATAGCCGCTGGATCCTCTCCAGTAGCTCCTTGTCTTTCTTGTTTTGAGGCGCCCAGAACTGGACACAGCACTCTAGATGTGGCCTCACGAAAGCCAGGTAGAGGGGGAGGATCATCTCCCTCAGCCTGCTGGCCACACTCCTCCCGACGCACCCTAGGATACCGATGACCCTCCTGGCAGCAAGGGCACACTGCCGACTCATGGTCAACCGGTCACCCACTAAGACCCCCGGTTCCACGCCAGCCTCCCCCCGGCCGTGGCGGAACGGCCGCAGGGGGCGGGTCGCGGCGGCAGGAGAGGCACCGCCTCCCCGCCCGCCCGGCACTGCGGGGCTGGTCAGTGAGGAGGAGCGGCGGCGCGGAGCTCCTGGCGGGCGGGTGGAGGTGAGAGGCGCCGGGGCGGGAGGGGCTCCATCCCCGCCAGGCGCTCCCTGGCCCAGCCGCGCGGGGCTTTCCCCGCTGCCTATCGTGGTGGCGGCGGCGGCTGCGCCACGGCTGCCCCCGGCTCCGGGCAGGCTCTGGCGGTGCCGGGGCCCCACGGAGCGGAGCGGAGCGGCCCGGCCTGCCGCAGCCGCAAGGGTGCCGGGCAGCCGCCGCCCCGCGGCGGGCGGGCCTGGCAGCACTGCCCCGGCTGTGCCCGGGGGGCGGAGGGGCCGGGCGGGCGGTGTCACGGCGTGTTGTCGTTGCAGCTGGAGATGCCGGCCCGGACCAGGGCCCCGCCGAGCTGCCCTGCGCTGGATCCCCGCTCCGCGCTGCCGCCCGCCAGCCCGCCGAGGGGGCGCCGGCCCGCCCCCGGCCTCCCGCCATCCCCGCGCCCCGTAAGTGCCCGCCCGGGCAGGGGTCACACATCCAGTGCCCGCCCGGCTTGAGCTTGTTCGGTTTTTTCTTCCAGCAGTTGTTTGTCCAAGAGCAGTCTTTCACGAGTTTCACCGTCTGGCTGACACAGCGCTATGGTGGTCTCACCTTATCTTAAGAGCAAATGTCAAATTTACGTAATTTCTTTTATTTTTTAGAACTCTCAAGGCATATATTTTGTAAAAGAAGGTTGTTTTTTGTTGTAGTCTGTTCCTGAACAACCCACCTCAGCTACTTCTTGTCATCTGCTTCTTATTTACAAACGGATTGCTCAATAACTTGATGTAAAATCTGTCCAAAGGCTGAAGTTAGGCTAAAAAGTCTTTGCTTTCCTCAGTCCTCCTCCTCCATTCTTTTAATAGAATGTGCTAGTCTGCCTGTCTTGTCCTCTCTTGAGTTCTCAAGATGTCGCTTTAATTGGCATTTTAAACACCAAGAGTTGGTTTCATATGTCTGCTGACTTTAAAATCTTTATCCTTTACTCTCAATTTACCTTTTTTGACTTTGACCTCACCTTCTGTCTCCCTGTAAAAGGAATTTCATTAAATTGCCATTCACAGTTAACTTTTCTGCTGAGGGCTGAAATAAAGAAGACGTTTAACACTTTGTCCTACTTTGTATCACTTATCATTTGTTCCTTTTCCTCTGAAGTTATAAACTTTGCCTTCTGTCTTCTGTTTTTTATTGTATTTATGGAACCTTTACTTGTTACCATTTATGTTCTTTACTAGTTACAACTCACTTCTGTGCCATTGTTCTAATTTTATCCCTACACGATAGCACTGTCTTTTTAACTTTTTGTACTGTTCCGTAGCCATGCACACAAACCTTTATTTATTTATTTATTTATTTCTTGTGTGATTTTTCAGATCGTTAAGGCTCCCCTGTTTTAGTTAAAACAGTCTTACACACTGTTTCCTCTGAATTGCCATTGTGGATTTAATATAGTCCCTTTCAGTTACTGCTAGCTCTCTGCTCTCTTCCATCTCTTGGATTACTTGCCTTAGAGTCATGTCAACCTGTTCTCTGAGGTTTTTATATGAAGTCTGTTAGTTTTATTCTGTTACTCACATTGTATTTTCCTTAGAAAGGGAGAGAGAAACTTCGGCCAGTGGGCCAAATTAGCTCGCCAGAGTAATTCATCATCTCCAATTCCTATATGTGCACTCTCCTAAGGATCCTTTGGACTAAAACTGAAAGTGGGCTGCAGCAGGTTAAATGGTACTGGTGGCCCATTTCCTCATGGTTTCCTTTCAATCCCAAAGTTTTGCAGCACCTTCGTGTCGTATGGAATGAACTGAAGTGGGCCTCTGTAATCACATGGTGAACACATGCATGTTCTGTCATATCCAGTTATATCTCTTATCTGATCAAAATACAGCCATTCTCATTATGTTCCTAGGTGTTAATCCATCATGGTGCAGGAAATAGTTTGGTCATGTGTTAGATACATTCCAGGTCACATGGTAAGAAAGAAGTCAAGGCTTTTTTCAGTGCGTACATAAAAATCTCTGTGGTCTGCCTCTGCCAGAAAGATTCACTGTTAGAATCTTTTCTTGGAATACTAACTTTGTGGTCAGTTTCATGTATTGCTTTCCATCTTTAGCATCTGAGTTCAGTTTCAGTGAGTTCTTCCCTTCTAGACAAAGCTGAAATGAAAAGTACCCATTCTTTCAGTAGCTTCCTCCAATTTCAGAAACACAGAGCTACTTTTAATTGTGGGAGGTTGTTCACCACACATGCTGTATTCCTAGCCAATGGCTGGGTAAAGTGCCCCACTGATGATTAGGTAGCATCATATCACCTCTTGCATGGTGGCTCAGGAAGAGGTTCATTTGGTTCATCCTTTCTATGTGTTCTGCTTTTGATTGCTCTCAAGACAGCAACCTTGTGGATCTCTTTGCTGCTTGTTAGCCTGCCTTCCCTCATTGCCTCCTTCATTTTCAGAATTCATTCCTGTTCTAAAGTTATATGGGGTTTACCTGGCAAGGCTTTGGTAGTGGGAGGGGGGGTGGAGTGCTATAGGGGTGGCTTCTGTGAGCAGCTGCTGGAATCTTACCCTGTGTCTGAAGGGGCAGTGCCACCTGGGTCTGGGAGGGACCCACAGCTGGCCAGGGCTGAGCTCACCAGCGATGGTGGTAGCACCTCTGGGATAATATAGATAGGAAAAAGAAAGAAAAAAGTAGTTGTGGCCACAGAAGAGAGGAGTGAGAATATGTGAGAGGAACAACAATGTAGAGACCAAGGCCAGTGAAGGAGGAGAAGGAGGTGCTCTAAACGCTGGAGCAGACATTCCCCTGCAGCCCATGGTGCAGCCATGGTGGAGCAGCCTGTCCCCTGCAGCCCTGGGAAGTTCATGGTAGAGCAGAGAAGGGAGGAGCCCCACACCAGTGCAAGTGGATGCCCCAAGGAAGGCTGTGACCCTGTGGGAAGCCCTCTCTGGAGCAGGCTTCTGGCAGGACCTGTGGAGAGGTTTCCTGGTAGGACTTGTGACCCTGTGGGGAACCCCTGCTGGAGCAGCTTGTTCCTGAAGGACTGCAGTCCATGGAAGGGGGCCACACTGGAGCAGTTTGTGAAGAACTGTAGCCTGTGGGAAGGACTCAAGTTGAAGAAGTGCATGGAGGACTCTCCTGTGGGAGGGACCCCATGCTGGGGTAGGGGAAGGACTCCTCTCCTTGAGGAGGAAGCAGCAGCAGAAACAGCATGTGGTGAACTGACCAGCACCTCCATTCCCCATCTCCCTGCGCTGCTTTGGGGGAAGAAGTGGAGAATTGGGAATAAAGTTAAACCCAGGAAGGAGGAAGTGGTGGGAGGAAGGTGCTTTTTTGGGGATTTGTTTTGCTTCTCATTATCCTGCTCCAATTTTGATTGGTAATAAATTCGGTTAATTTCCCCAGGTCAAGTCTGTTTTGCCTATGACAGTAACTGGTGAGTGATCTCTTCCTGCCCTCATCTCAACTCATTTTTATTACATTTTCTCTCCCTTGCCCAGCTGAGAAGGGGAGTGATAGACCAGCTTTTTGGGCACCTGGCTTTCAGCCAGGGTCAAGCCACCACGACAGTGCAGAACCACTTACGTCATAACTGTGGTTTCATGTGAAGACTTCCCTGCTGGGGGTTGTTTTTTAATGTCTTTGTTACAGCTTTATTGCAGTTCTGTGACCACTTCTCTCTAAACATATAGTGGTTATTTCTTTTATTTTTTAGTGAGCCTTAGCCTCTGTCCTTCTTCTAAGCATCCCTTACTGCACTGAATTTGAGTCTTAAAACTATCTTCCCTTTTATTATTGCACGAAATCTGTCTTTTCCTCCCATTAGTTTTTTGTGGAATGCTGTCCCATGTGTTTGTGTCCAGGACTTATCTTACTGACCTGGTCAGAAATTTCTGTTGAGCATATTTGTAACCCATGGCCTTGGATCCTTTACCCTTGCATCCACAGTTAATCCTTATTCCTCCTTGGCCAGACCTAGCAGTCTGACCTAGAAATGTCATTAGTGATCTCATGACTAGGCCTTGATAAATTTCCCTTGTTGTCTTTGCCATTGGATCCATGTGGGCAGCCCATTTCCCAGGCTGACAGCTGGATGTCTGTCATGGTGATAGCCATGACATTTGCAGCTTTGAGACTTTTGCATCCCTTCCTTCATGACCAGTAGAGGATATCACAATAATAACCTGATAAGCTTTTAATGGAGTTCAACTTCCGTGAACTCACTGTCCTCATGCCAATCCCAGGCCAGCACTCTCTACTTTCTAGCATTTTCCATAATTATCCAGTTTTTCTAACATATTTCTTCTCATTTTTCTGTTGACTGTTGTGGTCTAGCATTCCAAGGCAGTGGAAGATAGGGAATAGGAGAAGATGGAAGAAATATTATTTACTAATGGAGCTGTATTATTGAAGTGCTTGAAGTGTTTTATATTTCTTATTGCTCCTTCTATTAGTGACACATTGCAAGACAAAATTGAAGAGCACATACTTTATTAAGAAGAAAATATAATATGGAACTTAGAACCAAAGATTTTGTTTCCATAGGTGTTTATGGATTCTGATGCCTCATAATTGTATGATGTTGCATTTTTCCTTCTGTTGTTTTCTCTTTTTCCTTTTCTCTTCTCCCCTCACCCCCCAAAGAAATCATTGTAGGTTTGGTGTCTTGGAAATATGGAATCAATCTCTATGATGGGGAGCCCCAAGAACCTCAATGAAACTTTTCTACCAAATGTTGCTAATGGTATCAAGGATGCCAGTAAGGTCACAATAGGCATCATTGGAAGTGGAGACTTCGCTAAGTCATTGACAATTAGACTCATCAGATGTGGGTACCATGTGGTCGTAGGAAGCAGGAACCCTAAACATGCTGCTGAGTTCTTTCCCCATGTGGTTGATGTCACTCATCATGAAGATGCAGTAGCAAAAACAAACATCATTTTTGTAGCCATACACAGAGAACATTACATCTCTTTGTGGGACCTCAAACATTTACTTGCTGGTAAAATTCTGATTGATGTCAGCAATAATACAAGAGTAGACCAATATCCGGACTCCAATGCAGAGTATTTGGCATCACTTTTTCCTGATTCCCTGATTGTCAAAGGATTCAATGTCATTTCAGCTTGGTCACTGCAGTTAGGACCAAAGGATGCCAGCAGACAGGTAAGTGGTATTATTGGTATAAATTTAAGTTGTAAGATGCAAATGACAGGAACTGAATGTAAGCAGCCAGAACTCATGGGATTCATTCTACCTGACTTAACGTACCTAATATCCTGGGTGGACCTTTAGCCTATGTTTTAATAGCCAATAAAATTTTCAGAGTCGAGTTCATCCCCTTGTAAGACATATAGACTAAGTGGTCCGAATTTTTCCCTGAGTTGCCTGTTTATCTTTAAAGATTGCAGGGGAAACATGGATACAATCTTAGAGTAGACAGATGACCTTTAAATGACTACAAACAGATGAGAGGAGTTGGTTCTTAATGTTTTCCATAGGAAATACGTTCACGTGTATCCTTGTGCTTTATACAAGGATAGAGACAGTCTTTCGCAGTATATTTGAGTTTCAGTATTGGGATAAACTATTGAAAAAGATGCATAGAAATCTGAGCTCCTGATCCCAGGGCTTAGGAGTCAGCTGTTCTAAAAATACTTGCTTCAAATAGCAGCAAAGGGATTGAAAGAAATTTTGTAGCTTTTAGTTGCCCCAAAATCATAAATATGAGGAAAAAGAAGGAGGCACACATGTTTCTAAGATTCATTAGATCCAGGACTACTTGAGAACATCATGTTCAAATTCCTTCCCAGTATGTTCCCCAAATCCATCCTGCATATAGAAAAGGCATCTTTATGTTTTTCATGCTTTGCTGAAGTCATACAAAGAATTTAAGCCTATTCAGGAATCGAGTCCTTCACAGCTTTTATGGCCTCTGAGAAATACATGAGAAATGACTGGTGTAATGTGACTACTTTGAGAGATTAAATTGAGTTTTCTGACTCTTCATGTAGATTTAAATGGAATGCAATTAATACAGAATTAGCGTAATTTTAAAAATAACCTCGCCAGACTCCTTTTATCCCCTTTCAGAATAGCACTGCACTGTAAGTAATTCACTTCTGTCAAAACAGATCATGTTTGCTCTAATGCAGATGATCAGCAAACAGTGTTGGGCAAACTATAGCCCACTGTAAATTTTAAAAGAACCTTAAAGTACTTTGTAGCAGTGCATTTTTTCACTGTGTAATAAACTGGTCTCTAGAACTAGTTATTATCTGGCTTCTAGTTTTTGTCTTTGCTGATAAACATTCAAATCTGGAATCCGTGGAAGTTTGCATTGTGAAATGAAGCTAAAATTATTATATATCAAGAGATTACATAGTTCTCTGCTTTGCATTCTGTTTATGCTACAGCTGTTTTAGGGTCATCATTCAAGATTCCTGTATTTTTGAGAGAACTTGTGATTTTCTGAAATGCTTTTAGCCATTGTTTCAAGTTCGATCCAGTCCTATAGACATTTCGGTATGAGGGGTTTCAGTGTGCAGATTGCAGGACATCCCACAGTCAGCTCATCAGTTACACCAAGATAAAGCCAATTTGTTTTGTTTACTGTTTTGCTAAATCAATGGGCATATTTGCACTTTGGCTGGATTTTTATGTGATTTCATTCTCATCTTGGTGATATGAGGTGGGATAACAGTGTACAGTTTTAGCAGTAGTGTCATAGTTTTGATCTGAAGGACCTTAAGGTTTTTGTGGGGTTTCGTTGGGGATTTTTTACCTTTGAGTCTCTTTCTGTGACTACAGACAATTGCCTTGACTTTCTCAACAGGTCTATATATGCAGTAACAATGTTCAGGCTCGCCATCAAGTTATTGAGCTTGCCCGTAAGCTCAGTTTTATTCCTATTGATGTGGGGGCATTGACATCTTCAAGGGAAATTGAAAACTTGCCTCTGCGACTGTTCACCCTGTGGAAGGGGCCTGTACTGATTGCTATTAGCCTGGCAACATTTTTCTTCATCTATTCCTTCGTCAGAGATGTAATCCATCCGTACATGAGAAACCAGCAGAGCGACTTTTACAAGATTCCCATTGAGATCGTGAACAAGACTCTGCCAATTGTTGCAATCACTTTACTTTCTCTAGTGTATTTATCGGGACTTATTGCAGCTGCTTACCAACTTTACTATGGCACTAAGTATCGGCGGTTTCCACCTTGGCTGGACAACTGGCTCCAGTGTCGAAAGCAGCTTGGACTGCTCAGTTTCTTCTTTGCAACAGTGCACGTGGTGTACAGCCTGTGCTTACCCATGAGGAGATCGGAGCGGTACTTGTTCCTCAACCTGGCGTATCAACAGGTGAGACAGTCTTTAGGTCAGTGAGCCAAAAAGGCCTTTGCTGTGTGCATATGGCTCCTGAATACAATATATATGTTTTCTTAGTTTTTTCTAGTGTTTTCAGCACAGAATGTAATGTGTTATGCACAGCTGGTGCCAAATAAGGAGACTAAAAGAAACATCTGTGCATTTTGCTCAGCTTGTGGGTCAAACTGCAGTCACATTTGTGTGGTAGGGGGAGTCAAGGACGTGTCCTACTGAAAGTCCTGATAGTAATATACACAAGGAGAATATAGGATAGACAGGATAAGAGCAACAGCAGGAAAATTCTGAGGTATGTTCCTCTCTATGTATACTTAACATATGGGGGAAGTATGTATATACTTCATAAGTGCATTTACAAGTATGAAAAGTATAAGGGTAGATACATGTACCCCTACAGATACATCTATGTTAAAAAAAAAGGAAAAGAAAATGCTGATACTTTTTAACATTTTGGACCAGTGGTAAAAGGACTTTATTCATTTAAAATTCTGTGAACATAATCTCTTGCAGGCAATAGAGATTGACTCACAGTTCCCAGGAACAATTGGTCTTGCATAACCCTGAAACAATCTCCGACAAATCTGTCATCCTTTAGAAGGGGGTCTGACTCTCCTGTCTGTCAGTGAGGCAGCTTACTGTCACCTTTAAAGTAGCTGAGAAGCAGCACTGCCAGAAAAACAGCATTGCCATTCTGCATATAAAATCTGTGGGAAAGAGAGGTGTGATAGAACAGAAAGGAAAATGCACTAAGGAAATAAAATTGAATGGAACAAATTAACAGAGATTGGGTCCACAAACTCTGAAAGGGCTAGCACGAAAAACTGAACTTAAGGGAAAGACAGGAGGGGCAAAACTATGGAAGACAGCAAGAAACTATAATTGTTCACACTTAGAATTAGTAATACTAAGGGATCCACTGACGCTTTTACTAAGAAATTACTTTTAATGATATTGTAAAACTCTCACTTGCTCATATTGCTAGTGAACCTCTTTCAAGGCATGTCATATTGCAATAGTCCACCTGAAAGTGGAAAATAATTTAATATCCAAGCTTCTTAATTGTTAAGGTCCTGAGTTGTTTCTTTTTTCTGGTAAGGCTCTCTAATGAGAACCCTGAGACTAGCTCAGCTGGTTAGAGCCTGGTGCTAATAACACCAAGGTTGTGGGCTCAATCCCTCTGTGAGCCATTCACTTAAGAGTTGGACATTTTGGGTCCCTTTCAACTCAGAATATTCTGTGTATCTGATGTCAGTAGTGAAAGAGACAAACTAGCTTGGACTAGGGAGATAAAGCAAAATTGGGAAATTATGCTAAACTATTTCCAAATGTAACAAACTAAAAACAAATCGCAGGTTTATTCAATTTGTGTACAGAATTTAAATTTGCAGGGTCTGAAGGATACATCTGCTTTTCTACTGTGCATAGGAATGTGCAGAATTACCTGATTTTATAACAGAATTGTTGTAAGTGGCTTATAATGTTACATTTTCGTTTAACATCTAAATTTCCTTGTTTAATATATTTTTAATCTAGCAAGAGCCAGTCCCAGCAGTAAGGAAATAGTTGTTTTTCTCCGAGACATGAGGAAACCTCTGAAGTATTTGACCCCATTTTATAGTTGTCCTGCCACTGTGGACTTTTAAGTCTGCAAAATAACTTCTGTTGGTATTTTTAATATTCTGTAGAATAAAGTTCTTCCTTTTTTCTTTTTCATCAGGTTCATGCAAATGTTGAAAATTCTTGGAATGAGGAAGAAGTGTGGCGAATTGAAATGTATATTTCCTTTGGAATAATGAGTCTTGGATTGCTTTCTTTGCTGGCAGTAACTTCCATCCCTTCAGTAAACAGTGCCTTAAACTGGAGGGAGTTCAGTTTTATTCAGGTATGTTACTTTTTGAATAATGGGGTTTTGTTGTTAACAAGAATTCTTCGATCATCATCACGATCACAAACAAAAGCAAATTGCAACATGACAAGAGCTTTTTTTTCCTCTCTGGTAATTTAATAAAAACAACATATCCTTACTTAGCAAATATATTACCATGGAGGCACATTAAGCATTTCATAAATGTTAGAATAGGACTTTACATTTTACACTTCTTGGTCTTAAATAATCAACATAGCTAAGACCAAATGATCACTAATCTATTCCTTTTCCAGTGTTAAAATTTCTTGCTAAATTCAAATTAGATAAATTTGGACAAACTTGCTAAAGGCAGTGATACTGATGGGATACTACTATATGTAGATGCACACAACTGTTAAAACTGAAGACTTAATTTGTCCTACAGGATTTTTATTGCACAGCCCTCTGACAGCCATGGTGTCATTGATTTAGTTTTGCTTCCCACAAGTGAGGGACTTGATACAGCTCTCAGCTGCATTATTTCCATTAGCTGAAAATGTAAAATGAAAATTTGTAAAACATAAAGTTTTGTTTATTAAAATCAGAGGCTTTTCCAGGCCCTGGCACACCTGCTGCCTTCCTTCCTCAGATAAATATCTACAACAGGCAGGCTTAATCAACATAAAATAATGAGAAATATTGGCTTTAATAAACATCTTAGTATTTGCTTCTACACAAAGTTGCCATTAGTTTTAGGTAGCAGTCAGGCATAGGAAATTTTATTAGGATTTGGTCTGATGAAAATTTCCTAAGTGTGTACAGTTTGGGGTTTTGTTATGTTTTGTTTTGTTTTCTGACTTTGACTTCAGTACTGTAGTCTTAACTCAGTCTTCTCTGATTAACAGTTTTTTCAGCATAGCCATTGTAATAATATTGCCTAATTCTTAGTCCTGTTCACTTCAGAACACAGGCACTGACTTTACTGTTCAGCGCTTCAGTTGCACTTTACAGACATTTTAAAGGGAGTGGTGGGGAACTCTTCAATGGCTATAGGTGTCTGAGGTCTTCTGTCTGTAAGGTAATGTCTTCCCTTCCCCTTGGGTTTCCGTTGCTGGAACACTGCAGGTAGACCTACAAAAAGTTTGCTGAAAAGTTTTCCAAAGTAGAATTATCCTGACAGAACTGTCTATCCACACTCCTGGCTTTGAGCCTTCAGAGCAAGTAAATACCCAATTGTATTGTTACAACATCTCTGCCATCTGGAGTTCTCTGTGTGTGGACAATGGTACTGCTATTGGGTGATTTAAAACATTAGTGTAAAAGGGAAAAACATGTTTTCACTCGTGAGTGACATGATGTCTTTATCCAGTAATGACTTCCAGACACAAACACAGCATTATTTTTCCTTTCTCAAATTTCCAAATTTTGGGCTTATGTGACTGAATCAACCCACACAACAAGCATAATGATGTATATCTGCATGGGCATTTTTTATTGTATCATATTTACTGCAGTTATTTCCACTGTAAACAAGTCAAAATAGTTCCAAATTTTAACAAATATGAACTCTAATGAATCATCTATGAGTATTTTGCTCTGGAGGTATGTTACAGTTGAAACTGCATTATGTACTGAAAAGAACTGGTATTAGTAATTAATTATGATCATTTGCAATTTTTAATCACAAAAAACACTGAACTACTAAAAATTTCCTTAAAGTTAATGAATATTAAAGATACTTTACTTTGTCATTAATTACTTCTCAGGATGTAAGTTGTTCTTCATTACTTGTCCAAAAAAATTGTCTTTTTTTTTTCAATCAGAAAACAGACTTTCACTGATTCCTTACTAAAGTAAAAAGAGTCTGTATTTCTGCACAACCTTCATTGTACCCAGTATGCAAGTAGAACAGATAAAACATCATAGTAGTTACTGTCTTTTATATTTTTCTTCTACTGATGTGCAGTAAGATGAAGCAAATTTGAACTTCATTTTCTCAATCTTCTCTTAAGTCAGAGGGACAAACAATGGAACTACTAGCCCACCATCTCAATGCTGCTTTTCTTTTAGCTGGGAAAAGCAGTATGTTTCTAGCTTTAGTCCTGAATCTCAGATGATTTGCCACAACAGTTGCTGAACTTCTTTTGCTTCTGACGGATGAAGAATCAGTCAGTCAGCACACTCAGACGGTTTCTCAGCTCGGCACTTCCCACCGAGAATAACATACTATTGCTTGCTCATCTTAGTAAATGCAGTTTCATCAAAATAAGGGTCTGGCCTCTTCTGAAGAGTTTTACCACTAGGACATATTCAGTCTTAAGTCCTACTAGGAAAATCTGAATTTATTAACATATACAGTATAGACTATTTTCTAGCCCCGTTCCAGTAGTACAAGCCCTAAGTAGCATCTCCCCTACCCACAGTGGTTCAAACCAACTTTACCACAGTCTTCCTAATACTGTAAAGAAACCCCAGTTGTGAATGTTTTTGCCCAGAAATCATTGTTGTCTTTGATATCCCAAATTATATTTTGGAGATGCCTCCATCTTGCCTAGCCTGGCTTCACAGCACAGGTGTCAGGAGCCCCAAAAATTCCAGCCTGCGTCATCAGGGAAAAAGGACTTTGAGAGGACAAGCAGTGCAGGTTCCACTCGTTCCCTCAGAGTATAAATATGAACAAAGTAAGATATGAGAAAGTTTAATAGTGCAAAAGGAAGTTACTGTGTCAGTCCTAGAGGGAGCTAGGAGACCAGCAGAAAACTTGGAATTGCTGCAGTACAGAGCTGACTACTGTACAAAACAAAGATCTGATCACTTCATCATGATTCAGAGAGAAACACTCATAACATCTGGATAGAGGAGCCACAAAACGAGGCAGTGATGAAGAGTTTGCTCAGTAGGAGATCCTAGATGATGGGCACTTAGAATGAAACTTTGCAGGCATTGAAGCTTGCTGAGGAAAGCAGCAGGGAAGAAAGCTGGGGCTGATAAACTAATGCATTGGTTTGCTTAAATGCCACTTCAGTACTCTTCTTTTTTTCTTCTAAACATATTTGGATAAGGAACAAAGATAGACATGGACAAGAAATACAAAAGAATTCATATTTTGCCATAGCAGGCAGAATAAACAGCCTAAACCAACACACTGCAAACAGAAAAAGGAATTTATTGAAACCAGTCCTTGAGCAGTCACATAAAATACAAGGAAATGGGGAATGTGGTTTGCAAGCAGTGCTGCACTGGACCTTCAGTCTTCTGAGGGAAGTTAAACCGTAAATATATAATGTAAGCATTAGTGACTGCTGCTTTTGTTTTCCAGTCTAAAAGTTGAAGTCCAAAACCCATCACTCAAAGTGGCAGTGGACAGAGCAGACTGGTTTTGAAAGCTGAGCTTTATGTTTTTTAGCAAAAATCAGCACAACTCGACCATTTATGTAATGGGAAGCTGACCTTTTGTAGACATTCCTTTTCTCTGCTAGCACAATCCTAAAGCTTTTTGGAGACAGTATTACTAAAACTTTTCTTGTGCATACGCTTTGAGGAAGGGCTGCCCTGCCTTGGTTCTCCCACAAGAATAGGATACTTCTTCCCCAGAGTAGAGAAGATTGAGGCCTGAGTATTTAGCAAGTTTATGGGTAAGATTCCAAGCAGAGTTGCTACCGGTGGTTTATAAGTTTAGCAGTATCCTGTTACTAGGGGAATCCAGTGTATATCTTGCGTAAATGTAGACTTTAGAAAGTACCTTTTGTAAATATAAATTGCTTGGAATTATTCAACCACTGTGAAGGTAGAAATTCCTGAAAAAGATTTGCCCTACAGCAGATTATTGTCTCAATATATGTACATTTTTCTGGTAACATTTTAGGGATTTTTCTCTTTCATCTTTTCCACTCCTCTAACTTTTGTTGTTTCTTTTCCCAAACAATGCCAGTTTGTCCAGTATATTAGTAGTCCTGGCTGGGAATCTCCCATATTGGCTAAAAGACTGATCAGGAAGGAAAAGAAACAAACCAGGGAAGACCTAGAGAAAAGCTAAAAGATTGGAGAATCCATAGGAAATGTGCTAATCTCTTACTCAACTTTCAGGAAACACAGTATTATGGAAGATAAGGAAGCAAAGCAACCAAAGATATTCTTGCCCTTTTCCCAGCAGCCATCCTAGAGCCTAGGCAGAGGGTTCCCAAGATTTACAACTGATGTTGCTGCTCTCTGTCCTATGTGAATTTACCAGTGAAGAAAAAGTATTGCTTCTTGCTGCTTTCAGAAGTCCTCTGCTTTTAAAGGAGTTATCATCCAGTTCCTGGTGGCAGTAATTAAGGGCCTGGTAGAAGAAGATAGCACTAGTAGCTGACAGAAGCTCCTATAGGAATGTCTTTGTTAGATTTTTAGATGTGTGGTTGAAATTGTCCAGTGCACACTAACACATGCCCTACCACCACTTCAAAGAAGCATGCCACAGGGCAAAAAAAAAAACAACTTAATAAAGGTGCATCGTTTTTCTTGTCCTTGTGTTGTTAGTTCAAAATATACTGATGTACTTCTTAGCTTCCATTCTGCCATTAGATAGAAAGACTTGTATAGATGTCTCAAAACTGGAGCTTGCAAATTGAATTTAAATAAGCACTAAAATTAAAAAAATAAAGGGAAATGACTCTGTAAGATTTCCCTTTTGTTTCTTTTTCAAGAATTGTTATAGTTCTCATCATTAATCCTGATGAAGAAGTGAAGGATATGATTCACTTGTGCCCTTCTCCCTGTTGGCGGTGATATAACAACTATGAATTCAGAACAGTCATACCAGCAAAAATCTGCAATAACATATTAAAGCATCAGATTCGATAGTATTGTTTTCTGTCCAAACTTCTTACCAGAGCTTCCGTTCAGATACCGCATGTGCCATTTTCATATCTACAAGTGTTACTCTCAGTGTTTCTTATGGAATATTTTGGCAGCAAATCGTTCTTTTTTTTAAAAAAAGTGTGCAGCATATCTAAAGCGTAACAACAAGGCCCTGAAACCATTGGCAAAAAAGGTGCATAAATACTGGCAAGTCAACAGGGTACCAATCCCAAGAAATTAACAGAAGTATTTTCCTTTTATACTATTATATCTGGGAATCCTTGCAAATGGTATTAGACATTCTCCTTTCCCTAGAAACTGCTTAATCTTGAAGTAGATGGAATTATTTCTTTTACTACCTATTATAGACCCATAGGCTGCATTTTTCTTTGTGTCTTCATTTACTGGAATTAAACAATACCTTGGTAGCCGCTTACCTTTCTTAATAGTCTTTCTCTGTTTCAATAATATTCTACAAATGTTTCCTAACATTTGTAGTTGGTCATTACATCAGTTTGGGCCAAAAAGAGGTTTTTTTCATTTGATCACCAGCAAAAGTCAAAGCATAGTAGTCTTTTTTATCATGGTTTGGGAAAGTTAATACTTTAATAAATATTGAATTGAAATTTGACAATTTAATAATTGTCAAGTCTTCAGAGCATTACAACTACAGGGTCCTTAAAAAGGCAGATTCACAGAAACAGTGACCCCTATTATCACCACCTTCTGTGGCATGCTCTAGGTAAGAGGTCCTCTGCAGGGTGCTGTGGGAACCTTCTACTTCACCTTTCATCCAGCACTGCCCGTTTATGATAAATTGCATCATTGTTTTGTGCTGTTATGCCCAAGCCCTGCAGTTCAGATATCCCCGTTAACCACTTGGGAACAGCTGATGGAGAAAAGTAAGGCATGGTTTATGCTAATGTCAGACAAGTGGGTGCAAGCCTTTGTAAGGAAGAAGTAAGCTGCACATCTCAGAGTGATAAAAATCTGCAATGTTAGACCCAAATCCCTTCCAGCAGAATTGCATTGTTTCATAATAAGGCATCTTGGAAGTGATCTATTCTCATAGTTAAGAAACAGGAAACTTAATTTCCAATCACAATGGATGTTGTTCCAGTAACTACATTGGAGTTGTTCCTTATTTGCATACATATCCTGAAGTTGACTTCCATTGCTTAGGATTTGGGCAGACATCATTTCAGTTTTGACTGAAAGGCCTATAGATGTTAGCAGAGATACATTGTAAATCAGTGCTCAGTTCAGTCTGTGATTTTCAGAACATGTGAACTTACAACCACATATTGCTAATTTAATATAGTGAATAGGTAAGAGATTTTAACATGTCTAATAAATGTTAAAATAATGGGTTAGAGCTGTCAGATGAAGGACCAAGTACTATTATATCTCTCTTTTTTTCCCTGTTTTCTCTTTTTTCAAAGTCGACACTTGGATACGTTGCTCTGCTTATAAGTACTTTCCATGTATTGATTTACGGATGGAAAAGAGCTTTTGAAGAAGAGTATTACAGATTTTATACACCACCAAATTTTGTTCTTGCCCTTGTTCTGCCTTCCATTGTAATTCTAGGTAAGATCATTTTACTTTTGCCATGTGTAAGTAGGAAACTGAGGAGAATTCGAAGAGGATGGGAGAAAAGCCGTGTTATAGAAGAAGTAAGTGGGTCTGTTCCACATCTCTCCCCAGAAAGGATAACTGTAATGTGATCATATTTGTTATCACTGTTGTACATGTTTGAGTTTTTTGTCATAAACTTGTATTTTTAGAAGTTTCGTTAAGTAGGAGTAAAGTCACTTGCTTGGCATATGGTACAAGCTATGATACTACCAAACTATGAGAAGTTTATAACTGGATGACTATTACTTCTGATAACTACAAAAATATTTTTGTTTTGAATTACAGAGAGCAGATTATTATGAAATCAGAAATTTTTTAATGTTCCTTTCCACAGTTACATCACAACAGTATTTTATTATAATTATGCTTTTCAGATACTTCTTTGACTTAGAGCATATGCGTCAGAGTGCTGTTTATTAATACCACATTTTCAGGGCAGTACTTCTTCTAGTAAAACCACACTTCTGTTACTGAGTTCAGAATATAGATAAATAATTTAGGACATAATCATGTTTTGAAACAAATTAATTTGTAATGATCACAGAATCATATAATCACAGAACAGTTTGAGTTGGAAGGGACCTTAAAGATCATCTGGTTCCAACCTCCCTGCCATGGGCAGGGACAACTTCCAATAGACCAGGTTGCTCAAAGCCCCTTCCAACTTGGCCTTGAACACTGGCAAGGGATGGGGTATCCACAGCCTCCCTGGGCAACCTGTTCCAGTGTCTCGCCATCCTCACAGTGAGGCATTTCCTCCTAATAACCAATCTAAACCTACTCTCATTCAGTTTGAATCCATTCCCCCTTGTTCTGTCACTACACACCACTGCCCTCTCCAGCTTTCTTGTAGGCTCCCTTCAGGTACTGGAAAGCTGCTATAAGGTCACCCCTAAGCCCTTTCTTTTCCAGGCTGAACAATCCCAATTTCATCATAGGAGAGGTGCTCCATCGCTCTAAGCAACTTGGTGGCCCTCCTTTGGACTCACTCCAACAGGTCCTTGTCCTTCCCATGCCAGGGACCCCAGAGCTGGATGCAGCTTTGCAGGTGGTGTCTGTAGAGGGACAGAAATCACCTCCCTTGCCCTGCTGGCCACACTGCTTTTGGTGCAGCCCAGGATACAACTGGCTTTCTGGGCTGTCAGCACACATTGCCAGCTCATGTCCAACCTCTCATCCACAAACACCCCCAAGTCCTCAGCAGGGCAGCTCTTGATCCCTCCATCCCCCAGCCTGTATGGATACCAGCGGTTGTCCCAGCCCAAGTGCAGCACCTTGCACTTGGTCAAGTTTATTGCACATGTACAGTTTATTTATTTCTTTGTGGTTTTACACCATTCCATGATTTGAATATGCAAACTCAGTTTCAATTATGGTGTGATTGTACATCTTGTAAGCAAATGGTATTGCACTAGTAGTGTAAATTTTTTTCAAAGTATTACATAGGATTTTAGACCTTTGGCATCTCTTTATTTACATGCATTACATAATGAAGACTCAAAACATGCTATACAATTATAGAAAGATATGTGTGCAAGTAACTAGTTTTTGATTTTTGAATGATTTTGAAATATCAGGAAATATTTTAAAAACAAAAAGAAAAACTGAGAATTCAGCAACAATAAAAATCCATTTTCACTGTGAAACTTCCAGTATGTTGGAAGCATCACAATACTCATGTTCTGTATGTGTCTACACTGGAGTTTCTGTCATTACATATGAATTTCCCAGAGTGTGTCTTAAATTCTTAGTATCTTCTTGTGCAAATCCAATCTTCTATTTTTATATAAAGGTCTAACTTTTACAGTGAGTGTCTCTGGAATATGCCTGAAGTTTTGAGAAACAAAATTATTATTCTTATACTTAAAAATTAATTTATCTCTAAAACTTGGCATTTGCATTTCCTGATGGATTCTAAATAACATTCACAATTATTTATTACTACTGCTGTCAGTAGTAATTTCTCTTCTCTAACAAAATAGCCAAACTCAACTCATACCTTCAGGCTACTCCTGCTTAATTGGCAAAACTTTTATTTCAGTGGATCAGAATGTGTATTTAGTCCTAATTTCCTTTACTTGTATGAAAGTCTATTTTTCTTATCTATATTTGCACTGTTTAAGATCTCTGATTTTCTTAGATGAGCCTTCATTTATTATTTATTACTTTGGAAGAATTTGTCATAATCAATATCATACATCAGAAATATACAGTACTTAAGCTTGAATTTATTCTTAAACATCACTAGTCCTGTAATCTCATTATCTCTGCCTGTAGAGAAACCAACAGCTCCACAGAAAAAGAATATTCTAGAATCCAACTCTGCCCCCAGTTACACCAACCTAAAGCAAAAGAGTTCATGTCAGTTGTTCTTAATTTCATTTCAAATTCAAAATATCAGCAACAATTTTATTTTCATTCTAGTGTCCCAATTACCCAAAGTTGTGTATATCCTGTATACTTGCTGCAAATCAAGAGACAGTGGAATATTCTTTCATTTTAAGCATGTTCAAATCTAGAGATGAAAACTAAAATATTTGCATTCTTTTTTTCCAGAATTAAAGCATCTGTATATGTCTTTAAACATGTTTTGTATCAAATGAGAGGTCAGTAAATTCTTTTTGAAAATGGAGGTTTGTGAAAACATTTTTTGGGGGAAAAAACCCCCCCACTATATGTTACATGTGTCGACCGAAATTTAATACCTTTTTCAATTCACAAATTTTCAATTTCAAATAGTTGGAAAGCTCAGATTTATCCTCCTTTATAAGCTTTGAGAATGGAGTCAATTGGAAGGAAAAAATAATTTTATTTCACCATTTTTTGAAAAGTAAATGATAATAACAGATATAATTTGTTAGGCTAAGGTCTTTGAGACTTGTCTCCAATAGCTGACAAGTGGCAGATGTTTCCAAAAAGAAAGCATGTGTCCAGTGACTTTTTTTCCTGGGATAACCTCTCAGCCTCTTGGAGATCAATAATTTAGGAGTTATTTGAGACAGGTGCTGCCTCTGGATTACTGTATTTCCTAGGTATGTCATCCAAAAATTTATCAAACTTTTTTAGAAATTTTAAAGTTTCCCATTTTTTTACAGAAAAATAAAGAAAAAGAAAAAAAAAGTTCAATAAAACTATCAAATAAATAAAGAATGTTTACATTCTTTATTTTTTCCAAAACCAAATCAGTTTGTTTCAGGGTACTTATTTTATTGTTTCTCCTCCAATATGCAGCTATTTCAGTGATACTTTAGTGATACACGAGTACAATACTATTTTATCAAACATTCTAGACATTAAGTGAAAAACCTGTCACTGCTAAAGACAGATGAGACCCTAAACTAGTACAAATGAGATTTTCACATAAAAATGAAGAACAAGTGACAATTACAATTTCTAACTTACTTTGTCTGTAAATACATTGCAGTACCAAAAGCTGTCTATTTCTTGAAAGGCTTGCAGGATTGAAGTTCCTGGACTGTTTCCTACTCCATTATTGCAGAGCGAAACCACAAAAAGTTGAGGCATTGTGCTTCAATCCTTTAAATAAAGTTTATTTAAAAAATCTTAGAATATACAAAGTCTTGGAGAATTTTAATGGGATAAATACCGTGCTGCATTCTACCCCAGTCCTGTGCATGAAACCTGATTAAAATCACTAGAATGGGATGGTATAACTGACAGCAGAATTTTGTACCTCTGAACAGATTTAGGGAAGAAATTATTACCATTAACAATCTAACTACATTTCAAAATTAAATATGCTGCTCTTCTTTTATAGTAATTTTACACTTCTGTAGAATGTGTAGTAGTGTAGTAGTCATGTTCCCTACACTTATCTAATTATTTTGGTGCAATAGTGATAATGTTGCAGAACTAGGATATTGTTCTAATTGAAAATTACTGTCAAAGTCCATATATATATTGTACTGTAACGCAACCACTGACAGTATATACAGAAATGTATTGGCCCTCTTTCCTATGCAAAAAGTTATTAACTCATTAAATTTCTTCAAGAATGTTTAAACTGTTAAATTTTAAACTGCCAAAGGTGTCTGGAGAGAATAATGATGTGTCATTCCTTTTTTCAATCTGTGTGTAGAAAATTAAAAATGTGTTTTAATTTTATATGTTACTTGAAAGGTTGAAATATTGAAGTATTAATAAATAGATAATATTTTTAGATCAAATATATGAAGACATTTTGTGAAATATTTGTGCTACAAAAATTATATATGATTTCCTGTTAGGCCATGTATTTACTTCTAACTGGAATAACATGTTGACTTGTGATTTAATATTTTGTAGTGTTTTTTAAGGACCAATTCACTTTAACAAGACACTGTTAAGTCTGAAGGTAAAATGACACTCATGCATTTACCACACTTTGTATCATGCTTACGTTTAGTCACAAAAGGGATCTTTATTCATGTGACCAAACACATTGATCTCTGTAGAAGAACTTACCTTAGGACTTCTCACTGGAAAAAGCCCTGAGACTAATAGTTTAGTTTCAATTGCCTAAATATAAACAACTAAATTAATGTAGACATCCTAGTTACTTAGGAGAATAAATACCTATTTTGAGGAATAACCAGCTAGAAAAATATTTTTGTGTAGCTTTATATAAATTGCTTAACTGCCTAATGAAAATAAGCAATGAAATGAGCTTTATTTCTATCCATTACTGTACATTTAAAAATGTAGTGCTTAATATGTGATACAAAACTGTACACATCATGTTGTAAAATGGAGACCTCTTTGTATTTATCAACAGGTTATTTGTTTTCTGTGGATATTAAGGTATTCTTTCTTAACATTGTCTAAAGTAGACATGTGTCTTTAATTTTATCTTACAATTCTGTTAACTGTGGCGACTGTGTACAAGTTAATTAAGTACCCATGTTCCTGAATTATTTAGAGATTAATTATTTGGTAATTGTTTTGCAAGTTCTCTCAATTGTGGTAATGGTTACTGTGAATTGGTGCCACATTTAACTTTTTGTTCCAACATTGTGAGTTATATGATGTGCGAACATGAGAAAGTACATTCATATTTTTATTTGGCATTAATTGCCTATAAAATAGTGTGCCTGTATGTTTGTGTCTATATGGTATTAGCTGCCCAACTAGCACTAAAGGAAATTACTTATTAATATAAGGTAATAAGTTCCTAAGTGGCTATAATTTTCACAGGTATGAATATAGTTAGGAAACAGCTTTCTTCTCAAAGTTAGATATATCAGGTGCATAAAACTTAGATAGATTTTTTCAGTATAATATTTTCATATATGCAGTGGTAATGGATGCACATGCATAACTTCTTTCAGACAGTGCATCTTCTAATACACAAGGTTTTGATTTCTTGGCCGTTCATCCTGTAGTATCTTCTGTCAATATAATGAGTAATGTTGAAGTACTGATATTGAATCGTTATATGATACTGCTTTAATTAATTAGATTACAGCCTTTAAAATAAGTGACACATTGAACTGACTTGAACAATGATCTCTATCATTATATATTTTTTCTCATGCCTTGCTGGCAGTGTCTTACAGTGAGCATAATATGTCTCCCATGTGTAATATTCTCTTTGTAGTTGTGTTTGTCAGACTGTTTGTGCTATCTCTCTGAACAGGGCTATTATAAATTATTAGTAATGCTCTTATCTATTTTTCCACAGACTGTGTTTTACACAAAAATCAATAAAAATCAATGTACGGTATTTTGCTTTTTCTTCTGTGCTTATGCAAAATAATTTTTAGCTTGTGTTTCTTTCTAATACATGGGTGCTCTGATAAACATTTTCTTTGAGAGATAAAACTTGAATGTGAGTTCATAAAAATATTCTAAGGGGCAATTTATTTCTTTTTCAATAGCTGGATAACAGATTTTTCACACAGACACACTGGATAGCTATATTCCATATCCTACTGTAAGATATTCTCCATACTTTCAGAACACACAAGTGAACACTACAGTACTATCAGGAGATATTCAATCCACTTTTCATTCCACAAACAAAAAGTTTGGCCATGGTGAGACTGATAAGACTCAAGTAAGTTTGCCAGGTGTCTGGTTCTTTGTATGAGAAAGCAATACTCTTTAAATGAGACAAACAGGTGAAGCACTTTGCAGTCCTTCATATGGAAATACCTAACTTTTTTTCCAAAGAGACATATGCCACCATAAAAGGAAAGAGGAAAACAATATATGAGAGGTAAAATCCTGCTCAGCTATAGATCAGCAGCATAAACTGTTCTGAGTTCAGAGAAGATGCATGAGTTAGTGGAGATAGCAGCATTTGCATTGCTTTCACATTAGGTTACATAGCCTTCCCAGATTCCCAAATGGAACGTAGGTATTTTTAAAATTCAGAATATTTAATATGTTTGTGCATCTCTCTATCTCAGTGATTGTTCTGTTGAATGTTGATACTACACCAGCATCTGGGGCCCTAAACTTACACCTTTGTCCAGCCGTACCTTGTACAAGAGCCTAAGTTGTCTCCTGTGACTTAGTGGGTTTCCTTACAATTATAACGATCAGTGTGAAAGTTCCCCTCAAATCCATACCACCCAATGACCTGAACACTGTACTTTAATAGTATAAGCAGGTAAATTCAGATGTTGGAAGCTCTGTTGACTTTACAAGTTAAGGGTGAGTCTACTGCCAGCCACCTCACAGGTATTTCCTTTATTCTGTGAATATCAAACACAGGAGGTCTGGCAGAACAGACTGAAAAAAAAAAAAGAAACAAGAATAAGAAGGAAGTCAAGGAGTCAACAGACTAATTCTTAAAAATACTCTGATTTGTGTACTATAAAGACCTCAGTGTCATATTTGATGAACAGTGCAGGTGGCTTTGGACAGAGTCTACAGGTTCAGTATAGCCAGGGAAAGGATATCACTTGACTAGAGCTGAAGACCCCCAGTGCAGCACATGAAAGGTGTATCCTGTATTGAGTAATAGTCCTTCAAAAGCTTGCAACATGATTTCTTAAGGCAGCAAATTCAGAGGGGTAGAGGAAATAATTCATTCAGCAAAGTCAGCAGGAGATTAATGGCAGACCTAGATTTGGAATTTTGATCTTCTAACACACAGCCGTGTCCTACACACACAGTCCTATGGTTTTTTGGAATTTAAGTTTGCCTCAAGAACAGAGTCTGCTGAACTGTGTCTTCACACCAAAATAGTTTGTCCTCAATCAAAACAAAAATCCTCTCTACGTAACTATTTTTTAAACATATTTCTTAGCATTTGTAAGTCTTAAAATTCAAAACTCTTGAAAGTAAAGCGTTGGTGTCTCAAATATTATCTATTACCAATGGAAGAGGTAGATGTGATAAAAACACAATATAAGCCTAATAAGGACAGAAAACTGTTAAGTAAATATTTTCACAGTTGATTGCAGGCTTTTGAGGATGGACATTTGCCATTTGCCAAGGGCAGCAGAATCCCTGTAGTCAAACTTGCACAAGTAGCTTTCATCCCAAGTTTTAAAAGCTTAATTTTGAATAAGGTGCACAGTGAGCAAATGGAGCTTTGCAATATGATCTTTGGAACAGTGAACCAACAAATGGCATGTGACCTAAGCTTATAATTTACAGACTAAGTTGCCCAATTCATGTATGTTCTCTATACATTTGTCATTCAAAACACAAGCAACAAAATTTCAAATCAGTTAAGCTACAATGAAAATAAATGGTAGTGCTTCTTTTTTTTAATAAACTTAAAAACTTCAGCTTATACAGCTTCAGTTACTATCTGGGCATCAACCAAAAAAAAAAAACGTATTCCGATTTGTTCATTGTTAACTGCCTGCAGACATATAAGCATTGTCAGTACAATTAATCTCAGATGCTTAATGGAAAATCTTGTTCCATCCAGCGTAAGCCCAGATACAAAACAGAATGTTCGCAGAAACAAATGTTTAATTAGAACATGGAAGGGCCAGTAAAATGGTTAGAGTAATGGAGAGATGTGTGTACATGGATGGATGAAAAGTGTCAAACACCAGCTCCAAGACTGGCAGCTGCATTATCACATCAGGTGAAGGCACTACATAATGTCCTGCAGGTCCTATCTTTGTATGACCTGTGTTCCTATGATCACAACTTGGGATGTTCTGTATGTCAAAGGGGCCATAGCATTTTCTAAATTAGAATCCTATACTATGCTAGGCTATATTTTTGCTGTCATTTTGGAGTTGAATAAAGGATGATTCTCTACTAAATACAGAGCGTGGATGGACATTTGTGTGTATATACAAATACAAAATATGTGGTATTGTGTATTTTCCCTTTGATGGAAAGAGAGCTCTATAGTGTATGTGAGTATTAAACATGATATGCATCACTTCTGAAGAAGGCAGGTATTAAATGGGAGGGGTGTAGAATGCAAGCTGGAAAGAATGAAAATAAGAACTGTGTTGATTACAGTCAGAGTCATAAAGGTTTCTTCCTTGTTTCTGTTATCAGTCCTTTTCCTATAAAAACTCTCTGGAGATTCAAACATCCATCTTAGCATTTAATAAATTTATTCACATATTCAAACGGCTCTTTGGAATCGGAGTAGTTAATTATTTGTTAGTGAAAACTGAGGATGGTAGCAACAGTGCCTGCAGTGGAAGACTTGGGATATGTACATATCCAAAGTTACATATGTGCAACTTGTCCGAAGTGTATCCAAATCCTATTAAGGGAAGGTGAAGTGAGGAGCCCAAGAGGCTCCTCATCCACGAATCCCGGCTGCCAACTAAGCTTCCCACACCTGCTCACTGTGGAACATATCCATATCGCCATATGCTTCTGTCCCTGCCTTTATTACTTTTTTGTATTGGTTTATGCAGAGAAAAGGTTCCTTTCCTCCTCTTCCCCGCAGCCAGGCTACCCCAGGCAGGACTGTCCTGTCTGGGGTTTGTCATGGTGGTCTCCCATGGTGTTTTTTTTCATGATTAGACGTTACGGATCGACCAGGCTCTCCCTCTCTGTTCCCTTCCAGTGGGGGCCCGGCTCCCGACACCCCGGCGGGGCGGGGCGGGGCGGTCCCACGGGCCGACCGAGCGCCCGCTGCCGCCTGCCCGGGAGTGCGGCCCCGGCGGGCCGGGCCTCGGCTGCGTGAGGAGGCGCCGCCCCGCTGCCATGGCAACGGCGCGGGCCGCGCTGGCGCCGCGGCCGGGCGGCACCACCATGTCCTCCCTGGCCGTGGTCGAGCCCCCCGCCCCACGGGCGGCCCCCCGCTCCCCGGGCCCCGGCCCCCCGCGCAGCGGCGGGGAGCGGTGCAGGAACGCCTCGGACACCGCCCAGGTGAGCTCTCCCTTGGGCACGGTCACCTCCGGCCAGGAGTCCCTGCCCTGCCGTGCCGTGCCCTGCCCTTCCTTGCCTTGGCTTGGCTTGACTTGGCTTGGCCAGGCCACTTCGTCGGGCTGAGAACAAGCCCTGGTCTGTGCTCCGCACACAGCCTCGATTTACCTATCTCTGGATAGATTCATGTCGGTTCAACGCGGCTCTTTCACAATTTCAGGTTTAAGCACCTTTAAACATAAATCTCAAAAAAACAAGCAAAGAAACAAACAGTTTAAAGTGTGACTTTTTCAGGATACACAGTTAAGATCAGTGGATTTGGATCACGTCATCAAACTACTCGAAGGTTCGGACTCAGTAAGTAACCCCGATAGCTCGTTATCTCAGTTACACAGGTAGTCATGGGGCATAGACAAATGTTTCATAACAGTTACTTTAGTACCTGCACTAAATAAATCCAAATGAGTTTATTATATGTAGCACAGGGGGCTGAAGCTACAGAGCACAAAGCTGAGTATTTGTTCTGGTATTTGAACACTTCTAAAGATGGTCATTGTAATAGAAAATACTATCAGTTCTGTTTTTGTATTAAAACATACACATATATATAGGGAGAGGTAAAATCCAGCATGACTTCACACAGGTACTTAAAAAAAATACAAAAGCATGTGCATTTAAAAACTAGACATGCAAAATTTCTAGCTCATCTGAGAAGTTTAGAGTACTGGAACCTACAGCTGAGAAACAGACATACATACAACCTTATAGAAAGTATGTAAAGAATTTATGTAATTTCCCAAGTTAACTGCAAACAATTCTCCAGGGAGGTGATGAAGGAGAAATATACCAAGTTGACTGTTGAAGAAAAAATATGACTGCCTAGGCACACAGGAAAGCAGCATCTCATGGGCTTCCACAGACTATTTTTGGTCTCCACAAGATGTTTTGGCAGATTCAATTCACTAAGCCATCAGTTAATTTTGATCCAAAATACAGATAATTTATATTCTTAAAACAAGAACTTGATTAAACCTAGCACATTTTAAGTTAATGCCCCAAAGATAAGTAGTTCATGTCTTTCCCCTCCCGTTTTTTGATGCAGAGCTGATAGAATAAACTTACTGACTGAAAAAAAATGTGCTGGGTATACTGTTTACTGCTTCTACAGAGAGCATAAGATATATGATAATATGTTGAAAGGATTCTGGGCTTGTAGATTCCTGATTTCCTGGCCTGCCTCAAATTGCAGGCGCTCAGAAGCACTGGAATGAATGCTGCACATCCCTGACACACCCTGACATATCCTCTCTTCAGTTGTTTTCAGCTTTGAATTTGAACGCTGTTTCCTAGTGGCACAGAGCATTCTAAGCCACTTAGATCTACATGTGTACACACTTCTGTCATGTGTGACATGGGTTTGGTTTTCTCAGTTGCTTTACACAGAATCCCAAAGAATTTAAGAGAAAGAACCTACACATTTGAACAAGAGTTTTAAAAAGCCTCTTCAGTTACAAGAGAACAGACTTCATACTTAGAAACTCCTTGATCAAGGAGTTAATTCTGCTGCAAAGTACTTTCAGAATTTCATTGTGTCTTGTGATTTTTTTAATTTGGTTTCCACTTTCATTTAAAAGGGATAAACATAATCGTTTAATGTTCCAAGGCAAACTGCAATTAAAACCTGCTTTTCATTCTTTTAATTAAGAAAGATTTGGAAAAAGAGCAGCTGAAAACTCTCAAGAAGGTAGTCAAGCATTTTGAAAATGGGATTGTATCCTTTTTGCCACTGTAGAATTCTGAAGTCATGGTGTTTTATATATGGTAATACTCTGATTTCTCTGCAAAGCATGGAGACCAGGGATGGTTTGTTCACATACATCCTTGTCATTGGCCTCCATGTGCACACTCAGCCAGGGCTGGTAGGTTGGCAAGATTCTTGGATACTGGATTCATGTGCCACAAAATTCAATAGAGGGATCTCACCTGTACAGTGGTTGAAAGTGTCCAAAATGTAATTTGTGTACTTTCCAGTCAGAATAGACAAGCATAATAATTATCACTATTTAAGAAGCAGCAAATAAAATAGCAATGGCTTCCAGTAAGGAGACATTTTAAAAAAAAATGAAGTCAAACTAATTTATCTGAAACTATTTTCATGTTTACAAATGGAGCAATCAGAAGTACTAGGAAGGGTGTGGGCATATGGAAAAATGTGATTAATTTCATACAGTTCAGCTAATTGCACAGTGATTTGAGCTCTCACATTACTTCACAATTGAGCTGTGGCAAAGTACTTACAGGCAGTTTCTATGAGTCAGTGGATTGGTAGTGGTTTCTCAGTCTCAGTTATCTGTTCAGTTTTGATTTTGTGCCTCTACCTTAAATTAGATAGTATGTTTTTTGGTCCAGATTTTCAAACTTCACTTAGTCACTTGGGACTACAGTAGAAAACAATTTAAATACCACAAGGCTGTGTAAGAATTTAGGCAGGTAAATCTGACACTGGGATGTAAAAACTTTTCATCCTTCAGTTTTAGAAATTTAGTGCTGAACTTCTGGTGAGTTCAGCTAAGACACCTAAGTCATATCTGCTAAAGTTGTGCTTCTGTAAAAGTAGGGCTGCTTTGAAAAGCCTCGGTATTGACTCACATGCTTCTTTTAGACATCTAACTTTGAAAGCATTGGTCTTGTTTTTTCTTGGTCATGTCATTGAAGTATGATGAATACAATTTTCAACTTTTTCTTCTGATGCGTAGCAGTACAGACAATCTGATTTCCTTAATTTCACGTTAAAAGCCCCTTAAAGATTTAGAACAAATCATCAAAATTCTTAACCTGTGTTCAGAAAAAACGAAGGAACAAGAAACTTTCACTGAGCCTTTATGTGAACTTATTAAATTATTTGAGTAAGTACTTCAGCCCCTCTTTTAGAGATTTAAACACTGCTTATTAACATGTTTATACATTTTCTAAGGCAAGTGACGTATCCATATAGAATCTATCTACAAACACCTGTATCTGCAAGGTATCCTTTATATCACCTTTTCTTGTTATGAACTATGTTTTCCATGTGTCAGATTTCTCTTGACATGAAGGAGGGACCCAGTTTAGCAGTTCAGTATCTGTGGAGCTAGGTATTACATCATTCAAAACTTATTGAATGTGTCTTATTGCCTAAGTCATTCTGGGACTGCTGGCCTCAGAAGATTCAATATCCAAGTAGTGCTGAGGTAAGTTTTGCTGTTTCAGACAAGTTCCCTAAGTGAGTTTATAATCTAGGGTGACACAAAGACATTTTAGTACTTGAAGGTAAGCTTTACCAAATGACAAGCCATATTGCAGAAGAGAACAATTACCACAGTAATTGGAGGATGTAGGATTTATATTTACTTTAAAAATGTATTGCATGAAATTTCGGGCATCTTCATTGTCATACCGTACCTTAAATAATCTGTAGAATAGAATTTAGGTGTTACCCACAGTTGTCAGTAGTTTTCTCCTCAATAATTCAATAAAATTACTTATAGTATGTTTGTAACTACAGTTACTTCTGTATTTAATTACAAATGAAGAGAAAAAGGATTAAAAAACCTGTCAGATAGAAAATTAGTGACATCGTAAAACAGATATTCAAATACATGGCTTCCTCTCGGCTGTTAGGTTTAATAAACATAGAACTTATCAACTGAATCTTTTAGTTCCCTAGAGCACCATCAGTTGTACTGCTTTGCTTTGCTGCCACACAGTGGAGAATGCGAAGGTACAACACAGAGTTTCATTTTCTTCAGCATTTGGTAGAAGCATGACAGAACTGAGAATGAGTGTATGAAGTCAATAAAATGTAGCTGTGAGACTTTTCGTCTGTTAGAGCAGTTCAGCAATAATTGTGGTTTTTGCAATGAATATATTTTGGAAAATTGCACCCTTGGGTTTTGATTTAATTTCTGTACTATGGAAATTCCACCACAATTCACTGCTACTTCATATGACAGAGAAGTCTATAACTAGAGGCATAGACTGTTTTTCACAGTTTAATTTCGGATACATGAACTCCTGTAGTAAAATATTCCACTCTTTCATAACTGCTTCTGTTTACCAGTCTTCTTCCCACTTTTTTTTCCAATGTCCGTTTTTCCCTCCCCCACCTTCCCCTACATTTCTTCCATTATTTGCTCTCTCCTTTATTTTTCTTTGGCAGTGTTTACAGAGGTAAACCTACCAGAAAGCTGCTTCCACAGTGTGTGGTGCAGAGACCTCAGCATAATATTGTAATGTTTACTGTTAGATAGTTTTTAGCACTTACATGTTTATATCATATCTGAGTATTTTGAAAATGTCATTGAATATTTCTTAATATCCTGGTTTTTAAAAATAAATTTCTTGTTGGGCTATTTGGAGTCAGCTTGTTGGTTTTACTTTTATCCATTTCAAGAGGTCTTGCCCAGAGATGTGATCCAGTTTTTTTCCACCTCTGCACATGTCAGTACATAACCTAGCTCTGCAATAGCCTGATAGTGCCTAGCTTCCAGGATTTATCTTCCACATTTAAATAATATTTGTTTATTCAACATTTCTTATTTCATTATCTATGCATTATGAAAATATTACTTATGGATGTGTAGCGCTAATTGCCAACATGTAATTGCCAGATTATGAACCTGGAACTTTCAGTGAAGAATCAGCATTGCAAAGAATGTGTTCATTGTCCTTATTTGCAAAACTTATCAAGGAAGAAGAAAAAAGCTGTTGAGCTTTTCTTTTGACTTGATTAATAGTTGTAATATTTTTAAATTCCATTTTACAGGTTACCATTTCAAAAAAAGAAATCATCTGATGAAGTAAACTATTACACTGAAGTTTCAAAATGCATTGCACAACTGGGTGAGTGGAACCTGATATACCACAATAAAATCAACTGTATTATTAGCATGATTTTAATTTCTTGTTAGCTTCTTAGTAAATGTAGGTAATTTCTTTTAATTATTCATTCAGTCCTCTCTGCTTTTCAGTATTCGAAACCATTCTCACTTTGCTGTGCAGCTAACGTTAAGATTAGCTAGCAGAATTACCTATTTGCCACTGTCAAAAGCTAAGTGAGATAAGTTCATCAGTACAGATGAAGAACTAAACCTGAATATATAGCCTCTTTCATTTCATTTTGATCTGAGAAATTGGTGTATTACTATAAACACTGAAACCTGGGATAAGAGGAACATGCATCCTTTCTTGGCTTCTTTGAAACCAAATGGAAGACACAAGTGAGAAACAGTAACTTCTGACTCCGAGCTCAAACCTTCAAAACCCAAAAGCCTGAGACCTATCACCTACAAAGGCAAAATGCAAGGCAGTTTAATGCCATGCCTTACTAGGAGTAGTAGTTTCTGGCTTCAGCCTCCTGCTGCATATGAGCCATGAGCTTCTATGTTTCAGAAATATGTTTTAAGAGTGCTGTTGAGGAAAAGGTGTCAAAATCATATTTTAATGTCACTGGACCTCTTAATACCAAAATATCTTTTTACGACCCTTTTACATCTTTTTGCATGTCACAATTCTGATTTTCAAAAAAATACTGTAAGCACTGTAGGTCAGAAAGGATTCAGAATAGAGCAGGAGTGATATATCAGCTCACTTAATAGTAAGATTTAAATGGTAGAAAGGTAGCACAATCAGCCTGTCACTCATGAAAAAAAAATTATCCTTCCAATGGGTAAAAAAATACTTTTAGAAGTTTTTATTTTCACAGATCCAGGTAGACAGCACAACGACCACCTGGTTTCAGGTAGTTACAGGTTCTCTTCAGAGTTACATGTCCAAAAAACCACTAAAATCTGAGAGGTGGTTTATATTATCCATACTAGGCACTGGTAGCTGTCAGTGAAATTATCTTGTGGAAAAAGATCTCTTTCTGTCCTCCCTTGATTTCATAACTGCTAGGAGCAGATTTTCTGACATGGCAATGATGACAACAGCTTAGTCTAGTAGCTTTCTTTAGAATTCCACAATTTCTGGAATAACATCCAGTCTCTTATAAGCGTCTGTAGCCATAAAGCAGAGAAGATAACTTTTTGATTAAACTTATGCTACTCTTCTAAGACCCCTTTGTCCTCTTCAGTGTGGGAGTCTCTGTCCCTTCAATATTTTATAATCAAAATTTGCATTAAATTACAGATTTGTAAGGGGTATGACCAAAGAAAATACTAAGTGCTGTAAAAATGTTAAGTGTTAAAAATACTTTCTAAAAAAATTATGAAGTTTGTAAATTACAATTTTTTTTCCTGTTTCTGACAGGTTATTTGATGAGAGTGCCAAGCTCCCAAGTTAGAATACAAATTTGTAAGTGTGTTATTAACTTTTATAAAATGGAGCTACCAGGAAAAGTACTTTCAGGTAAAGCACAGTATTTTTATTTTTTTATGATCCCAGCTACTTTGAAATGCCTATTTTAATAAGCTATGGATTATTTTTTCTTTATAAATATGGTTACTTTATCTCATATATTAAATATATGGCATTGGCAAATGTGTAATTAACATGCTTTTGTAGAAATGTATGCTCAAAATCTGAAATTAGCACCAATGTATAAGGAACTATTTGTTACACTTATGGAACTCAATAGCATCCAGAAAATGTGAAGTGCTCACAAGTTCTCTGAAATGTGGATAATAGGGGAAAAAAGCAAAGTTAGTTAGGATCAGAATTGTAAGAAGGGAATGTAGTTTTCAACTTTGCATATGTAGCCTGGAGAGAAGCAGCTCTGGTTTCACCTGTGTTTGTTTGTGAGGGACAGATCTGAGCCCATCTAAATTCTGTTGAGTTCATATTGTATGGACACATTTGAGCATAGGCTTTGAATAATTTCTGTGACTTGTCTCTGCAGAAAGAAGCTACAGAGAGCTCAGGCATGATCCTCTGGTATTATGGATAGGCATGCAAACTGTCACCAGAATCCACTCTTATTTATTCCTTTGACCCCTATGATGGTGCCAGAGGCTGTTATCAGGCAAAATCAGTCATGGATCCCCCCCAACAGGATGACGTGCCCTGAGACAGCACTAGATTTATAGGCAGCCAAGCCTCAGGTGAACATTGTCACAGTGTGGATCCAGAGCGCAGGTCGGGGAGCAAGCTTGATGTCAGTGTGCTCCCCTGCTGTGCTCCTGCAGCGTGGCACCAGTTCCTGTGCTCCCTTGCTAGTTTTCATTTATTTTAGGAGGCCTAAGCAAGCTTCAACTGGTACAGCCCTCACAAGATTCTAGAAATATGAAAGCATTCCAATCTGGTTTTACCTTTTAAATAAGACTCAAATTTTGCAAGCAGCTCTGTGTACATTTAGTTCTGTATCTGTAAATATTCCATTAGGATAAGTGAATGTTAAATATTGAGAGATTTTATTCTTCTTCTTCAGATTTAGAAAATCAGTTACACTGTCACAAAATGAAGAACGTGTTTGATTTTTTTAAGTCAAATTTTTAATTAAGTATATATGTAAATCTTGCCAAGTTTAATCTTGCAGGGTTCTCATATCTATAAAGTAATATCAACTTCGAACCTATCAGAGTTTATGCTTAGTTAAAACTCATTTCACCGTGTGCATTATCTGTATTTATCAATCCTGTATTTCATGATGTTTGACATATATATATATTTATGCTGTTTAAGATAAACTTTACTTTCGTGAGTTACCATGTATAAATATAAATATATTTTCTTGATGCTTCCCCTCTCCCTATAATTCAGTAATGAAATACAGATTTGCATATGCATGGCCAAAAGTAAAACCAGGAACACATTAGAAAGTCAAGCTTATAAATCAAAGATTGGATGTTTTAAGTAATATGATGATAGAAGGCATTAAATCTGTAGTGAACAGGCTACAGAAGAGAACTAGGCTGTGCACCAACAACTTATTGCATGACTGAAGAAAGTTTTTCACCTCTCTCTAAGCCTGCTTTTGCTTTCATTCTGTAAATTCTAAGAAGCAATTAATTTGTTTATATAGCATTTAAATCTGCTTGAGGGTGTCTGTTGGATGTGCTTTAGGCACTATTCAGATGTAAGGATTTGTATTGGATTTTTTTTAAGTGCTTTAAGACTAAGGAAATATGATACATGGTTGTCAATCCTTTCTTGAGAAAGGAAGACTATTTTATGAAAATATTTATGAAAATTCTGAGTATTTATTGCATCATAACTAAAGCTATTGTATGTGCAGGTTACCAGCCAACAAGTGCAAGTTATAAAATCCAGATGGCTGAATTAGGAGGATTAGCAGAAACTCTTGTTTTGTCACTAGCATTAGTTGAAAATCAACTTACTGAGAAGTTGTGGGTACTTAAAGCTCTCCAGCATCTCTCCAGCTCTGGTTAGTACAAACTGTTCTTTAAACAATCTCGTTACTGCTGTTCTTAGACCATTTGTTCTCTGAACATGCCTAAAACAATTACTGACCTACAGGGAATTAATTATTCAGATTTTCATAATTTCAGGAGCAAATTGCAGACTAATGATGAAGGCCCAAGCAGCCAGCAGGCTCTGTTTGTATCTAAATAGTGCTGATCCCTCAGGACAGCTGGTGTTCCGCTCCTCACATATCCTATGGAACCTGCTAGAAAACACCTCAAAAGAAGAAGTTGTTAATCAGCTCAGTAGCTTGGAATGTGTTCAGTAAGTACAGGGAAGCATTTTATGAATTAGTATTGTAATTTTGGAGACATCTAAAGCATTGCTGTTATGTAGCATTTTGCTTGAAATTAATTGAGAGAAAATGCAAATGTGGAATGGAGGTCTCTCATTACATCCTCATTAAGTTTTCAGTGTTAACACAGTTGTGGCTGTTATAGGGCAAGAACAAGGTGCTCTGCTGCATACTGCAGGAGGAATAGCCCTATCTAGTGCTTTGTATGACAAAAAAGTTCATTGCAGCATTTTCAAGCTTGCATGTTAGTCTCAGCAGGCCAGTATTCCTTCACCGTTGAAGTGCTTATGTCATAAAATTAGTAGGCAATTCTGTGCAATGATATACAAGGCTTATTTCTAGATCTTCTGCTGGAGTAAATAACAGGTTCTTCCTTACTGAGTTACAGTGTTTTAACTATTTAAGTTTAGACCATTTCCTGTCAATAATCATTGAACAACATCCAGTTCCATGCTTCAGTAAATACTAGATCTTTCTATTAATTAATTATAACACAAACAGTGGAAGGTGTAATTTGTAATACATGCACTTTGCATGTATACTTAAGTTGGATGTCTAGTGATACACATAAGAATCCATTTTATAATAAAGCTCTAAGTTATTTCTCTTCCAGTTAAACCCTAAGGCTTTTTATCCATGCACAATGAGAATTCATATCTGTAGAGCCGTCTAACATTAGAATATGAAAGGAAAAGGTAAAATGCATTTAATTTTCTTTAAAGTGCTTTGAAAGAAGTATTTGTAGACGCCCTGCATGGTTTCCGGCACTGTGATCATCAGCTACGGAATGACCTCTTGGTGATTGCCACATTACTGGCTGAAAACCCTGCAGTACCTATGATTGTAAGTATTTATAGTTATATTCCAGAGACTATTCTTTGTTATTATATTGCTCAGTAATTTTCCCTGCTAGGGTTTTAATATTTGTTCTACTGTGTCTCCAGTGCTTTCTTTTTTCTTGGATTTGCTGAGCAAGAAAGCATTCTTAATGAAAAAAAGGCAATTGTCTTTACCTCAGAGAGACTTCAGATATGGAGGTCAATAGCCAATAGTGCTGGCATCAACTTTATTTGATACTTAGAAAATTACACTAATGCTATTTATGTGCAAAAGTTAATCTTAACTCTTGTATTCTTGTACAGATTCTCGGATGTGCCATTCTGTTACAATGAGTTTTTGCGCTAAATCTCATTTGTTTGAAGATATAGGAGTACAGTCTACATTCAGATAGCCCAAATTCAATCTGTGCCTCATAACCAGCAATAAGAAGGGTTGTCCAAAATCAGCTCAGAAGCTCTAAGATGCTGACAAAATAATTACTTAGGTCCAGTTAATGAGAGGCACATAAATTCTTTTTAAGACTAGATCACATAATGCACTATCATGACTTGCCTGAAATGTAGATGACTCATTCTTCTGTAATATTGCAGAATTTTTATGAGAAACCTAAAGAGAAGTTAACTTTTTATAGATGTTAATATTCCTTTCCTTTCTTGTTTTACAGTTGAGATTTAGAACTTCAAATGAAGTTGTGGCATACGTACTGAATAATTAGGCAATCAGATTCCTGTAGATCTGTTGGCTGTTCAGGAATGTGTTGCTTTCTACTTGAGTAGAAGTTTTCCAATTGGCTGCATTACTAAAGAGATTTCATAATCTGTAATGAAAATTATAGATTTTTCATTCAAGCTTTCCATTTAACACTAACTAGTATGAAATGTCTGTTATACTACTGCGGCAACATATTTGATGTATAAAACATTCAAATTGTTTATCAGGCTTTAGAAATAGGGCAGTTTTTTGCTATAAGTAAAGAGGATGCATATTTTTAATTCCATATACTAAAATGAACAAAAATTGTTTCTATGCAAAGAAAATATTAAAATAAATTAAATTCTGTACTCTCAGCCTTCCTAGAGATTTTAAAAGGTATAAATATTGGAAAAGCATTAACATTACCATTTAATCCTGCTTTACAGATAATACCAGAGGAATTTGCTTCAGAATGCTCCCTTTTTTTCTTAATATACCATCCAAGCAACTTCAGAAATGTCAATCGTGTATTTTACATAATTCAGAAATCGGCACAGGAGCCTGAGCCTTTGAAAAGTAAACTAGTTTTCTCACCACAAGCAAACTGGAAAATATGTGTAAAGTAAAGCTCATAAGGATATTATCTCTGTGTTAGAACAAAATTGTCCATTTGCTAATTGCTTACTGGTTTCCATCAGAATTTAGTACTGCTTTAATCAGCAAGCAGAAAACAGCAGTAAATTTTAATGTTGCTTTTTATTTAATCACTTTGCAATGTCTTTCTACAGAGAATATATACCATAGAGACAAAAGCTAACAGGTGATATAGTTGTATACTTCAATATTTTCTTTAAAATTACCTTTGCAACATTTTTCTGATTGTTAAAACCATTTGAGTGGATGCTAACTTCCAGAGCTCGGCTGAACAAACTTGAGCCCAGCTTTCTGTGGATGCATCTAAAAAGCTGCTATGAAACTAGAACTGCTTGATTCTCTTGGGATGGCTCCACAGTCTTTTGTGAGCTCTGCTCCTGTTGGAACTGGTGGAAAGCTCAGTGGTGGCTTTGCCACAGTACTGAGGCCAAGCTAATGTGTTATGTTGCTCAAGAAGAGCAATGTCCTGGTAACCATGGTTTCTAATCACCTCAGAAACAAGCTCTTTTGCCTCTAGCATTCTGCATAGACACCTTTTAGCCTTGGTCTTATCCATACTTTTATTACACATTGCTGTCCTTCTGTTAGCTCTCTAAGAGCTATGAATTACAAGATTTTATTTTCTGAACTTTTAATATGTGGTATTTGTAAATGCATGCTGCCCATACATGCGGTTTTCATATGTTTACTTGTAAATGCACTGAAGTTGAAGTGTATTAATATGCACAACTGAAGCCACAAAATTGTATGTACTGATGACTCTGATGTAAAAACATGCACAAACGCATTTTAAAAACCACAATTCTAAGAGTACTGAGAATAGGGTTTTCTTGTGTGGTAGATTACAGCAGCACATACATGTGCTTGGGAATTCCCCATAGAAGTTTAGACTTGTACTGAATGAAACATGGATTTAACTAATTGTACCCTTAGGGCTGTCGTTGTTATTGTAAACTGTCCAAATGGCTGATCTCTTCTTTGATAAAAATCTGTTTATTCTGCCATAGGATACATTAAACTCCATGTTCTGAAGAAACAAATCAAAACTAACATTAAATTAGAGGTCTTAATTTTGCTGCAATTTAATTAATGTATGTTTTTCGAATGTCTATTAGGAAAGTGGATTTGCAAAGCTCTTAATAGTACTTGCAACATTTAGTGAAGGTAAGAGATTTCATACTACATAATTACATTATGTTTGCTTTTGATTGTGATTTTTTTGTAACTCATTTACAATTTACTTCATAGTGAAAATTCCCAATCCCTTGGTAAAAGGTCTTAAACTTACCTACTCTTATGAGGACTTTGAGATGAAGAAGTTACTATTTAACATAATAGGAGTCTTATCTAAAAATCCATCTGCTGCACAGGTGAGTTGTAACAGAACAGAAGATACAATATGTGGGAAAAAAAAGACAAGGGAATCACATGAATATTACTTAGCTGTCCATCTGGCATAGTTTAGTACACTGAAATCAGCTGTTCTCAAAATCAAGAATTCATACATAGCTTAGGCCAAGTCCTGCAGTTTAAAGCAGCATACAATTTCTATTTTAGAAAAGTTAGAAACTTTGACCATGCTAGGAAAGTTGCTGACAACTGATTGCAAGGTATTATTAAAATACACATGAAGAACATAATAAAGTTTAAGAAACCACAATCTGTGGGAAAGCTACAGAATATAGAGATTACCTGTACTTGCAGTGTTCATGACATGCTTTCTCAATAAAAAAGTAATTTTCTTAGTGTAGGACAGATAAAGTTGACTCATTGCTTTAGATTTTTCTTATTTGCTTGTGAAACCTGCAAGATGTCTCTCTTTCTTTGTCTCAACTCTGCAGCTCCTCAGTGAAAATGATGTGATGCCAGCTTTGCTTTATTATGTAAAACCAAATCAAAAGCCTGGATTTTATGACTGGTCTGCTGCCCAGTATGAAGAATTACAGCTTCATGCAATTGCTGTTTTAGCTGCAGTGGCTCCTGTGTTAATAGATAAATATTTGTCCTGCCAAGCGAATACTCTTCTCCTTGTGTTTCTAGAATGGTGTATAGGCCAAGGTCAGTAAGTGCTCATGGCTTTCACACATAGGTAACCTCAAAACACAGTTCAACTGTACTTTCTTTCTTTGATAGGAAGGAAAAATGTAAAATTCATGAATTCAGAATGATTCTTTTTCAGTAGGTCACTTAGAAAGCTAATGTTTCTAAAAAACTACCAACCATCACTTTTTTTCTATTGAAGGATAAGCTGTTGCCTCTTTTCCTGCGTACCACTATACTGATATTCCTTCAGCTCTGTGGGCAGCCAAACACCTCTGCTGCCCGTGTTTTAAGCCAGTCAGATACTTCTATTGTGGCAGCAAGTCCAACCTGTAATTCCTGCTATGAGGGAGGACATGTTAACTCAGAGTTGTACACAGTAAGACAGCTTCCAGACTAAAGCTGGCTTGTGGGCATCAGGTATGGGCTAAGCAAAAAGATAACTAACTGCACTCAATTTTAGTGACTAGATTGCTTGGGATAGATATTTTTATCATAAAATTGATGTTTTATTTGGGCCAAATGGAGATCAAAAGGTTGATATTAAATGTCATGCTAAAGCAGATATTTACAGTTTTGAAGACTGCTCATTAACCTAGTATGGTTAAAAATGTTAAAATGATTTTAAATGTTCACCAAAATCCTACCTTTCTTATGCATATACAAAGTATAGCCTTACACAGAAAGGCTTATTACTACAGGGTTTTAAACAAGAATCCTGTTTAATTTTAAGGGAGGTTTTTTGTTAATTTTTAGCTTACGCTGATTTTTTTTTCCTGAGAACATTATTATTCTGAGCATACGCTGTGCCAAACCCAATATTCATTGTGATTGCTCCACAGATCCTTTCTTTGGTCAAGGTAACAGTTTCCATGGAACAGGTGGTCGTGGCAACAAACTTGCGCAAATGCGCTACAGCCTCAGAGTGCTGAGAATTGTTGCCTCCATTTACGATGATGCTGTGAACCTTAATTTGTGTGACCAGGGAGCAATTAGCCAGCTACTGGGTAAAGCACAATTTGTATTGCTGTACTTAAATTAGTGCGTTTCTGTTGACACTAAGACTGTTCGTGCTTTTTGGTGTGCTGTGCTTTTAGTGTGTTATTCCTTTGACTGCTGAAAAACTGAAAAACCTCTAATAATTAGTCCAAGATGTAACTAATTTGATTTTTAATTTTTTTTTTACATTACAACATACACTGAATGAATTAAGCAAAACAGACAGCTCTAAAAGTCCAGGTATTTAATTTCAAAGCGAAAGCTGTCCCTTCTCCCTTTATGATACTGCATTTGTTACATCTTGTATTTTCATTGTGGTAGTCCCTAGGAACTCCAGTCATGAGTATTTTCCTACCTAAGCCTATTATGGTGTCGCTTTCCACAACTCCTCTTTAGAGTAGAAAAAAAGTTATAACAATGTACTTTTATATGAACAACATGAAGAATAAGAGAAGAATAAAGCTGCTTAACTGCTGCTCCTGCAATTTTAGAGCATTTTCTTGTTTAGTAAAACATACCTACTGTTAAATTTGGGTTTAAGTTCAATACAAACTGGTTTAAGTTCTTTTCTTACAATAATAAAAAGTTTTCAGTACTCTGAGTGAGTCATACTGAAGGAAACAAAACAGGAAAGATCCTTTGGAATTCAAAGAATATGTTCTAATAGAAAGCCTAGAAATAAAATATTTTATAGCCTCAGTTGAACTCCAGTGAAAACTGTGGAAACTTACAGCTTCAAGTGAAAGCAAAATTAACACTATACCTGACAGATCAGATTTAAGTAGCTTTTCTTGCTTTGGGGGAGTCTTGTGTCTGAATGTCCTCTTTCACATAGTGGTTCCGAGGCTGATTTTCTCAGCAGTGGTAGTATTTTATGTCTCTCCTACATTTCCACTGTCAGTACAAATGTTTGTGAAGCTGTACAGTAGGGCAAACCAGTAAGTTTATTGCTTTTTTCTGAGAGTCCCTGAATTCAGATCAGTTCTCTGAATTTCTTGTACTGGCCCAATACAAGGGACAGCACAGAGACTGGTCAGTGCAAACTGCTATCAAAACTGTGCCACCAAGAGTAAAGGCCGTGAAACTACAGCATCAGTGCTGCACTTCTGTAAGTTATTATCAAACACAGGAGATAAAATTGAACAGGACAAGTAGGTTACTTTAAAAATCCCTTAGTGTAAATTTGAGTTTTTTGAAAAGTAGCAGCTGTAATAGAATTCTGACTTGTGTATTGAACATTCACATAAATAAAATATATTCATTTACAGACATCCTAAAGTATGCAGCAAACAAATCTAAAGAGAAAGAAGATGTCATTCTACTGGAAATCCAAGCTGATACATTATTTATTTTGTCTGTTCTCTGTGAAAATGATCTTCACAGAAAGGTATGTAACTTTCTACCTTATACTGTGCAGAAAATGTCAAAACTTTTTATATTTTCATTTAAGAGATACTGATTTTTTTTTAATTCAAAAGCAGATGTCAACTGTAACTGATTGCTAACAAGTTGGGTCTGGCAACTGGTTTCTGTGACAGCTAAAATGCAAAATCACTCAGAAATCCACTAAGAAGTGTTGAACCTGTTTAATTGCTAACTTACATGATTTTGAAATTAATATATGAAAGTGTGTAAACAAATGAGATTAGCACTTTGGAAAAACTGAAAATCTCTTTTTCTTATGTATGTCATAAGGTCTATATCCTGGTCTAACAAGTGGGCCAAAAATATTACAATGCAAATATTTACATTTCCCAGTTTCCATTGTATTTCCTTACATATTTCCTATTTAGTAAATATTGTTTAAGAAACATATTGCTTTAATTAAATGTTTCAACAGGAAGTCTTCAGCTATGAAGGAATTGGTATACTTATCCCGCTTCTTAAGATGGATTCAAAGGAGTTATGTAGTGGATTAGGCCACAGTTACCTCCTCTTCAGTGCACTCGACTGCGTGTGGTCAGTAAAGTATTTTAGCAGCAGTCACTCTGAAAAATGTCAAGTCTTGTAATTTTTAGGCCTGCAATACTATATCCTTTCTCTGCACATATATGCCTTTCTTCTATTTATAATGTATAAAAATCTTTCATAAAATTTGACTAATTAAAAGTTATGGAAAAGAAATTGAATATTCTGCATGTAAGGTTTTCTAAACAGGGATTCAGTATGACAGCCTAACTCCCCACGCAGTGACCTCTTGACATGCAGAGTTACTCAAGACTTTCTAAGAGAGGTATATGGTTAGAGTCTGTAAATAACTTCAGAGAAGTAAACAGAAGGCAAGAATAGACCAATATTAGCAGAAAACTCTGTAAGCATAAGAAGTGTTTGTAAACTGGCTATATTGGGCTAGAAATATTTTAAAGATTGCTATTAGAGATTGCCAATACATAGGAGGATAAAAAAAGTTAATTTTTTTAAGGCAGAGGTTGGTAAATACATTGGAAACCAAATATGTCTGTTGGGAGAAAAGACTGATACAGAAGATCCCTTTCGTTTCTCTGTTAATGACCATAACTGAGGAAATAACAGAAGGAGGCAATTTAAGGAAGCAATAGCAACAAGAATGCTGGCTTTGTGATGATTTTAAGCCAGGAGAAGCAAACTGTTGCCAAAAAACACAAGTCTTGCTTGTCTCACCCACTTGATTTTGCACAGCCCTGCAATAAACCAGATCAGGGCCATGATCTAGCTAAATTTTAACATCTTTTACTGAGTTAGTTTTAGTTCCAATACACATTCTAGTCCAATTCACATGAACTTGCCAAATTTCTTGGGCTGGTACAAGGAAGACGTGCCACCTGCAGGAGGAGAAAGAGCAGTCAAGCAGGGCATATTTAGTTATACAGTGTAAATGAAAAGGCATATGAAACATGATTTTTCTACTCCCTGAAGGTATGAAGCATATTGCATACCAAATATATTTGTGCAATTCAGAAAAATAAATGAGATGCTTGTAGAATGTTCTAAAGCATAAAAGTGTTTCTACATGGTGAAATTACTTCTGTTTAAGGTCCTGTGTCACTGGATGTTACATTGCAGAGGATCATTTTCTTGAAAAACAGGGCATTTTTCATCTTCTGGATTTGTTGGCAGTAAGTATTTTTATTATTGTTTTTGTAGAATGAAAGAATAGGAAAACAACATGTAAAACTGCATTATTTTGTTACAGTATCTCCTAAGACTACTATAATACTAATTAAAAAATCATTGTATTTAATTCCCTGAGACAGACCTGGATATCTGCTCAAAAATGATTGTAGGATCATCCATGTATCTTTTTTTTTTTTAATAAATATTTGACAGAGGGAGTTTTTAATTTAACAAAATTATACTATTTTTGGAAAGAAAACTCTAGCTGTGCTCTTACTTTGGATGACATCTCTGTTTAGAAAAGTACCTCAGTTCTCTACTTCATATTGAAGTTAGTAAGAGCAGGGTTAGTATACACTTCATGGCTTTAAAAGTTTTTATGTTTAAAGTTACTTTGTACATGTATTTTGTCTGTGTAGCTTACTTCAGGGATATTGGACATAGAGCTGGCACAGACATTTCACCTTTTACAAAATAAAAATGCACCTTCCTCGGTTCATTCCCTCCTCATTCTCATTGGTTGTACTGTCAGCCCTTGATGTCCTTAAGGCTACAGACCCTTAGACTCACAGAATCATAGAATAGCCTGGGTTGGAAGATCAACCTTAAAGATCATCCTGTTCCAACCCGCAGCCATGGGCGTGGACACCTTCCATTAGACCAGGTCACTCAAAGCCCCATCCAACCTGGCCTTGAACACTTCCGGGGATGGGGCATCCACAGCTCCTCTGGGTGACCCTTCCCTCCTCTCAGCTGCTGCTAAAAGATCTGTCCACAAACCAGAGGAGGAGCTGAGTGGTACCGCTCAGCCACTGCCTTCATAGTCTGTTTCTTACAACAATAAATCTTGGTAGCAGTATATTCGCCAGCATGTGAGCCTGGAGGCACGTACACAAAACCTGCTATGTAATTCTACACACAGTAATGCCCATCTTATATGATCCTACACTCATTCCCCTCATGTTCCTTGATTTATGGAGCTTTACATGGCAGGTTTCCAGAAACTTGAAAGATTTACAAGTTTATACAAGTTTTGTGCGAATAGTAGTGATGAAAAGCTTGCGGTTACTTGATTACATATTACACAATTTCTCTGAAGGGAGACATCACTGTGTTTTGAACAGTTAAAATTTTTTTTTCCTTTTCCCTTGACCAAGTTAAAGGAAAAGAACCTGTGCAATATAATTCTTGGAATCTTGGTTGAATTTTGTGGCAACCCTAAAACCACTTTGCACATCAATACCTGGCGAGGGGAGAAAGCTCAAACAGCAGCTAGCCTTCTAATACAGTTATGGAGACAGGAGGAGCTGGAGCTGGGAGTCAGACGTGATCAATATGGAAGGGTTGTTGGTAAGTTTTATGATGCATGTGAAACTGTGAGCAGTTCCACTGATTAGGTAAAATAATGACAGTATTTGCTTTTGTAGTCTGAACCTGATGAAAGTAAATAACAGTATTTATAGCTTTACACTGTAATTCTTACCAAACCCCAAAGATCTTCTATTTAATTTATTTTCTATTTTATTTTATTTATTCATTTATTTTCATTTCCTTCTGGCCACTGTATCGCATTTTCTACATCAGCTAGGAATGAACCAGATACTGGACAAAACCATGACCAGTTTTTCTAATGCTGGACAGTTAAACTACTTAATTTCTTCCACAAAAAGCATTGTGTTATGTGTTGTAAAAAGAAGTGAGTGATGTTCTCCCAAATTTTTAATCATACCAGTTAAAATTTCCTGACCTGAATTATGTTCAAATTGCTGCCCAAACTATGAAAATGATTCATGGTGTCCACAAAGTAAGTTGGATTTCCTCTAAGTTTGTGAACATACTACTTCTTCATTCTTCTACTCTGGTTTTATGTTTTGAAATTATTAGACATGAAGAGACCTATTGCTAGCAGCTTCCAGAGACAGCAAAAGGTCATTCCCATGCCTGCCAGCTGTCCCAGCTTTGCCATCATGGAAATATCAGAGAACATGCGGGCAAAACTTTATTCATTATTCTGCAAGTTGGGTAAGACTAGTGAATTGCCTTGTCAGTGTATTATTTGTCATTAAACTGAACTTGTTCACTGCTGATCAATAAAGTCACTATAAAAAAAAAGAGGTCAAAGGAAACTTTGTGATGCATCACCAATACTGTTATTAATAAATACTTGCTCATTTTGTTCTTAAAAGTCCCTATTCTTGGGGATTTCAATACTTCTTCAGTTCTTTGCTGCCCCTACCATTAGGGAAGTTAGGAAGACTCCCCTAATTAGTCTTAGGAATTATTAGGAAAAATTTTTGTTAGACTAAACCTGAAATTTGCTTGAAATTCTCTGTAATTTGTTTTCCCACACACAATACCTCTTTCGCATATTTTAGCACTTTTACATTTATTTCCCTAAATTCATAAAGACAGTACTCACTCATTTTCTCTCATTTTCTAGCATAGCCTCTAATTATTTTTTTTTTCTGGAGTCTTTCCAATTGATTCAAATTCTTCCTGATCTGTAGTGTTCCAAAATTGACAATACTCCAGCAGAAGCCTCACAGCCAAATAGAACTATGTTGCTCTACTCATCTTGTAAATAACATTCAGAGACATTAATGTAACAATTGCTGTATTCGTAGTAGCATGATATTGTTTGCTTATTCGACTTAGAGTCTTGTTCAGTCATCTACCATCCTGGATTTGTATAGATAGCTATTCTTACATTTAGAATTTTTTATTTGTCCTTACTGAATTAAATTCTGTGCATTTAGATAATTTTTCAGACTGGCAAGATTAATTTGCATTTTAATATTTTCTTTCAAAGTGCTGTGGTCCCTCCTAATTCTTCATTGTTTGCACACTGAATATGAATACTCATTACATCCTTGTCTTAAAACCTAGATTGAAATCAAGATAAGTGATAAAGTCTTCCACATGCATAGGATTTTTTTATCTGTCTATGGACAAAATTTAGTTCTTAGCTTTTACTAACTGATGGTGGATATTATTTTTTTTTCACTGTTACCATTTAGCCACATAAGCATTATTTATTATTGGTTTCAGGTTTGGGGTTTTTTTTCAGGAACTGAAGTGAATTGATATTCTCTGGCTTATCTTTTTTCCCTTTAAAAATAATCCTCATTTTTGTTTTTTTCACATCCATCCTCCACAGGTTCAAAGGTGATCAGTAATTGTTCTGAAATTGCTTCAACCAGTTCCCTGGGTAACCTAGAGAATTAACTGGTTTGAAAACATCCTTAATTTCTCTAATAATCTATAGCTAGTGTCTCCTCTGTTGTAACCCAGGTTCTTATTAATTTTTATTAGCATTATTTTTTTTAAACATTGGATCACAGCTGAATTCTTTACTAAGACAAAACAGCATGAGATTTTCTTCGAACTTTCTCCTATATTCACACATGCCTTTTATGTTAGTTATATATATTGTAATGTCTCCTGTGAAGTACTGAAATGATATGAAAGCAGATAATATAATATGAAAATATTTTTGTAGTCTTTTCTCAGCATCTTTCCCTTACTGTTAGGCTGCACAACAGCCTGTAACACGGTGATCCAGAAAAGCAGTTTTAAATGGTCATTATTTATGGCATTTCTTAGCTTCAAAAGATGATGTAATTATACTCTATACAGATGCTACATTCCCAGTTAGCACACAGATGGTATGATGAAGTCTAGAGAGAGATTTGATAGACTATATGTCAATTTTTTTAATTAAGTACAATTAACTTTCAATATTCAAAAATATTCAAATAATCAAAAATATTCAATATTCAAAACTATTAGTCGTAGTCTCAGCAACTATCCTTCTCTGCCTTATTCTTTTGCACATAGTGGAAACGTATTTTTTAGAGATGGAGTCACGATGCTTGAGGCATTGTGCTGAAGGCACAAATCTACAGTATGGAGGACACCCTCTTTACACAGCCTTGAAACAAAGCACTAATATAATTTTCCTATTGGCTGCTTCACAGTTAAAGCAAACTCTATTTGTGCTGAGCTGCTGCTTTAGAAACCGTGATCTGTAGATTCAAATGTTTGTCTGCTTTAACAGAAGATTCAACCCTTACCACAAAAGTGTAGCAAATGCAGTACTATCCTGGCCTTCCAAGTGATTGGAAGGTCAACAGAGACACTCCTATGTAAAGATTTTAGTATAGAGAATTTATTATGGAGAAAACGAGGTTTTTATCAGCTGAAGGCTGCTCAGGATCAAGAATGACTGACTGGTGTATGTGTGATGAAGATTTTGCGTGTGATTATGTGATAAATAATGTCTTTTTCTATAATGTTATATTTTAAGATAAATTCATAATACTGTTAATATAGCAATTATTAATATTCTTTTAGGTTTTGAAAATTTACCTGGCCTATCTGCTGAGGATTTTGTTACACTTGCTATCATTCGACATTATATTGACTTTAAAGTGAGTATTGTTCAAGAAAATATTACTACTGTATCTGCATTTCCAAAAATAACAAGTATATCTCAGGATACAACAAACAAATAATCCTTCAGAAGCCGTCCCCTATGTCACAAGTCACCTATAGTTTCACAGAGTATAAACCAGTATTTTCCATCAAAAGAAACAAGCCCACCTCCAGCATTGCAACAATCCCCAGACTTGTCCCTTGTACTGCTACAAATCTTTGTGACCACACAGAAAATAAGACTAGAAACTAATGCTAGTTTAAAACACCTCAGAAATAACTGTTTGCCAGCTCAAGAACATGAATGCACCAGGAGTAAGAAACTGGGGCAGGACTGGTAAGTAGGAGAGTAGGACTGCCTCTTTGGGCAGTAAGGTCAGCTATGGGAGACACTATTAAAAATTATATTAAATACACATTATGATAAAAGTTCTTCTGTGCTTTCCCATCTTTATCCCCACATGCAGTAACCATCCATCCATCCTGTCTAAAGTTAAGAAAGATATGCCAATAGGAAACTAGAACAGGATAACAAGCATTGTAGGAGTCATCCTGCTCAAAAGATCCTTTAGTTTATGCCAGTTCTCTGCTTAGGAACAAAGTCTCTCACAGAGAACTTGAAGTGTTCAGGAACTAGTGAGACTCGATCTTTGGTTGATAATTCCAACTTCCATTCATGCCTCATGTCACAGTTTGCTCTGATAATGTCTGCAACTTAAGATTTTAAGAATGAGGCAGCAGGACACAACATTTCACTCTTATAGTTTGATATCTTAGAGTTATGTGTATTTCTTCTGAATTTCTGTACTTATCAGCATTCTGGTTACTACTCTGTGAAATCAAGCTTGGGCTTGGGAAGGCTTAGAGAGAACATTCATTCATGAATGAATTTGGCATAGCATTAGTTAAGGCTAACCTTGCATAAAAATTCTGGGAAGTAAGGAGAGACATGGTTGCTCTATTACATTTTGAATGACTGAGTAATTTTGAAAAATGAGATCAATATCAAATAGTGTGGTGTTGTTTCACACGCAGGTTGGAGAAGTTTGGAGTGAAATATGTGCAGAACTAAAAGAAGAATTCAGGCCTATTATGTTAGATGAGAATGCCTTGAAAAGCATTTTGGAGATATCAGAAAATATTGGAAAAACAGTTAGTACTGTACAGACTCAATTGATTGAAAGTCAACTCCACCAAGAAATCCAAGAAGAGAACCAAACATATAGAAAAGTAAGACAAGAAGTATTTAAATATGTAAATAAGTAAAGCCTGTGTAAGCTTTTTGAGAGTAAGAATATACAGAAAGTATTCCTGAATGAGCTGGGCCTCTTGCAACATGTGTCCAACATATGTGTTGCAAGAGAGGAAAATGAGCTTGCACAGAGAAAGCAAGCTTCTTTTTGTTTTTAAAGGCAGTGCATAAATGAAATTTTTAAACAAGTACTTTACTATGACATTATCATCCAATTTCAGGTGAGAGGGATGATCTAAGGTAGCTAAAGGGGCATAGGTGAACACACCTTTCAAACAGCACAAGCAAAGAATTCAGAAAAGCTCATGAGAATAGGATTGTATTGCACCTTGTAAATCTCATTTATATTACAGATCCGAGCTACATGTAAGCAGAGGGAAATGATAAATAAATCTTGGGAAAATTTCTTGACTCGGACATCAAACTATGAGGCACTGAAGGTAAGAAATCTGATGGAGCAAAAAATTTACATTCACGGTGTAGTTATAATTGCAAAGTTCCAGAGACATTTCTTAATGAATTGTGAGGTTATTCAAGTAGAATATAGTAAATTTTATATTCACACAGACATAGAAGAAGTAACTGTAAGATGTATTCGCTTTGATCCTTCTGCTCTTCTGATCAAAATCACAAATTGAGGATCAACCTTGTCACTTGCAATTGAGGGGGGGGTATATATGTATATTTGTCCTGAAACTGTTGAAACTAAAAGTCTGTTCATTTTTACTTCTCTTAATTTTTTCTTAATTTTTTCTAATGCTATTTTTAGTACAGCAAACATCTTTCAGGATGGGAAATATTTTATGAAGGAGTTTCTTCTAGCAATACTTGTGCTTTCCCTAAAAACCATAAAAAATACTGGAGTCCTTGTTTGGGATTTAGATTAAGTTGTAGAATGAATGAAGTCAGACTTAAACAAAGCTTTGGCAGCTAAATTTAATTTTTCCTCATTTCCCTAAGATGTAAAGGAAAATAATTTTCTCCCTGTGCAAGAACCTCCTGGCCTGTGGTAAAGATCTATGTTAGAATTAGAAATGAAAAGGGGCCCAAAAAGGATTTGGAGAACTACAGACTCATTAGTTTTAACTGAGTCCCTGGGAAGCTATCTTAGGCACATGAGGGACAAGTAGTTTGTCTGTTATGGATTTACCAAGGACAAGTCATGCCTTGCCAATGTGATTGCCTGAAAAAATTATTTGTTCTAGAGAAAGAGGAAGGTCTATTCTCTTGGCTTTAGCAAGGTTTTTGTCTTGTGGTAGCCTTCTTGTAGCCAAAATGGGGAGACATGGACTGAACTACATACAGGTGGACTACAAGTTGGATGAAAAACTGGCTGGACTGATGGGCTCAAAGGACAGTGGTCAGTGATTAAAGTTTAACTAGCAGTCAGTTTTGAGTGGTATTCCTCAGAGTTTATTATAGGGTTGATAATATAGGGTTGATTTAACGTTTTCATTAATTACTTGCATATTGGATCACTATCCATCCTCATCACATCCCCATTCCAGGTGTGGATGCCCCATCCCTGGAGATGTTGAAGGCCAAGTTGGATGGTGCTCTGAGTAACCTGGTCTAATGAAAGGTGTCCCTGTCCACAGCAGAGGCATTGGAACTAGATGATCTTTAAGGTCCCCTTCCAACCCAAACCATTCTGTGATTCTGACACTGAGCTGGAGGAAGCAATCCATATGCTGGGAGGTGGGGTTACTGTTCAAAAGGGTCTTGACAAGCTGGAGGGATGGGCTCATGAGGTTCAGAAAAAGAAAACATGAAGTCATTCAACGGGGATGTATTGAGGTTGTGTTGTGATGCCTCGGAACACTTGGGGACTGAAAGGCGACGTAGGTGTGTGCTGTGCATGGGGTGACAAGCTGATCATGAAGCAACAGTGCGCTCTTGTGGCGGTGAAGGCTCACAGCAGCTAATGCACAGCCGTGTTTTAGAGTACAGCCGCAGGTCACAGCAAGTGAGGATTCCCTTCCCGCCCCTGCAATGTCACGTCCATTCTGTTTTCAGATCTTCAGTACAAGAAAGAGTCACGAGCCAGAGAGATGGTATTACAATTAAAGGAAATAGAATTATCACCTCATTTATTTTGCCATTTTGTTAGTATATTTTTGAACAAGTGCAAATGACACAATTCAGATTAAAACAATTTTGCCTTTTTTTATCTTCAGAAAGCAAAAAAGCTTCAGGAAAAAACAATAGAGGCTTCCAGACCTAAATTAAAGACTCAAACTGGAGCAGTCCATTCTACTGATATTGAAGGCCTGCATACAACAGTAAGTAATCTTCAATGACACTGTTTTATTTTCATTAATATGAAAGTGGTTTGGCACTTATTCTGGCTATATATGTGCTGCTGCTTATGCTTTCTTTAAGAATGTTTATGTTGACAAGCTCCAAGTATATAAGACAGAATCTGTATCTCCTGAAAACCACCATTTCCCGTTCTGACATATCCTCAGGCAAGTAGTTGGTCAGAATGAAATTCAGATCTGCAAATAACTCTGAAAAAGTGTGGGCAAGATGGTCCCTACTTGTCATGTAGCTCTTCTGAGGCAGCCACTCATGAAAACCTTGCTGAGGTCAAGATCTCCTTCATTTATTGTTGGATAAATGTGTGATCTCTAATACATCCACAGAGGGATTCTTTGTCAGTTATTTGTTCCTGACTGTCTGCAGATAAGCCAGTCATTGTATCTGCAGAAAACTTTGGTTTTTTCTCATTTCTGTCAGTTAATTCAAGTGTGAGAAAATAAAAGCCATTGTTAAGATCTCGTTCAGGCCTAAGAGCATGTTTAGATGTTGGGTTTTGACAAGATGTGGTAAGACATGAGAGAATCCCCATTCTAGTCAATAACTGGTTTTGAGCTAGCTGGATTGTTTCTGTGTAAGCATCACAGCTAAAGAGGATTTTAGGGGGAGGGATAGTTTCATGGCTGCTTATAAGTTACTCTTATGCAAAAGGAGAAACAAGCTGAGGTGCTGTTTTCAAACTTGTACAAGACGAGAGATTCTATTATCATGGGCTCTCTGGCATGAATGAATAATGACAACTAAGGTGGCTGTAACTTGAAAAAGTAAAGAGGCAGTTCACGTTTGATGTGATGAAGAAGAGATAAGCTTAGTGAGAAGCAAGCGGATTGTCTCAAGAGTGCTGGACTAGGATTTTTATTAAATTATCTTTGTCCTAAACTTCAGAAAGATATGGAGGAAAGCATCTGCGAATGCAAGATGAAGTGAGCTGGAAAAGTTTACTTACTTGCATATATATCATTGATACTGTTAAACAGCAATATTTTGCAGAAAGTATCTGAAAAATTTAGATATAAACATGGGTGATCTGGCAATTGTTAGTAGAGAGAAATATATTGTTAGATTTTATTTTAGAGGCTTGAACCTCCAGCCAAGATTGTTCATTTCTGTGAGGATTTAAAAAGAAAATATCTTCATGATTCTATAAGAAATATTTCAATAACTGTAGATAAAAACAGGAAAAAGGTTAGTCCATTTTGCAAAATAAGTGTATTGAGAAAATGAATACATCAACAGCATCATATAAAATTCCTTGGGTACATTGCTTAGAAGAATTACAAATGACAGATATGGCTGGCAAGTTTTTTATGCAACAATTTTCTTCCCTCCTCTCTGGCAAACACCTTAGCAGCAAGGATGAAGATTAAGCTAAGATGGTTGTTGCAAACCAGTCAAGGTCAAGTAATCAAATGTGAGCCACATGCACTCAAAGAGTTGCATTTTCTGTTTCAGTAGGTCACAGTTAGAAGACAGAGCTGTCACTCAGGGATTTTTGTTCAAAGACCTAAACCTATTCAGTATAAAGAGTAGTAATGAGACTGTAAAGGGTATGCCTCTTTCAGTCGTGGAGTTTTCCTGGAGCAGTACTTGTAGGCATTTGCAAAGAGGGTCTGTTCCTTTTTTTTTTCCTTTGAAGTACTAATGTATAGCGAAAGTCTGAGGACAAAATCTGTGGCTGATATTCTATACAAATCCAAATAGCATTGCACAGCAAACTTCTATTGTAATAAAAGCTTGATTTTCTTTTTTTCAGTTCATAAGATCTGAATGAAGGCAGAAAGGCAGAGCACATAAAATCATCCTTTTTTTTTTTTATTGATGGGAACAAATTGTGAATTTAGTGTAAAGGATATTTTTAGTGGGCCTCAGAAACCTCGGAGGCATCTCCACCAGTTGAATAATATTTTCAAAAGACGGTTCATGATTTAACTTTCATCTTATTTTAAATGCTAACATGAAAGTCAAGCAGTGTATTTATTTTGTATTTCAGATCGGGCCTGGTCGCTTAGTAACTGTTGAAAGTACACCTCGTCAATTCATTCAAGGGCCACTGGCTGTTACAGACCTTGCTCGTGGAAAGCCCTCTGTAAAGGGGGGCTCAAAAAAGGATCAAAAGAGATAAAACATTGGACTCAGTCAAGAAAAAATCAGTACCTGTAGAATAGACAGTGTTCCAAACAGTGCTTTGAGTATTAATATATAGTTACCTATATGTAGATACAAGATAAAATCTATTTGTAATGCTTTGATTAATTGCTTAGAACATCTTGAGAGTAAAATTGTATTTTCCCTTAATTAATATGAATATGGGGATTTTTTTTAATAAAGTACCCTGTACAGTATGGTAGAAAGGTATGTTGACTCTAATAACTTTGTGAGCTAGTATCCACCATCAGTAGGTCTGCTATTTATATTTCCATCTCTTGCTGACACATTCCACACATTGCAGTTTAAGTATCTCATTGAGCAGGGTGATAAACTTTCACATAAACACATTCAGTTCTTCATTTTCCTGACCCACGTCGTTCTTGTCCAAGTCCATTTTGTTTCTTGAATTGCCACTTTTAGCATCAGGACTTCTGACACCTACTTCTCTCAGTCTTCATCTAAACTCTCACTTAAAAGCTTGTTTATGCCAACAGTTTCTCTGAGCCTGTTGGAGAGACATGCTGGAATGTCCTGCTCCTTATGGGTTGTTCACAGCCCTTTAAATTATCTTATTAATCTAATTATTTGTTGGGCTATTACTCATATTGTCTCCTACAAAAACTCATCCTCTTCCACCCTAGCACCTCTAGAATAGCAACACAAGCTGGTAAGCAGCAGACTTTTATGTAGATAAATCAGTTTCTAAGATATTTTCTTCTCTCTTAATTTGGGCAATGCCAGAATTTGCTATATTACAGTAGAGTAGGATTCCCTGAAGGTGTTACTTCATTTTAAAATTAGTTACTTTTAGTGCTATGGCATAAATTTCTGTGACATTGCAAGCTTGTATGCTGTGACATACAAACTCTGTCATTTTTGCCTGTAAGCAACACCTTGAGAAAAGCACAAGCTTTCACTTTGTTAACTGCCAACTTGAAGAAAGGAAATAAATTTGAACTAAACATATTCCAACTCCCTTTTTCACTTAATGAAAGAGGGATGGGATGGGTGCGTGTGTGTGTGTGTAAACATGTCGTCAAATTATGTTTGTCCCTATAATAAGACATAGCAGTGGTCACATTAAAAATAAAGGCAAATAGTTTTGTTTCAAAATAGTCTACTTAAATTTTATAAAAATAAGAACCCTAAGAAAATAATGAAGTAAAACAAAACAGCTATGAAAAATTGTACTTGAAGTTTAGAGAAGTCCCTACATGTGTACTCTCCAAAGATCAGAAACATTTTCTTATAGGCAGCTCTGTTAAACACCCCATAGTACAGTAAGAAAGTAATCTGGTACTTAAAGCTAGAGAAATTAAATTCAGCTATGCTAATTTAATGTAACTTTTTTATGCTGGCCCTCTGCTGACTGATACTTTTTAACTATAATCTACTTTCATTATGACATTTTTTCCCAAAATTATTCTGATGAAGTTTAAGTACATTTTATAAAACAACCCTGGATGTGTATTTCTTGCCTGCCTGCAAGAAATAGCTAAGGTATATAGATATTCTCTTACTGAAGTCCTCTGTGTCAAGTAAAGTCTTGCTCAGTTATTTATGTTTATATTTCTCTGACAACTCTGCAGTAGCTTTGCTCCTTTATTACTGCTTGAGAAATTGTATGCTCTATTGTCTTTTCATGATTAAAACCAAACAATAAATATTTTGCTGGGAGACCAAAGACTGTGACATTTAGAGGGTTTTTTACATGCTTGCACATATGTGAATGTGTGGGTGACTCATTACTACTGGCAGCAAGGCAAAGGCCAATTTAAAAATAAAAACAAAACATAGAGGAATTCTGTAAGTCCTTCCAATTTTTGAGGAAAGACTACAGCAGTACAGTGCAGCCAAGGTATGGATAAAGAAGAACTTTTAACTGGAAATCAGTTTTGCTTATGCAAAAACTAAATCAGGCACAAAGTGAGCCCCACAGAATATCTCCCCCAACTGCATTGTGCTTCTGCTACAGATACCCTGACTGCAAGCAAATGCTCTTGTTAATTGAGCATTAATGTAAATGAATAATGACTGGAGAAGAAAGGGGATAGAATTTCCCCAAATGCTTACATTTATACTTAATTAATTAATACTAACACAAGGCTCACTGCAGCACAGACAACATTTGATTTTCCCAGCCAGGCATGGACCATGGTCTGGCTGTCAAGGGGGCAGGGGACACATGACACCCAAGAAACTGGGCTTGCTGTCCCTGCTGTAACCTAGGGATGGAAAAGAGCAGGAGTACTGGTGGAAGAAAAGGTCTTCCCATTCCTTCCATGTCAATCCCTCATGCAGACATCCCTGGGGTATCCAGCTGTGACTTTCCATGGCTCTGTCATAGACATGTCCATCATAGTATGTCCACCTGGAATTTGTTTGCTGCTGCTGCTTATGGTGCTGTGTTCCTGTGGTTCACAATCACCTGCCCCTTTGGCGGATGCCGCAGGGTGACCACAGCACTTGATTGTTCAAGCATTCTGCAGCCGATTATGGTAGATGCTAAGCACCTTTATCTCCTACAGAAAGCTAATTCAAAGAAAAACAGTACGAAGAAAGATGAAGCCTTTAAAATTGCATAGGATACTTTGCTCTTACATTCAATTAAAAGACCACTCATACAGGAAACATCACCTTTAAGATGTTATTATAGTTTGACAATTCTGTAGGTAATGAATAAAATTATTTGTGAACAAAGGGAATTTATTTATTTGATTCATGACAGTTAAAACATTTGTTGCCAATGCAATATAGTACACCACTTTATAAACTGGATATTGCTGGAACAGATTCCTGAAACTGCTGGATTTGGGTATGTCGTGACTCTCTCTGTTTGCTCAAAAGAAAAGGTGTATTTAAAATATTATTTATGTAAGGAACTTACAGTGATATTCATTAAATCAAGAAGGGTTTCATAATTACATATAAATACATATACAAACATAAAAATTTGCATAGGAGGCAGTGAGAGAGGGGAATAAAATAATTTGGGTTTATTTCTGTGGGCGTAGGAGTGGAGATGATCCAATCTTTGTCTAAAAGGCAGTTTCCCTAAAACATGCTTTATACTGTGAGCTGAGCTCTACCCACATGAATGCTTTAGAACCCTCAGTTCGCAACTACCTAGAGGCTCCTTGAAACTATTAAAGTCTCACGGGTGAAGAGAAATCTCTCACTACTTTTTTACCCTCTCCAGAATACTGTAGGAGACAAATTTTAGAAGATGCGGTTCAATATTGTGTTTACCTAAATAAACATTTACAAATCTATGAGACTTGCTGGATATTTTACAAACTATATATGAGCTAGGCATTATGTGGGATGGATTTATTGTTACTTATGGAGGTTTATATGCCATTACTGCATAAGTACTGTTTCCTACAATAATAAAAACCAGCTGGAATCTCATAAAAGTCTAGAATACAACAAGGGCTGAACAAGCTGCATTGCCCAAGGAGTAAAGAAGAGAACAGTCAGCATTTTGTAGGCTTTTTGTGCTCAGAAGAACTGGATTACCTAGGTGGTTAATCTCCATGAATTATTTTATCCATGCTCAATGGTTTACATGGGGAACAGTAGTCAAGTCAGTCTCTCAGTCTTTCGAACCACTTGATGTAGAGTCTCTTCTCAGCTGTTACCTGCTGTGACAGGGATGGATTGCATCACCTTATATGCAGTCTTGTGTAAAGCACTGTTCTTAATGAAATGTAGGTGGCTTTTCAAATAACATATTAATAGACAAGAAAATTACTAGTCTTCAAACCTTGCTACTTAGAAAAATATTTTAATTAATTCATAGCTTAGAATAAGCAGTGATAAAATACAAAGTTTAGACTGCACAAGACATTACAATGAGCATAATCCTTCCTGTTAGCTTGATGTCACACCTCTGTTTTTTCAATTCTTAGAAGTAAATAGTATCTTGCCAGACACTGTATAAAATATGTTTGTTGACATTTTCTTCATTGCTTAATGTATAAAAATATACTGGGTTTCCATCAAAATTAACTTTTTAAAAAGAGAATTATTGGAAAAGACAAGACTACAAAAATATGACACATGCAGACTTACGAGCTTACCTGAGAGAACAAAGGTAAAACAAAGTTCAAAACACAAAAGCATTCAGACCATGCGGTGGGGAAAAGGCAAGATTGGTTGATTGCAAGACAGGAAAGCAAAAGTGACAGTGTGGGGGCTCATGTACTTATCAGTTTAGCAGTGATTAAGAACTTTATACAAGGAAAAGGAAAAAAAAACATTTAACCATGCCAAAGGATTTGTCGAAGCATCTACAATATATGCTGTGGTTTTGTGCTCCTTCATTTTGATGTTGCCTTGCTGAGGTATCTTAATTTTCTCCCCTTTCGGCCTAAAATCGGTTGGTGAAAGCAGACCCTGCAAGATTATGAAAGAAGGGTAGTTATTGTCCAAGCAAAATGTTAGGAAAGCTAGGATTAAATGATCTCCATGTTCAGTCTGAAAACCTAAATCATCTGAATGGGTACATCAGAAAAAAAAAAGTCCATTGCTGAGGAGGAAGGGAGACAACAGATCTAGGACTGGTTAGTAAGATGTAAAGCCAGTACATGATCTCAGTTCAAACTCATCCCAGACAATGATGACCAGAATCTGTCACTGTTTAATGATTCACAGTGACCATTAAATCACATTATGTGTCAGTAGTTTTAACGGGAAGAATATGGTTCAAACCGTCAGGGATTTGGTCTTCCCTTTTCACAGAGGGATAATTCCCCAAAGCTGAGACTGAAGCCTGAATACCAGGAATAGTATTGTAACTATTGTATTAATGTATTATCATTGATATGCACACAGTGATAAACAGAGAATTCAGCATCCATTTCCACACACTCCCATGTGCATACCCAACATATTTTACACTTTGTTAAATATAGAAATGTAGTACCCTAACGACTGGTGACTAATGTATTGTGAAAGCAGCTACTTTTGAACGATGCAAACACTTTTGACAAGTAGAGATAGAAAACTGGAAATTACTATATTGAGTTGTCTAAACAGTCAAGGACAAGGTTAGAGCAGTGGTTCATTTTAATGTCAGTACATAACAGACTAACACCATATCCTATAATTACCTTCTAAAGTTCTGTGTGAGTATGTGGAAGAATATTTGGGAGATGTTAATTGCCTTCTGCCCATTCCATGGGATCTTGAGAGCACACAGTCTACATACATATCCCAGAAGTTCTGGGCTAAATCATTGAAGAGTTCATTGTGCTTGGGCTTAGGGGATTCCTTTAGGAACATCATGAAGTCCCACAGAGCGATGACTGTATCTGCTACCTTGAGTTTCTTCATCTCCACCAACCCCTGGGATGATACCTCCCAGCACTGATGGTCAATCTCACCCAGGCTTGGCGGAGTTTCTTTTTGATAGTCTAGATTGGCATAAACCAAATTCACTATCAATATACAGCCCAGCTGAAGATACCACCTTCGTTTCCATACAAATTCCATACTTCAACAAGATACCTGAAAATGAAGCATATACAATCCCAGTCATTCTGCCATTATGTAGTTCAAGGGTACCCCAAGAGATTATTCATGCACATATACAGAAAAATACTTTTTTTTTCAAACCATGTAATAAATACTAGTCAATAAACTCTGACACTGAAGCTAGGTTGGAAATCGTTAATGCTGTTTAGAACATGAGACCCTGAAGCAGAAAGTTTGAAGTGACCAGACCCTATGTCAGAAAGTCTTGAGACCAAGACTTCTTCCCTTAAACTCCTGCACTTGGATCATGAGTAAAATCAGGTCAATAGCAGATGTTTAAAGAATACTAGTGGTATGCTATCAAACAAGTAGCAGAGCTATAAATAGCCAGTCTTTCATGGAAAAGCTCAAGTCAGAAAGATGGTAATGAAGGTATGGTAAACCAGACCGTACACTCTATTGGGTGAGCATAAGCACATTCTGAACTCATTCAGTAGGTGTTGAAAGACTGGAAAAAGGCAAATTCCTTTCTGGCTTATGTTAGAAAATTAAGTAAACTTTTGGCACAATTATTTCTGCCATATATTCAAAACACAGAAACTATCTGGAGAAATGGAGATGAAAAGAGCAATAATACAGGAGGCATAATGAGAACTTCAAATGCTACAGAATATGTATTCATTATTACACATGGATTCCCTCTGGGAAAAATGCAGTTTTCCTATGATGTGTATTCCATATCCTTGAGGCAAGTATAGACAGAACATCACTAAAACACCTGATAATTTATTTTTTTTATCAGTCCTTCCTATCAGGATAAAGTACAGTGGAATAGCAGTGTAAAATAAACAAACAAAAGCAAAAACAAACAAAAAAAAAAAACAAATGAGCATAAGAAGCCTGAAAAGACAGTCAAGACTCTCAGATAGTGCCCCTTATACTGGTGTCCTAAATCAATTCTCTGTCAAGTAGCTGGTGCCATACTCACTCCCACAGTTTCCAATTCAGAATGTAAAATACAATTATAAAATTATGTGAGGTTTCATGCAGATAAAAGGCAACATTTTTGGCAACTGTGCAAATTTTAGTGGGAACTTGGCCAGAACTGCAAGTGTGCTCTCCCACTCTGAATATCTCTGGCACTGTCAATATGAAAAGTTAGTCTATGATGTCTTCAGAGTGTTAACATACTGATGTCCTTTCTGCAACTCCTAGTGATGCAATTAAAGAGAGGCCAATCCATAGATAATACAACATTTATGTGAAATGTCTTTAAGAATACAGAGTTGAGGTGACACCATGGAGTTCAGGTCATACCAAACCAGGTCAGGAAACAGGACAGCTTGAAATGGGCCCTTTTGCTGTGGCCTCCAGGTCCTGGGATGATTTTTAGTTTGAATGTGTAATCACACTGCTGCAGCCATCTGAGGCCCCTAAAGTCATGTTACCTCAGCTTCAGAACCCAAGGAACTGAGACAAACTGATACCCCCCCAGCCTAGCTCCTTTTTAAAACATCCTTGGCCAGCTGCATTCCAGCAGGCAGCAGGAATAACAGCCTTAGCATCCCAAGAGTTTATCAATATGCATTAAAGTTTCTCTTCCTTGTGCTTTACAAAACTCATTCCAGCAAATAAGTAGGGATGGAAATGCTTCTCACTTCCACTTCACTAGGCACCAGCATTCAGAGAAAGGATTAACTGTCAATTTAGCTACAATGTAGGAAAAAGGCAACCAGGAAACCACCAACATTTTGAGTTGTTTTGATTTCATTTCATGTTTTAATCCAGCTAAAAACTAAAATGCTAATGGTCCACCTGAATACCTCAAACAGGAGCAGAGACCGCAGCAAACCTCTTTTAACTAGTAACTCCTACTATTCAGTACAAGACAGATGAATTTCACAGAGGTAATAACTGAGGAGACACAGCAGAAGTTGTACTTACAGTGTTTCTGTGAGGAGATGGAAAATAGTAGCCTTGAAGCAACAGAAGTCAGCCACCTGGAGAGAAAGAAAGAAATTCATGAGAGGGCTGCAAGTGCCTGGCAGCTGTTGGATGCTCCAAGGACGCCGGGATTACGCTGCACAGGGACGACTCTGCCACTGGCAAAGCAGCAGCAGCAACAGCTGAATTCAGGTCGGTGGAAGGGTGGAGGGAGCTGTGGCTGTGGCAGCCCCACCTCTTTCTGCAGCAGTCACCAGTGTCAGCCCAGGCTGGGCTGGGGCCTCACCTGGAGAGACTGCCTTCGTGGGGGTGGGTGTCAGGGAAGGGGAGAAGGCAGAGGGCTGTCAGAGGGAGGAAAACACAATGGACAGCAAATCTTTCTCCGAATCAGTAACATGAACACTCTCATTTAATGAACTCTCATTTCAAAAATCTAGGTTTCTATCCATGTTCCTGTTTGCCCACCAGAACATGTAGGGACAATGTTCAAAGTAATGGAAAAGGATAAATATATAGTAAAATTGGGTCTATAAAGGTTCATAATATGCTTTGGTGGACTTGAACATGATAGGAACAGTCTGTTACTTCAAGTGGAAATACAATGATTACTGTCTAAAAGCCAGTATATACAATATTTAAACACAAATACAAATTTGCTCTAAAATGACAGTGTTCATAATAATTAGGTATCTTCTGGAAGCCTTTGCAGCCAAGCAATGCCAACATCATTTCAAAATCTTGCTTCAAAAAGTAAGCCATGTTTGAACTTACACAGTCGTATAGACAAAAATATCTGCAAGACTGGAATACAGTTAGCTTATCTCTGAACTCTTTGTATCATTGAAAGGAGCTAAAGCACTATTAGATATAATTACTCCTTGAAATTCTAAGGCAGCTTCCATAATCAGAGGTTAAACTATTTGGAAGGCTGTAGAAAGAACCTACCTTTAAGAAAGCTCCTTCATATCACTAATAAAAAATAACATTCAGTAAGTTTTCAAGTTAAGAAAAGCTTTTCCCTTTTAGTTTGCTTTATGCACTATTGAATTTATTAGTGTGATCAATCTCACAGTGAAACAGCCAAATTTCAAAGGCATTTGAAGACATGTGAAGAAGTGGACAGTCGTGCAGCTGCTTGGCTATGGCATCAATTCCTTCTTCTCATTTCATTCCCGCTTAAAACACCCATGTGTAGTAGCACAGGATAGTGGTGCAAACACAGTGATTTCATTTTAATCCAACAGCCACTGATGGCAGCCTTCAATAACATTTCTTCATCCTACAGATTTATTTTTATCATTCTCCTCTTGCTTTTCCTAATCTAGTTAATAAATCCACCATTTTTAATTTTTAAACAAGATATTCCTAGAACACAACTACAGGAATTAAAATGCTAAGGAATAGATTTTTCTTAGAAAAATGCTTTTGAATAAAAAGATCTCTTTTTAAAATGCCACCTCATCAACAATGTTCTCTTAAGAATCTACTTATGTTAAAATTCTTCGGTAATAGCTAAAAAATGTCAAAATGATTCTGAAGGCTTTCATATTTCATTTTCCTTTCTGGTGTTATGCATCTTGTCAGTCAAGCACTGAGGGATCATCATCTGTGGGAGAATGCCATCTGGAACAAGGATGAACCCATGAATTTAAGTTGACAGAGATCACAATTATTGGCAAATAATAATCACGTGGAATGTTATGTGAAGTTTGTAGGATGAAAGCACCATAAAGACAGACACTGATTGTGTTTATTAAGTAAGTATTGTTATTACAATTTCTATTTCAGAACAAGTAAGGTCAAGGAAAGTCAATCTGTGACCACCTTCATAAAATCTAACGTACCTGAAAGCTACATAAAAGCTTGGGCTGAAGGAAAAAGCCCTTAAAACCAGGGACCCTGTCCAAGGACTTGGGAAAGCAGACTTTTTTTGAGCTAGTGACTAAATATAAAGGGGATTTAGAGAAAAATTATGTTATGTTCTTCATTCTGCAGGGGTTCAGGAAGAATTCCAAAGATGCAGCATATGCCACATGTAAACCTACAGCCTCCAGCACAACTGTTTAACACTAAGTTTTATGAGATGGCTCATATGGCTCATGGCTCATAGTAAAAGTGACTATTTCTTTGATTTTTAATTTTTTAGAATAGACAAACTGGGGTAAGATAAAATGTTTCCCTCAAAATTCTGCCAACATCAATAGTATTTCTATAGCATGTATTTCAAACTGTTGTACTTCAGCTTATTCCTTATTGCAGCTGAGGTGCCTCCATCTAGTGGGACTTTATCTTTGGCATTGGTTAGATCTCTTTATCTTTTTAAATAAAACTGTAAAATTAATACATCAATATTTTAGAACATTTGGACCTTGGGTATGTTGGTGTAGTTATTTCTTTTAATTACAAAGACTTTCATGCCAGCTTCCCAGCATTGCAATGAACCATTGTGTGGATGTTCAGAAAGGCAAGGACATGAATACCTGACTTGCATTTTTTAATTATTTCAACTCTACTTTAAATAAAGCTGTGTTGCTAAAATATTTCAGCTTAATTTCTACATATTTCCACTGAAGTTAATTCTTTCCTAGACTGAGAAGAACAGCACATATAGCACAAATTGCAAAAGACTGCTGGTGGAAGTTTTAAAATTGTTGGGGAAAGAGATTTTATGGCTTTCTCTTGTTAGAGTTGATGACAGCACTCTACCTAGTGATTTATATCATGAGAGAAAAGAAACAGAGTGGTAAAACTGTGATTTGATTTAGTTGTACCCTTGTGATTTTCAAGCAACCATATACAAGTATGTGAAGTACACAGTAAGAACAGAAAGAGCAGGAGCTGAAGCATTATTTAGCATGGAACTCAGAATACACACTGACTATGTATAAATCCTTTTAGGGACCTTTAAAATGCTATCAGTCTTTTGTATGACTGAATTATAGATATCTCTGTGACACAGGCACACTTGTACGTAAAAAAGATTGATTCATTGAAGATAAAGAATTGAGTCACCCTCTGCATCACTGATTAGCAGCTTCTGAAGCAAAGAAATAACAGAGTGATGTTCTGACACCAGGTTTGACAGTGAAGTGCTCACAGTCCTGCTACTGAAGATCAGGTATGACACACACACTAGTGATAAAATCAGTGCTGTCCTGGCATAAAAGAGAGTCTCTTTAGAGGACCAGATGCATTTCTGAAGCAAAATATTTAGACAATGAAACATCTAAATATCCTCAAACTTCAGAGTTTTATATTATTCCATTTCAGTAATTCTTAGCATCATTTATGTGTGATGAGGCACTTAATGGTATAAAAGGTTCCAGAAAATGCACAATGGCAGATTTCAAATTAAATATTACTTAATTCCCTGCTGGTATGAGCTTATTGGTATGAGCTTGCTTTGTGTTGAAACACAAGATTGATATCGAGTGTTATATCAATAAATTCAACACCTTCAACTCATAGCATACAGCTTTTCTTTATTTCTTTTTTTGGGGGTTGAGTTGTGGATTGATTACATAAGTTGAATTAACATTGGTGAGTAGCTCTGCTGGCATCTCTGGGCCAGTTAACCTGTTAATCTCGTGCTGTGTATTAGGGAAGTTCAGCACACTGATTTTAAGGCTCTGCTAAGTGGACCAGCTACAGATCCTGCTCTCAATAGTTGTAATGATTCCACAGGACTAAATTCAGAGAGCATGTACCACAAAAGCAGAACAAAGCACAAAAACAAGGGGTAATATCGTATATACTTGTATTGGCATCCAAGAAGAACTCTGGGCCTATGACTTGATCCTTAAAGAACTTTGCTGACAAACTGCTTGCCATCTGCAACTTCCCTGCACTTTCTTCGTCTGACTTAAGAGCTCTTTTGGTTATCTCCTTTTTTTCTGTTCTTTTCTATAGAATGCTGACATCATATGCTTTACCAAAGTCACAGTAGCACAATCTAACTTTTGCATATGTAAAAACTTCTGAACCTTGCCTACTATTCAGCTTGACTGACAGCTCCTTCTGTATTATGAATCATAAATCTGGACAAAACGTTCTGTTGTTTGTACTATGAATCGGCATGGTAACACAGAACAGAGAGGTCCTCCCGAATGACAGGGCCTAGTTCCCTGCCAGTACAGAAAGCTCTGTTGTACAATCACCTCGTACATTCATGAAGGGCCATATTAAAAACAGGTGTATTTTTGCTCCCACTAATTCCATGAAAAAGCTGTTTCATAATTTGATTGCAGTAACAACTAGAAACAGTGTTCTAATTTCCTGATATATTTATTACTGAATAGTACACATCTGTTTGTTCTTGTGTTTTTGCCCTGAAAATTAAATGGTTTTCATCCTTCATGTTTACCTTCCTGATATATTTATAGACAGCACTTGTGTCTCCTCTCTGATTTTGTTTTATTGAAGTAAACAAGCTGAGCCATCCTAAAATCTGTTCTTATGAAAGACTCTTAAGCTCTCTGGTGATGCACCTAACTTTCTTCTATCTCTCTGTCACTTCAACCTTAGCTCAGCTATAGAACAATTCATTAGACATTTTCACAGTACCCCAAATGAGATTTCACCAGGGCCTTAAACAATGACATTAAAACCTCCCTATTTAAATGAAATACATCTCCTGATATAATCCCTTGTCATGGTTTAATCCCAGCCAACAACTAAGCACCACACACCGCTCCCTCACTCCCCTACCAGCAGGATGGAGGAGAGAATCAGAAGGGTAAAAGTCAGAAAACTTTTGGGTTGAGATAAAGACAGTTTAATCGAGAAAGCAAAAGCCATGTACACAAGCAAAGCAAAACGAGGAATTCATTCATCACTTCCCATGGGTAGGCAGGTGTTCAGCCATCTCCAGGAATGCAGGGCTCAATCACTCGTAACAGTTACTTGTGAAGACAAAGACAGTTACTCCAAATGTTCCCACCCCTTCCTTCTTCCCCCAGCTTTTATTACTGATAATGATGCCACATAGTATGGGATACCCCTTTGATCAGTTTGGGTCAGCTGTCCCAGCTGTGTCCCCTCCCAACTCCTTGTGCACCCCCAACCCACTCTGGTGGGGTGGGGTGAGGAGCAGAAGAAAAGGCCTTGGCTATGTGTAAGCACTGCTCAGCAATTGGTGAAACATCTCTGAATTATCAACACGGTTTTCAGCATGAATCCAAAACACAGTCCCATCCTAGCCACAGTGAAGACAATTAACTCTATTGCAGCCAAACCAGCACATTTCTGTACTTAGGATGATGCCTAAGCATATCTCATTTTGACATTTCATGAGTATGCTCTTACTGATTTTATCAGGACTACAAAAAATATCAGATAAGACATCCTATAACAAACCCTTTAAGGCTTACATTTTCTTTTTCAACTTTATTTGTGGCTATCACACTTCACAATTTCTCTCCTAACTCCCATATTCTCATTCCTTCCCAGGTGATACTGTATCAAATGTTTTAGAGTATTAATATAGCAAATGTAAGTTTTTCCAAAGCTTTGCAATGAGATTGAGACCAGGTTTTAGGGTCTGTGGCCAGGTCACTTTTCTTCTTTTCAAAGATAAGCAATTATAGTCCAAGTTCGGCCCATCTCACTTCAAAGACTTAACATAGAGAGATGGGGATCCACAGGCAGCCACTCATGATGTAGCTTGTCCTCTGGAGACAGCAGTCACCAGAGAGTACAGAAGTTTCAGCCAACAAGCCCTGAGCTGGGACCCCTCAGCTAAATGCCTCAAGGACAAGGCCAGACCCATGTTTGCTATTTTCCAGTTATAAGATTCTTAACAGATCAGTTCAAAACACTTGCCGCTAGATTTTACATATTACCTGTTTCAGAACCGCAAATGAAGTCCCCGTGATCTGAAAGCACGATACGGGAGTTTTGCACTTTTTTGCTGCTGTAATAAATTCTTTTCTGCCATTCACATGATCCATCTTGCCTTGTGCCTTGGGGTGAAACTGCTTTGGTACTGAGGAAAGGCTTACACTGAATTTGGGGGACTTGACTTAGGCTAGACAACAGCCACATCGTCTCCTACTCTTCTATTTATATCACTGAAAGATTTTCTGCTCTAAGTATTCCATAACAGTACGATGCAAGCATGTCCAATGAGCAGAAATTAAAAGCATTTTGAGCTGGAACAGAGTATGTAGTTGTTAAAAATAACATGGAGCGGCAGAAAAAGCAGGTCAGTAATAAGAACAGAGTGCAAAGCTTGTGAACGTGTTTAGGCGCTGCGGGGGGCAGCTCGGTCCCGCCGCCCCGGGGCTCGAAGGTGCCGCCGGGCTCGGGCGGGCCGGGCCGGCACTGAAGCGGCGGCCGGGCCGGGCCGGGCCGCGCCTGCGCACCCGCGGGGCCGGAGCGGGGCTGGGTCTGTGCTCCGCGAGCGGCAGCGGGAGCTCCGGGAGCGCCCGCCCTCCCTCAGGCCCCTTCCCGTTCTCGCAGCCCGCGGGGCCCGGGCTCCTCCCGCCATGGTGCGGTGCGGCGCGGCGGTGCTGCGGAAGGTCAGTGCGGCCGGCCCGAGACGCGGCGGGGACGGTGCCGCCGGCGGGGCCCGGGCGGCAGGGAGGGCTGGTCCCTCTCCCGGGGCCTCTCCGAGTGTTCACGTGGCCCGGGCCGGCGCAGGCCCCGGCGCTTGCCTCCGGCAGGACCCTCCCGCGCTGCCGGGGCGCCTCGCAGGGGCCGGCGGGGCCGGGACCGGGTTATGGTGCCCGCGGTGATGCCCCACGCGTGTCTCGGGCCCGGGGGCTCGCCCATCCCGCCCCGCTGCCCGGGGCCATGCGGGCCGCGAGTGTCGCTGCCGGGGAAGATATGTCAAACACTCACTAAACAATATTTTGGAGTTTTACGCGCCTGCTTTCTGAACTGTCATTTATTGCCCTCAGAGTTCTATCCAAGCCGTTTTATACACGTTTTTGTAAAGCAGAATATGAACAGAACATAATACTGATATTGAAACTTGTTTTGTTAGTATGGCAACTTCGTAGACGATTTGCGGGTCTATGTGAGAGGAGGAACTGGTGGAATGGGTCACCCTCGTCTGGGAGGGGAAGGAGGAAGAGGTGGTGATGTCTGGTTTGTTGCCCGAGAAAGAATCACCTTAAAGGGCATTAAGGAGAAATATCCCCACAAGCGATTTGTAGCTGGAACAGGAGCCAACAGCAGGTAAGAGTCAGGTTGATGAAAGCTGTTACACACAACTTTTCCAGAAAGCAAAATGTCAGCTTGAGTTACTAAGCCTGGTTTAATTTTTCCCAGTGTTAGAGCTCTAAAAGGTGAAAAAGGAAAAGATCGTGAAGTTCATGTGCCTCCTGGAATTTCACTTGTTACTGATGATGGCAAGCAGATTGGTAAGAGCATTTACTTTATTTTAATGTATCTCGTATTTGTCACATTTATTGATAACATTAGCAGATTTCTAACACTACCATGTTTTAAGGTTAAACATTTCTCAAAATAGGTGTGTGTTTTTCTTTGTTTGGACAAAGAGTTGATAAACAAATACGCTGTAGAAACTGTTGGGAAAGCAAGGACCCCTTCCAGAAATTGGCAGTAGTTAGTTTGTATCACTAAATGCAACAGAAAGAAAATTGCTTTGCAAAAGTGTTAAAGGCCAATGTTAAAGCCAGTGATCCTCCACAGAAACATTCGAGACCTCACATAACTTATGTCTTCATAAACCCAGGTAAGTGTCCCTATAACTTTACTGAATTATGACAGTGCTTAAGAGACAAAGATCCTTGCTGAATGTCAATATTTCAGGTTACTTAAAATACATAACTGTTTTTTATTCTTTCTTTTAAAGAGTGGTGCTCGGTAGTAACCAGGAAGATCAGTTTCCATACAGTGTTCTTGAAATAGCTCTCAATGGTTCCTTTGTTGTTTTTCAGAGTTTTCTTCTCACACTGTCTAGAATTCAAACTAAATTCATAAATTACCCTGATTTGGATATTTAGCTAAAAGTGTGTGGCAAGAATTGTTTATGATGTAGGCATGTCAGTCTCTAAAGGTATCCAAATGTTCCCTTTTTTTTTAATTTTAATTATTCTGACCTAAGGGAGATATCATAACCTGCATCTTAATGAAAAAATACAGCAAACTCTTCAGACGTTGTGTAGCCACATCTCTTATCAATGCGGATTTTTCATGGTATTCTTGAATTCAAATATTGCAGGCTTCAGAACCACCATCACCGTCTTGGCCATACTTTGCCTGCCTGTACCTAGCACTTTCCTTGAGGTGATGAACTCTATGACAGGGGGTAATGCTGGGGTGTGATAGCTTTCATTTGTTTCCAAAGAGGGAGAAACACCATGACCTTGAGGGCGCAATTCTTGCAAGGAACCATACAGAAAATTTTCTTGTAATCAGAGACATTTAAGTGGTAAATCACAACTGAACTACTGCAGGGGACTGTGCTTTTTCACTACTGAACTTATTTTCAGGAGAGCTTAATGCGGCAGGAGAGAGGTTCTTAGCAGCTCGTGGAGGTCTTGGAGGCTCTTTGGCCACAAACTTTTTGCCTTGCAAAGGTCAGAAGCGAATTATTCATCTTGATTTGAAACTTATAGCAGATGTTGGCTTAGTTGGGTAAGTACTGTAGTTTGATATTAGAAAAAAAAAAAAATTTCAAATGTGATTTCAAAGAAATTTGAGAGTTTGGAGGATGAATGTTATTGTACATTTGCATCGTCACTTAAATTATTTGCACTTTACAAAAATCAGATTGAATTTAATTTTAAAATTTTTAAAGTATTGGTTATGCTTTTGTGGAAGAAGAGCTTGATGAATCAGGGTAATATATAATTAGTAATATAATTGCATTTAACAATTGCAGTGATTATCAAAATACTATTAGCTAATGTTTATGAAGTAAGTAGGAGGTGCAAAACAGAGCCAAGAGCACTATCTGTATTGCATGCTTGACTTCATGGTACTGGCACAAGTGGATCCTTTCAGTAGTAGTTTTAAAGAGAGTTCCAAGGGCTGTGTTGCCTACTCTCCCCAATAAACGGCTTGGAATGTTGGAAGGAAGTGATTACAAACTAGAATAGTAGGACTTGCTTTTCAATGTTGCTGCTTTATAGCAACATAGATAAATATATTTTTATTTGACGAAAGCTTTCAACAAACTACAGTTGTAAGAGTATTGGTCTACTCAGCATCGGCTACACATAGGTCAGCTCCACGGTCCTTATTAATAAAAACCATAGGAAACATGAAATAACAAGGAGTTCGAGTGGAAGTAATCTGATTGGTATATACCAGTAAAGAATGGAAAGATGCTTGAAGACAGCATGGTTTTCTAGCTGTGTTTTTCTTTTTTCTTATTAGAAATAATTCGGTTAATATAAAATTTATCTAAAGTTATGTAATTTTTGAGTGGTCTTCAGGAATTACGGAATTTTTTTCTCGATTTAAAGTGTGTGAAAGTATAGGAGTTCTATGACACTGATGCTTCTTTAATCTTGCATTTTGGCTTGTATTTTAGCTGACAGTTTCCCTTCAAAATGGATTTAAAAAATCATTATCAGTCAATTAGTGGAGCATATTATTTTCTTATTGAGAATATGAATCAGCCTCTGATAGTTTGTGGCTGTACTTTGATCTCTTTGTGTTTGTTACTTTTACTTTTTTACAAATGGTTTGCTATTAGATCAGGTAAAAACAACATGTAGACTTGAGAGAGGCCCATCAGGTTTGAGTGCAGGTTGTGATGTGTTAGTCTAGGTTGCAATTTAAACTTCAAAGAACATATTGTACCTCAGTGGAACCAAAATGCTCACTTGAGGAGATGACCAGAGTAACCTTCCAGAATGTCTTTTAAGCATCTTCCATCATCAGAGTGCATTAAAACTACCCTCAATAGTTTCCCTGTTATAACAAGAGTCATTAGGTTGCTTTCTTTTTTTAAGAGAGATTTGTGTACAACCCCTTTATAAAGGCCCTTAATGTAAACCAGTCTTGTTAACAGGACATGGTTCTGCACATTCAAGTGGAGAGTGTATGGTTTTCTGTGGGACACATGCTTTTTTATCTTGTGACCAACATTCAGTTGCCTATAGACACAGTGTTCTTTGATCACTGTTGCCCTGAAATAGTGTGATGAACATCTGTCTGTGAATTTGACTGGAACACAAGTCTTGTGTTGTCTTTCTGGAGGAGGTGCGAAGAATGTGGTCTATCCTTTGATGTCAGCATTAACTTCAAGTCTGGCATAGATGAAGGCTGTTGTGTCTTTTACAGCTCAGGTTAATCTTTAAAACAAGCGTGTGCTGCAATTTCAGTTTTAACTTGGGTTTCCATTTCAGTGGGTAGATGTATTCTGTGAAGAAGCTTTTGTAAAAGGTAGCATATCCCTAAAGGAATATTTTTGTTGTGATGTGCAGGTATAGCTATGCCTTGTAAACAAGTCAGGTCTGCACAGATCAGCTCCAAAATCTTCACTGGTGTTCTTTTTAGTTTACCTGGTAACAAAGCAGGTTAGTGCTAATTTCAGGATCCCTCATACAACTTTGATGCCCTAAAAGCATACACAAACTTCGCATGTCTGTGTCTATGTACGTAAAGTCCCTCTCTCTCTCACAGAGTTGGTTTGCTTTGCTATATTAGCTAAACTGTAGCACAGATATCATTGGTACTTAAATTGTAGGATTTCATGAACCATGATTTGTATGCCAAAAGACTGTAAGTCCAACTGATGAGATGTTCTTGCATGACAGGTTTTAGAATGTAAGCATAATTTACAACATTAGCTATAGCACATGAAGACTGAATTCAAGTAGACCTGGATGGTCATGCTGTATTTCTGTCCGAGTGACTTTGAAAGACTTGCCTTAAATCTATTATATGTGTATTTACATAACTCACATGCCTCCAGGTGATCTGGGTAGTAAATGAGTGCAAAAGTGAGCTGATAGCATTGAATTTCAATAAGATAATATAGTGCATTTGGAAATAAAGTATGCAGGAATCACATACTTGTTTATTCAGTGTATAAATCCCAACTTCCTTTCTAGGTTTCCAAATGCGGGAAAATCATCCTTGTTAAGCAAGATTTCTCATGCCAAACCTGAGATTGCAAGTTATGCATGTAAGTTGATACTCTTATTTTTAGAGCAGTAATATTTCACGAAAGCAAGAAGTCTTTTCTCTGACTTGGTCTGCAGGTTTATAATAAAGAATAGGAGATAACCTATGTTGCCTGATTTTTAATTACATTAAATACTTGAAAATGATACTTGCTGTTTCAGTGTCTAGTTCTTTTAAACGCCTCAGAATTTCAAGTGTACACCCTCATAGTATTTCAACCTGTGAATGCAAGGTCTGTTTATTTTCATCTCAGCTCATTTTATTCCATCTGAGATGCACCATCTCTATGGTGTATAATATCCTCAGTCTGTTGAATATATACTGTCAAGTTCCTTTGCCTATACGTCTTGTATGCTTTGGAATTAGCTGCCACCTGTTTTTGCAACAGAGAAGATTTTGATTTTGAATCTATCCACTGAAAAAGGGACAGAGAATTTTTATTATTTTTCTATCGGTAAATTAGGATTAGTTATCTAATCTTCATTAATTAAAAAGCAAGGGTACAAGTACTGATAATTCTTACCGACCTTCTTGCACCACTCCTGATTCTCTACAGCCTTTTTCTCAGTTTGAAGAGTCCTATCTCACTTTGCTTTTCATTATTTTTCCCTGCTTAGAAGCTATTCTGTAGTCTGGATAATAATTTTTGTGTCTGAGACTTCTCTAGCTTCACTGTTCCCTTTTTGGGATGATGTAACAGAACTCCAGAGAGAGACAAGGTTTGGTGAACCAGTGGGTTTTTTGAGTGTTCTATTTTTTTTCTCTCTCATCTTACACTTTCCCTATTCCTTTTCCTTTTTTGATTTTTTGCTACTGAACGTTTGTTTTTTAAATATAGTGACAAAGTCCTACAACATTTAAATGTTTTGTAACATAAACATTTTTTTAAATGTTAAAACCAGTTTTGTTTTCTTCCCTTTGTCGTTTTTCCCTTGTCACAGTTACAACAGTACAGCCTCAAGTAGGAAAGATCATGTATGCAGATTATAAGCAGGTTGGTATGAAAGTGCACTCTGATTGTTTGTTAAAGTTATATATAATGATTAGTTATGTTGCTTAACATAATTTCAGAAAGAGAATGAAAACTTATAGTTATTTTTATATGTGTTTCCATAATTGTACATATCAAATACAATTACATGGACATAACAAGGGTTTTGGAAAAAGTACTATTTTATGAAGTAATAAGAAGAAAGCTTTATAGCCAAATACAGTAATATGACATAGAGCTAATTTCAAGTCACTTTAGTCAATGGCTTCTCATTTTCCCTTGCCTCCTTTCTGTGGTTCTAATCCTGCCTTATAATCTTAGAGGCCTGAAATTGTTTATGGAATTGAGATTGCTGTGTCTTAGTATACTATTACTAAATTCAGGACTTTGAAAAAATTACTGTTTCAGAGACTAGCCTGTTTATTTAGAAGCAGCAAATTTTCTGCAAGTTGAGAGCTCTGGACTGAATAAGTCATTTTCAGAATGGATTGTAAATAGTGCTAGATTTGTCCAATAGCTGCAAATCTACAGTAGTAAATGATGGGATTTTGTGAATATAACCCAGCTATGATAGCTTCCTGTTATGGTTTTCTAGGTTGACTGATCTAACTTTCTTTTGTAGTTTGTTTTTTGCATTTGTGGTTTTTGTTGGTTGGGGGGTTGCTCGTTTGTTTTTAATAAAAAACTAAAATAGTGTGACATGATAGTGATTGCCTTAACAGCCACAATAGTGCACTACCTGAGAGGTGAGGTACCTGGGTCTAGTTCCTTTTGTGGTAGGCTGGAGAAGGACTGCTGGAGCTACTGCCCTACCACCTTAATTTTTGTAAACTGTGTTCCACCCAGCTTCTTCAGATAAAGTTGTCAGATAACTGACACTGTGGTGCCTGGAATCCTTTCTGCAGTATCCGCTTGGGGGAGAAACCAATGCTAAAAAGTTAAACTCTTAGATTTTGGACCCCAACTTCATATAAGGTTACAGCAAACATTTTCATTCCTCAAGCTTGAATCTTCTTTGATGTGCTTTTATGTTATTTTTGAAGTGTATGATACATGCAGCACTGGAGTCATCACTTCCAAGATAAAAGGCAAATGCATAAAAGGGTTTCAGATGAGTTAACCAGAAAAGCATACCCCTCAGATATGAACCAATAATCTTCGGGGGATTCAGTAGCTGATGCTTGAAACCTTCATTTAACAAACTTCAACAAAACTGTGTATTAAAGGAAGTAAGTCTAGTTTGTCAGATTTGCCCTTAGACATATTGCATCTCTACAGGCAAATTTTTTTATATTAATTTTTTCTACTAGTTTAGGGTAGCTTATCCTAGAAAGCTGTGCTGCAAATAAATGGGATTTTTCATAGCCTTTTTAAAAAACTGTCTGCCATGAATGAGGACCTCTTTTTCTTGCTAGTCTATCCTTCTCCAGCAAGAGATCTACTTGCACTCCTGGCTTTTTGTTTGAAGTCTGTTTCTTGTCATAGACAATGACACCTTTTGTTTGCTATTTTTACGGTTCCTGGTTTTTATACTACAGTGTTAGGTGCTATATAGGAACTATATGGACAAAATATACCTTTTCTAAAGTCAAGGGAACTAGTGGTTGTGATCACAGGGAACATCTGTGAGTAAGAGGAAGTACTCTCAGCATTGCAACTGCTGAAATCAAAACAATGTAAGCAACATAATTAGGAGCAATACTCGAGGCTTCTTTCCTGCATCACTCAAGGAACAATGACTCATTATTTTTTTCCTACAGAACATTGATATTTTTAAAGAAATATGTAGGAATTTGCTTATTTTATCTTAGTACATTATAAAGAAGTAAATACATGTGAGTTACCTGGTACTGTCTGTCATTACTACTTGGAAAAGACATAAAAGTAGAGGATTTGAGTATGACTTTGGTTTAAGGTCTTAGTACCAGATCATGAAAACTAGCAGAAGCATTTTCATTTTCTGCCAGAATATCTGAGTCACCTTCTGCAATAGGTAGCACACTGGAGATTTTATTGTATGCTGGCTTTGGACGTTGTTTAATTGAATCCAGTTGCCGTCTAAATGGGTATTAAATTTGAAGACCCTACTTTTGCTCTTCTTTACTTCATTATCTTAGTTTTCTGTGACTTACTGAGTAGCTGTTTTGTGAGTTTTATTATTCTGCTCTTTTTTGGTCTGTCTCAGCTACTCTTTACAACTGAGTACAACCCTCTCAACCAGCAGAGAAAATTAAAATGTCCCTGTGCTTTGGAGCAGTCTTTGCTGGGCTCTAGTTGGAAGCTGATTCACTAATCAAAATCTCACTTGAGCTGAAGGTCAGAAGTCAAATTCTTGTAGCTTCTCACGCTCATGGGAACAAGGTTAAGTAGGTTTGTATTTGGAGTAATGATCCTCTGTAGCCACAAGGAACAGATTTTATTTTGTTTTCCAGTGGCAGTTTGAATTCTATACAAATGTGATAGCCTAATCTTCTTGCCTTTCGGACTCTGTTTTATTCTCAGGTAATAGCTAAATTTTGCAAGACCTGCTGAGGTATTATTACCCTCTGTTTTCTACTTTGCACACAACTATAAATAAATAGACAGGGGAAACACGAAGAGCACAGGTCTGTGTAATAGCAGCATTTTGTTTTATCCGCTTCTGATGATAGTTGAAGTAGCCAATACGTATTGCTTTACATTTTGTTTATTTAAAATGATAATTGCTGTTGATAGTTTAAAATCCCTGGTTTTGCTTGTTGGAAATATTTTGTTTGAAACTTTTGTTTTCCTAGATTTCAGTAGCTGATCTCCCAGGACTGATTGAAGGTGCACATGAGAACAGAGGGATGGGCCACAAATTCCTCAAACATATAGAAAGAACCAAACAGCTGCTTTTAGTTGTAAGTTAAATAAAATATACAGTTTATTAAAATCAAAGGCAGTGCAGTAAATAAAATGCATCTTAATTGCAATGTAGTTGGAATTTAGGAAATCATTTGTAATTTGCATGTTTTATGATAAATATAGCTGTAATACTGCTTACAGAATGGAACACACAAACAACTGATGATAAATTAAATCCTTAAATACAATTTGTCGTGGAAAATTGCCAATTAATTTAGATCATGGAAGTGTTCCAAGCATAATTAAAGCATGGAGCGATTTTTTTCTCTCTTTTTTTTTTTCTATAAAATCCCCTTAAGAGGTTTGAAAAACACACCTTTGAGAAACACTGTATCAGAACTAAGCAGTTTATGTTTCCAGTGTCTATGATGTTAGTGTGGTGTATAGTTGCCCTCTGTTATTTGCCCAGGAATGAAAGCATGTACATGGACATTCCACTGCAAAGTAGTTAATGGAGAGTACCTTGATACGGTAACATAATTTAATACCGCAAAGCTTATTTCTGTGTAACGTTTTCAGGTTGATATTTCTGGGTTTCAACTATCCGTCAAGACTCAGTTCAGAACAGCCTTTGAAACTATATTGCTTCTAACAAAGGTAAGTTCTCATTTTCCAATTTGACAGTTGTAGTTGTGTTGAGCCAAGAAAATGGCTCAGTTTTAATTAAGAAACTTTCAAATGTTAGTGTGTCTTCTGGATTTATAATGTAAGGCCAGTTAACAAACACATGATTTTCCAAAATGATGAAGTCTTTATTTTTACCTGTCCAGGTGAAATTGCTTGTTTGTTGGGCACAGCATAATTAATAATAAAATTCCTTAATCTGTGCAGCATATGGGATATTTCTTACAGTCAAGTAAAGGTAATAAGACACATCATTTCAGTTCCCCAGTCTGGTATCATTTTAGGAAGCAGAAATACATGTGTGTAGTTAAATACCTGCCTTGATGCCCTGACTGCACAGCCTAACAGAGGTGAGACATCAGGCCCCAGCTTTGCAAACTTTCACTGTTTCCATCTCTTAACTATGCTTCCAATTAAAATAATACGTATCATGTAATTTCAAATTCATCTCTGTGTGACTTAAGTTGATGAATCTTCTGAATTTCAGCTATTGCTGTTTATTTTTAGTTTATTCATAATTGTGATTTTCTGATATTAATTGAAGTCCATTAAAATGCTTAAGAATCAGAAAACTTTCCCAAGAATTTTCTTATACATTTTATAGGTCTGAAGTTTTTCTGAAATTGATTTTGTGCTTGTGAATATCAGAAAAAAACAAAAACCAAAACTGTCCTTTTAATAAGAGGCTGTTTCAGAATGAGCTTGCCTGTTTACCTGAAATCTGTCTTTGAGCAAAAAAATGACTGAATCACTTATTCTCTTCTATTAGACTGTTTTAATATATCAGCCTTGAGCACTCAAGTCAATCACACAGCTGTCTAGGCATGAAAGGCTATTTAGGCAATTAAACAAATGAGAGAGGAGATGTAAAATTGAAGTAGCACTTTTTAAACTACAAATACTTATTAAGGTGAATTTTCTTTTCTTTTAAGGAACTGGAGCTGTACAAAGAAGAACTTATAACAAAGCCCGCACTTCTGGCTGTTAATAAAATGGATTTGCCTTGTGCAAAGGATAACTTGAATGAACTTATGTCACAACTACAGAATCCTCAGGGTAAATGAAATTTCAACAATAACCTTTGACAGAAGTATCATTACGATTTCATTGGGTAACTCTGCATTGGCAAGGAGTTGTTTGAAAATGAAATCAGCTAGTAAACTTATTATATGAACATATATTTTAAAATCACTTCCTGCATTTATAGCTCTGTTTATACTCATTGGTAGTGGCATTGGTTTCACTGCTGGGAAAGGATTGTAATAAACTGGAGATATCCTAGACAATCTTTTCCAACTATGAGATGGGAGAGTAAGTTTCCAGTCTAGGTGTCTTGAATAAGAGTAACCTGAATTGAAGGTCCCCTTACAGACACTGACATATATTCAATTATATATATACACATGGAAATTCTGCACAGATCTATGTAGATTTACTTCAGTTTTGCAAATTCACTGGAGTGAATTGCTTTCTATTTTCTGGAGTGTGTAAGAACCAGAAAGGCTGAAGACCACTGATCTCCCATATTCTACAACTTGGGATTTCTTTGTACTCATTGGAAGTGTATAGTGTCTTCTCATGACAGCATTAAGGATAGTATAACTGCTATGATACTTCTTGTCTTCTGAGACTTTGGCTATTTTTTAAAAGACTAATTAAACAAATAATATGTGTTTACTAATTGCAGTTATGTTTATTACTGTGATTTATTAAAGTTTATTTTCTATATTTTATGAGATTTTATGGGCTTTGTAGTGATACAGTATTTGGGGATTGTATTAACTCTTTCAATATGATTTTTCAGACTTCTTACACTTACTAGAGGAAGAAATGATTCCTGCAAATACACTTGAATTCAAAGAGATAATTCCTATATCTACATATACTGGAGAAGGAATTGAGGAACTAAAAGAATATATAAGAAAATCCATAGATGAGGAAGCAGAGCGGGAGAATGAAGAATATCGGAAAAAGAAACTACTACTTTTACAAACTTCTCAAGAAGAAAAAATGAATAGAAGATAGCATTCTTGGAGGGATCCAACACCTTTTAATATTTTTAGTATGTACATGAAGCTGTTGCTATGCAGGCCTTCTATTTATTTGTTCTCTCTACCATCACTGCCGAGTTCCCTGCTCCGTCCCATTTGTTCCTTAGGCACTTGGGTAGAGTACAGTGGGGAAAAGGGCAAGTTTTTTTGATTTATGTTGGCTACCTGTTCAACAGAGTAAAGACCAAAGTTTGTGCAACTCAAAGCACAGCTCAACAACTGATGATCCCTGGAATATTTTTTGTCAAATGAGATGAATGGAGGGAACGTAACCTTCATAGGTAGCAAAGGAGCAAGTTCAACCACTCTACATCTGATGCCATAGGCATCAGAAACACAAAGGGAAATTTCTCATGGAGAAATTTACCGGGGTCTGGTGTTCCTAAGGTGAACAGTAGCACAGTTCTGCTACTGTTGTAGGGTTTTTGTTGTTTTTAAGAATTTAAAGAAAAACACAAATAAATGGCTGCAAGGAAATGACTTGTAGAAGCACGAAAAGCAAGGCTGATGTGTAATGTTGGAGGGGTTTTTGACACCTGCTGGTGCCTACTGTAGTCCTCTTAATTGTAAAAATCCTGATTCCAAATTTCCAGGCTTTATTTGTGATTCCCTCCTTTTATGGAGTCATTGAGTATATGTTACTTCTTGGTGAAGAAAATGATTGCTTTTCAACGGATCTATAAATATTGGGGAATAGTTAATGTTCTAGATTTTGTACGACAAAAGGCACACTTACATTTTAATTTTTTTTAAAAAATAGAAGTCCTTTATTGTCAGGGTATTTTCTACTTCAGAGCTATTAAATGGATACAAAGCAAAATAAGACTGAATACATCAAAGGCTTCTTAGTTTGGTCTGGTTTTGTTTTGTAAGTATATATATCAAACTCTGCTTCTCTAAATTTCGTTAAAACAGTCACTGGGAAGAAAGGTATGGTTTCTCATACATTTCTTTTATCTTTGTTATTGGTTCCTATTCTGATTTTCCTCTAGTTTTACTGTGTTTGGGGCTAATATGTTTTCACCAAAGCTAAGTGTAGGCTGTCGATTTTTGATACTCCATTTCACAGAATCACAGATTCAAGTTGGAAAAGACCTTTGAGATCAAGTCCAACCTATGACCCAACAGCACCATGTCAACTAGACAATGGCACTGAATGCCACATGCAGTCTTTCCTTCAACACTTCCAGGGATGGTGACTCCACTACCTCCCTGGGCAGTCCATTCCAATTTTTAATAACCCTTTCTGTAAAAAATTTCCTCCTCATTCCAAGCCAAACTTCCCTGGTGCAGTTTAAGACTGTCCTCTTGTCCTACTGCTAGTTGCCTTTGAGAAGACTCCAACCACCACCTGGGACATCCAGCCATGCTGGAGAGAGTGCTTCAGCCTGTCCAGCCTGCTGTAGCTAAGGAATTGAGTCAGCCCCATGTGGATTTGGGGTCTGGTTTTTGTCCTCCCTGCCAGGAAGTCTGGGAGGGCACTGGTTAAGTGCTGCCAGAAGGGCATGAAGACAAGAAAGAATCCTGCCAAAACCCTGTGCCAGCTGGGTGTGGGGGCAATGTCCTGCTGCAGCGAGAGGCCTGATCTGGGTCAATCATCACAGGGGAGCTTGAAGTTACTCCGTTTAGGAGCATTTACCTAGGGAGATAAAACTTGCCAGCTGAGGGCTCTGCAGGCTGGGAGATGCCGATGCAATGGGATAAAACAAAGGAGAAAGCAGTAGTGTTACATTTATTATGAGACTCTGGCACAGGTTGCCCTGAGAAGCTGTGGCTGCCCCATCCCTAGAAGTATTCAAGGCCAGGTTGGACAGGGCTTGGAGCAACATGGTCTAGTGGTGATTCTGTCAGGGAAGTGGTGGATTCATCATCCCTGGAAGTGTTCAAAAAATGTGTGGATGTGTCATATGGAGGCATAGTTTAGTGGTGGGCTTGACGGTGCTGGGGGAACGGTTGGACTTGATGGTCTCAGAGGTCTTTTCCAATTTTAGTGATTCCATGATTCCATGCTGCGGCTGTCCTCTGTTGACGTGAATCGGAGCGCTCCTGGGTAGAGGGAAAGGCTGCAGCGTGTCCCTTCTGCAGACTTGGCTAACAAGCCCCGCCCCAGTGGGGCTCCTGGGTGCCGGGCAGTGGGACGTGGAAGTGAAAATGAAAGCGAAACTTTCTGGGCATTGGCAGGAGAAGGGGCAGCGTGGGAGCATCACTGCAAAAACCCAGCGAGGCAAAGCACACCGGGCAACAGGCTGGGATGTGCTTGGATGTTCCCCAGAGAAAGATCCCTGTGCTGCAAGATGCTCCCACAGCCACCCCTCTAGGTACCCTCATCACTGATTCCAGCATGTATTTGCACTGAAAATGCCACCAATCGCTCCAGCTGCTCCTCACAACAGCCACCTGCAAGAGCGCAGACATCAGTGCACGTTTGCTTTGGCTGCCCTCTGGCAGAGAAGTTCCGGGGAGCACAGGTCTTTGGGGCAGGAGACGGGCACCACCCTTGCCAGGGCTCGGGGTGACGGCAAGTTCCTTGTCGAGGTGAGTGTGATGGCAAGAGCTGCCTCGCCGAGCTGCCTCCCACTCCCACCTCTGCCCTCTCGCAGCCGCAGCTGCTCTCTTAGTCGAAAATAACTTTTTTTTTTTTTTGTCAGGCTTCGTGAACACTGGTGTTAATCTCACACGTAACCGAGGGAGCGGGGGTGCGCTTAAAAAAAAGAACCAGCTTGGCTTGAACGCCGCTGGCCGCTTTGGGCAGTAGCTGAGTGCCGTAGTCAGGTTCTCTGACTGCGGACAGCTGGCGTATTGGAAGAATATGTTTTAAAGTACCGGCTGTCTCGGCCAGCGGCCGGAAAGCTGCCTCCTTTCCCGCTCACCAGCAGACAGACGCGGGTGACCGCTGAGGGGCCGCCCCGGGCCGTCCCTCGGGGGCCGCCGGGAGTTGTGGTGCCGGGCCGGGCCCGCACTGCGGCGGCGCGGCCGCTCCGCCCCACAACGCCCCGCGCGGCCGCGGCCTCCCCAAAGCCCGGGCGGGAGCGGCGGCCGCGGGGCCGGGCAGCGGCCATGGAGCCTCGGCTGGGCGGCGGGAAGGTGAGCGGCGACACCGGGGGAGAGCTGCCCGGGGCCCCCGGCCCGGGTGATCCCGATCCTTGCGGCCCTTCCCGGTTCCCCCCTGCGAGTCCGGCATCGCAGTGCGGCAGGTTCCGAGCGCTCCCGCGAGCGGGGGTCGAGGGTGCTCTTCGGGCGGAATCCGTGTGTTCTGTTTCTGCTCTTTCCAAATCAGCTGGTAAAATAATTACCTGTGTTCCAGGTTTTTCTTGGAAGTCCTAATCTATTAGCTAGGATCGTTAGTTCTAACCCAGTACGTCTGGATTTAATTTTAAAAGGAGTTTTGTAGAATTGGAACGGCATGATTGATTTCCAGAAGAAAAAAAAACCACCCAAATGAGTAGTGACACTGGTTCTGAAGCAGTTCCTTGCAGTTGCCTTGAAACAGGAGAGCTGTTGGCCTTTACTTTTTGGTGGCCAGTTATCCAAAACTCATAATAAATCTTAAACTGCTAATGCTGTTGTGGATAGTTAGAGAATCCATTTGCTTATAAATTGTGTTTATGAATTATACTGTGACCTGTCTTCACAGGGCTTTACAGGAAACAGCAGTGGCTCCGGGACCATGGTCTTCTCAAGGCCATGCAAGGGAATGCACCACCAGTGTTAGACAATAAAGTCAGATGGACTAAACAGACAGAGGAAAAAAACTTAATGTCTACAGAAATGGATGGCTTTCTGAGCTGAGTATTGTGGAATATTTACATAGCTGCTTTGTATGTGTTTATTACAACAGCTGGTGGCCACAGGTTTCATCATTTAATGGGAGGGACTACTGGGCTAGGCACAGCTCTCTTTGACAGCTTTGTTTGCCTGTACTAATTTTCCACTTAATTACGGTTGTTATGGTTGTTTATGGGTGTGAACCTGCTGAGGGAAGTCTGTGTATTTATCTTGGCTTTAGTGCCTGGGAAATGCTCAGAGAGCTTGAAAATGAGTCAGTAATGTTAGTGAACAAAGCTGCTGCTCCAAGCTGTGCAGTAATACTTTTCTTTTTTTGAGATCCAAACTTAAAAAGAAAAAAGGACATGTCTCCAAATGCAGTAGAACGTGATGATGTGGTTAGTTTGCCCAAACTGCTACTTGTAGCAGTCTTAATGAACCTGGCAGTGGGAATCCCAAGGGATGCTTGATTTGATGGTGTCTGCATTTTGTGTGTATTATATGCCATAGCAATTCATGTTGGAGGGCTTCAGATTTGGAGATCCACTTTCTCAGTGAAAAAATTGGGATACATGAGTGTGTGCTGTAAGTTCTCATTCTTGGCTAGTTTGATAGCAGAATTTCTTTGGTGTTGCATCCCAGGAGCCTGTGTGTATATGAATTTCATAATATTTCATGTTTTGATATAGGTAATTTAGAATAAACTCTGTCCTTGTACATGTTAGTCCAGCAGACTCACCTTTAGGTTGTAGCATTTAACAGTCACATAATGACATGCTTGTAGGTCTGACTCTGTCCAGTGGAAAAGTGATTTTACTATTATGACCTGCAGAGTTGCTTTTGGGACTCAGATGTGGGGGTAAAGAGAATCCACAAGAGGATCCTTTCTCTTCCTCTGGAAAAGCTGGACAGCCGTTGAAAAGGCATCATCTGTATTTCCTGTCTTTCTTGTGTTTCCTTGAAACCTTTGTGTAGAAGCCAGGAAGGAATAGAGAACCACAAGTTTATAAACAATTTAGAGTCTGTGTTTTGTTTTCTGACATTAAATGATCATTGCACCTCTTCCTCCCTGCTGGTTAAGCACAGCCTTGAACCTAACATCTGAAATAATCATTCTGTGTGATTTTACATGGTTTTTTTGCTAGAAACTTAAAATTTAGAGTGCGAACATCTCTGTTCCTCAGAACACCCATAAGAAAGGGAATTTTATGATCCTTTCTTATCTGTTGAGACAAGTAGGTAGAAAACAAGCTCTGGGAGAAAAAAAAGGAAGAAAAATAGTTTGAGTTTTGTTTTTTAAATAAGAGGGAATTGTAGAAAGGTGATGGAGTTGACCTCATGCAAACATGTCTGATATTCCTAATCTCTCAATTGCAGTGTAAACACTGTTGCTGAAATTGCATGAGACAAATGTGATGCTGACTCTTCCTTTGTTCTGTTTCTTAGATGCAGTAAGACCCTTTTTCCTACTTCTAAAAGTTGCTAAGTTTTCTCTTGATTTGGACACACTGCTGGTAAGTACTGGATCCATTTAAGACAACATCTGTTTTGCTGCTGTCTTAATCAGGGATCTGTAAATGTAGCTATAATTATAGCCAGCAGTATTTGCAAGATGGGACAAGTCTCCCCTGATGATCATAGACAACTTACTTATTTGCAGTAATTTACTATTGTAAATGAATTTTCAGAAGCAGTGGGTTTCTGAAGCTGGTCAGTCATGTGTTTATTCCAACTGCTTCTCATAGAGCTTTGTCTTGGAGAATGCCCTGTCTGCAGGGCATTCCTACCTCGAAGTTTTATCCAGGTAAAGGCTAGCTCTTTATGAAAAAGCAAAAGTATCAAGCTTGAGGAGAACAAAATTTGATGCTATATTAGATTTACCCCTCAAGCTCATTTGTTATAAGTTCCATTTTCTTGCAAGTTGATTGTGTTGACCTTACTGAAGCTGAGGTTAAGCATAATATTAAATCAATTATGGTGGCAGTAAGTCTCAGGTCCCCCTACCCAGGGGTTATCCTGTTAATGACCCACCATCTGAAAAGGCTACTGCCATGAGAACAGTAGCTTGTCCACCCTCAGCTACTCTTAGCAACAACATAATGCCATCTTTTTGATGAATAAGGTACATTTTTAGCATAAATGTTGTTGTCATTGTTTCTTTTCACCAGTGCTTCTAAAGAAGAGTATGATCAACACTTAAATGGTGCCCACACTCCATTGCAATCCTTCAGGGTTAGATGGTATAACACAAATGACTAATATTTTCTTAAGAAACAGATTGGACTTCATTTTTTGTCTATAAATAATCAATAGAGTGCTGGCTATCTATATGGCTTGCTTTTAGTCTGTTTCCAGTATACATGGGAATTCCTTATCTGAAAACTGGAACTCCCTGGCCATTTGATGTAGAAGGAGAGCAGGGGGATCAGATCCAGATTTCTCTTTGGTTGCAGCCATGTCTGTAACCTTTCTGCAATACAGATACTCAGTTACTTGTATATGTGTTAGGTAAAACTTCTGGTACCTAAAGTGTTTTATGACTTTAGACAAATATGCACATTGCAGTATAATGATTTGGAAGAAATTTCAGGAGGAGTTTATAACAATTTGGAAAGTATCTGCTCATTTTTAGGTACTGTAATTCTTAGTGTCTAGCTTCAAGTACACTCTGGGGTGAATGCTCAGTGCCTATTATGAATTGGGCTTCTTTAAAGTGCCTTGAGCATGCAGAGAAGGGATAACTCTAGTCTTTTTTTTTCTTTACTTTTCTTTGTTGTTTGGTTGGTTTTTAAAGACCCATCATTGAGACTGTTTCCCAGGAGCTCTGCAGGCAAGGGGTGATACTAGGGACACAGACAGTGGTTATATTGAAAAGGAAGCAGTATTCTTCAACACTAGGTCTGAAGAGGAAAATGTGAAAGGTGAAAAGTTGCCTGCTTTCTGTAATTGTGTGCTTGGACAGTTGGTTTTGAAAGGCAAAAGTAGTGTGGAAGAACTGTCAGTTGCTTTTGAAAAATTCATAGTAAATTACTCAACAGAGCCTCCACCACTAGCTCACAGCTCTCTCAACAGTTTGGCCTATATAAAATGTGTATAGCTGCCTACATATGCATTCCATGCCAGTCTAATGATGCGGCTTTTAGGCAACTCCCTTTTACTCACATAGCAGCGTGGTAGAACTGAACATGCACTGTGATACTATATCTGGGCTGAAGAGAGGGAGCTACCAGCTGAGGACAGGTGAACTTAAATCAGGCTCACTCAGTGATACACCTTCTTCACCTGGACTCTGTGACAAAGTCCATGCAGTGACACAGGGTGAAAGGCTGCGTAGACTCGCACAATGAAATGTGTTCCTTTTTCATCTTGAACACAGTGAATTTAGCAGTCTGTCAGATGAGCAGTCACAACAGTGTGAAATAATCTGACATTTCATTAAAGCGTGAATGTGGTAGTGTTACTGCTGTCTAAGTGTGTCAGACAAAGAAAGTGCCACAGAGTTAGTGCCTACCAGCTGCCATGTAAGTTTATTAACCTACCACTAGTCAACTATAGTTAGTCCTGTGTCCATAAACTTTCACTTACTGATTTTCTTTCATATTTTTCTTTTTAATTGCAGGAAAAACTTCTGTGGGCAAACATGGGCTGCCGGGATGTTCATGCAGCAACTGTACTGGCCTTCCTCAGTGGAACAGCCTCAGTCGCCGGCCTCCTTGCAGCAGTTCTGCTTCCAAACTGGAGGCAAATGAGACTGTACACATACAACAAGAATGAGAGGAATGTGACCGTTTACACTGGACTCTGGATTAAGTGTGCTCGCTTTGATGGGAGCAGAGACTGTGTGATCTATGACCCACAGTGGTACACTGCTGTCGATCAGCTGGATTTGCGTGTTCTGCAGTTTGCCCTTCCTCTGAGTATGTTTACTGCTGTCTCAGCTCTGTTTCTCTGCATGATTGGCATGTGTAACACAGCCTTTGTATCCACCGTGCCAAACGTCAAATTGGCCAAATGCCTTGTGAACAGTGCAGGCTGCCATCTCGTGGCTGGCCTCTTGTTCTTGCTTGCCTGTGCCATTTGTCTCACTCCGTCCATCTGGGTCATTTTTTATAACAATTATCTGAACAGAAAATACGAGCCTGTCTTTAGCTTTGACATCTCTGTGTTTATTGCCATTGCCAGCGCTGGCGGTCTGTTTTTCACCTCCATCCTGTTGTTCCTGTGGTACTGTGCATGCAAAAGCCTCCCTTCCCCATTCTGGCAGCCCCTGTATTCCCACGCCCCCAGTATGCACAGCTATGCCTCGCAGCCCTACTCCGCACGCTCCCGCCTCTCTGCTGTAGAACTTGACATTCCTGTTGTGACACATTCATCTTAAGGAGACAAAGTCTTGGAAGCTGAGCTCTTGTGTTCATTCAAACCATGAAAATTGCAGGCTTGATTCTCTCCGCTGCCCTGCGCTGAGCATAATCCTTTGTAAGGTCAAGTTTCCCAGGGCGCAAAGCAATGGAGATCCACATTCAGCAAGTTCGTTGCTGTTCTGGTCTGTTTGTTACTTCTTGAACAACTTGGTTTTTTGCGTTTTTTTTGTTGGTTTTTTTTTTAACTCTGAGCTCACTACAGACAAAATTGCTGCTAATGCTGGGACAGTACTCTAACAATAGTATCCATCCATTGTTTTGCTTATTGACATCAAAGCAGGTTTGAACCCCTTAGATATTTGATAAGCTATTACTAGATGCTGATCCTGTTGTAAGACCCTTGCACCCACGTATTATCCAGATGCAGGCAGTGGAACTGAGTGAAGGAGATTCACCAAGTTTCCTGTTCATCTAGACACACATATTTTATGATGTGATGTCTGAAAAGGGTATTTGGCAGACTAATTCAGTTCTGTGCACTGTTCTTTGTTTTTCACTGCACACACAAAAAGCTACTCGCTTAGGAACTTCTCTAGCAGAATTAATGTCAAATTACCCTTTATTTTCAAAGTAGCCATCAGAAGGAATAAAACTGATTTAACTAAGAATGTTGGTTTGTGCTGTAATAGCATTTTGTGAATTACTGGAGGCTAGAAATTTTTTGCAAATTTTATATCTAGTCTCTTTTTTACTAAGTTAGCAAATTCATTAGATCTATTTTGTCATTAAAACAAAAACCACTAGTATTTAAGAATTTTGTTTAGAAGCTTGAATGTTTTATTTGAAGGCCTTCTTAAAAATGGATTTTCAAGTAGGATATAAAGTGTTCAGTTCTGGAGAGAAATGTCACACTACAAAACGGATTAGGAAAGCCGGATTAGGAAGAATTCTGAAGGCTATGGGAGATTCTTTTGGAACACTGTACACAAGCTATAACAACATCTCTCTAGGAAGGGGATTATATCCCCAGGGAGATATTTTTTAATCTAGATTTTTTTTTAAAAAATGTATATACAAGTAGCAATGAGCTTGTGTGTTTTTCAGAGTTGATCTTTATGGTTGTTGGACTTTTCACACCATTGCTTATTTAATTAGTGATTAAGGCTTAATCTTTTCAGCCTTGTTCTTCAACACCTTTCAAATTCAGCTATTTTAAAATCCACTTATTTCCTCTGCTGCCACCTCTCAACTGCAGAAAGTTTCCCATTCCTATTTTCTGTAAGATGAGGTTTTGAATAACTTGTGAGCTTCACCTTGTAGCTCTACAAGGATGAGGAAGGACTGTAAATTCCCAGCCTGGGATGTCTTTAAATCACTTTTTTTCCTTTTAAAATGCAGAGTGGCAGGTGAGCCCTAATGATCATAGCTCTTCAGTGTGGGCTTTGAAATTACTTGGAAATTTGATGACAGTGAGTTGAAGAGTGCTATAATTAAGGCAAGTATTTGATTCTTTCAGATTTTGGCAAATTGAGATCATATGTTTAAGATGTCATCCCAGTAGGGAAAGCTGTTTTGATTGGTGGCATTCTGGCGCTTAGTGGATATTTGCATTTCATTAATTCCAGAATAAATTTGCTTTTCTAAAAAAATCAAGTTCTTTAATTGCAGTTCTGAAAAATCATCCAAGGTCCTGGAAAATCAGTTAGTTTCCTCTTCTAGGTATTAGAAATGGGAACAAATACTGTGCTGGGCAAATCTTGTTCTGTTAACTAACAGTATGTTAAGAGGAATCATTGTGATTTAGCTGATAGACATCGGACTTCAGTGGATTGAGGGAGGAAGCCGATCTCTGTCATAAATTCTCAGCATAGTCAGTGAAACAACAGTCCTTTCCTGCAGAGCGCTTGATTAAATTGCAGTCTAAGGAATTAACACTGTAGATGATAAAGAATACTTAGAGATAGGCCTCTAAAGTTACTAAAGTTACTCTAAACCTTCTTAGGTTTACAAGGTATGAGAGTATGAAGTATCTTTTTTCTTTCGTATAATGATGTGCAAGACAGCTTTTTTTCTTCCAAACTGAGCTTTGCTTTACTGTTACTCTGGTTGCCCAGCTGTAGATACTGTTGCTGTTTTAGCTGCCCATGTCCTTGGATGCTATGTAAGATCAAAGCAAGGGGGCCACTGGTTTATGATTTCACATCAGCTTGTCTCCCCATCACTTCAGTGTCTTTTCTTCTTTGTGCCTTGCTTAAGTTTTGAGTTGGTCAGTAAATGTTACTTTACAGTCAGTGTCTGATATGCTTTTTGAGCCTGAATTTACAAAGCATTTTGATCATTTTGGAGAGATGATCAATATATTTCTTGGCGATTTTAAAAGGAGCTGAATCTTCAGCATCTCCAGAACAAGAATGGCATCCTGGCAAAGTGTTTTCTACAAGAATGTAAGTAAGTGCAGCCAGTGTTGTTTTCTGTGCACTTTAATAGCAGATGTCTCTGACAGCTCTTTTGTATTCTGACTTTGATTTTTATGCACAAAACTTTCAATGAGTATTTGCTGCTGCCTAAGCTGATAACTTGTTGCTTTGAAAATTGTGTCTTTCCAAAAGTCTGAGATGAACGAGTTACAAAAAGCGGAGATCCAGAAGTTATTGGATTCCAGTGTAGGTCCCAGCAAAAAGACTGTCGCATCATGTTGTATCACCAAAGCACGGCTGAGTTTCTTTCAACAGTGCTTTTAATGTGAGTTTCTGCTGGATCCCAAGTGAAGTTATCTGGAAGTGCTGTGCTGTATTTCCTTTGTTACAGAAAGAGGTGGCCAATCTGTGACACTTGAGTCAGCTTTTCTCTTGCTAAGGTTGCCATGGTGCCCAGCTCCAGGGTTGGGAAATGACAGGCCTTCCTGTTTTGAAGAAAACAACACATGTATCCTGCATATGTCTGCCAGGGAACAAACAGCCTCTGGGGAGCAGTTAGCACCCCTGCCTCTGATCAGCTGCACCTTACTGAGCACTTTGCTGAGTGCAGGACAAGCACTCTTGGTCTTGAACACAGATTTTAATTTGTGGCTCGTGCAGTCAAAGGTTGGGTGCTCTGGGATTACAGGAACCTGTATTCTTTCAAGTAATTCCTGTCCAACTTCTTAAATTGTGTTTAGTTACAGTGTTGGTTCTTTTTATGTGAAACAGAAGATATGTATTTTTAATAAAACAGTCTCATACAGATGCAGTTTATGTTGATTAATTTTGTGGTAAACAGTAACTACTAGAATACGAAAGACTTTACCTGTTTTGATAATGATCACCAGACCATTTCAGGTGCCTTAACAGGTTTAAAATGTTGTGCATACTGCATTTTAACTCCCTAATTTTATAGGACTTCTTTAAACAAAACAAAATAATTTTAAGAAGCACCAAAAAACCCAAACAAATGCTTCTGAAAGCTTGACTGATATTTGTAATTTCACTCTATTGTAAGCTAGTCCTAAGAAGTTCTAGCATCCCTTTCCCCTTTAAAAGGATGAGAGTGATTTCCCTTAGGCTAGAGGATTCCCTTTCTCTGCCTGTGGCCAGAGTGTGGTCTGGCAGCCAGGATATGGCCCAGCCCCACAGAGAGCCAGAGTATCAGTGTGGCGCAGCAAAGAGCACAGTCCTCACTCTGTGCCCAAAGCCCCATCTCTCCCTGTGTCAATTCTGCCACTTAACCAGTCCAGCTTGCTAACACAGCTGAAAACTTCCATGCTGGGATAACATTTCCATGGACTGGTGAGATTTGTGTTGTGTTAGTGTCACACTAGAGGGGGATTGTGGCATAAGCCATCTTTTTGCCCTTCCCTTTGCTGTGCCAGCTGTGCTGTGAGCTGGAGAAGGTGCTACTGCCTGGACACATGAAAGTCGTTTAGACATTCCAGAGACTTGCGACAGTCCGGAGCAACGGTGATGTTCATGATGCTTCACTTCTCTTGTGTGCTGCTTCTGGCAACTGCAGCTCAGCAGCGCTACAGTGACTCAGTACTGAGCCTTTCCCCACTGTTATGGGGTAAAGTACAAACCCTTTGAGTGTTAGAAATGCTGATGCCATCAGGGAAGTTCACAAAACCTGAATTATTTATGCAGAATGGAGTGAGGCTTGCTGGTAATTCCTCTGGATTTCTAGTCTTCAACCTGGCATTCTAGGAGGTGGGGTTTTTATCTGCTTGGGGAAGTAATGGTTATATGAGTTCTCATGGAGTCGGCACAGTATAAAGCAGTTGTCAGTACCACAACTCACTTGAGGGGCTGGAAAAATGATTTTATAGTCGTCTTCATTTCCTCCTTTGCTGTCCCTTTCAGACAGGCCTCCTATCTCTACGAGCTGGTATAAACTTAGGGTCTAGTTGGATGTTGATATAAATACTGGGATGCAGTGAGCTCAGCTTCTCCCAAAATGTGGGAATGCCTCACTTTTTTCATATTAAAATTCCTAAAAAACCACCTATTTGTGCTCGTTCAAAACAAATCTCTTGGCTGTTTTTCTCCCTTGTTTTATTTCACAGGACTGGAGTTCACATATGTGGTTCATCAGGTATGTAATGTTACTTGTCCCTTCACGTATCTACTGAGCAGGCAGGTAACACACCTCAGAAGCAGCATAAGCTTTTTTGTATGTTTTTTTGTTCCACTGCTGCATCAGTATTCATCAAGAGGGACATACAGAAGCCTCATCAGAGGGTAAGAAGGTAGTTTCTAATGTCAAAACTGCTTTTTATCTGCATTCCAAACCGTCAATTTGCGTATTCAGGTATTAGACTCCTAGGTATGGGAGCTTTGTCTTTTGGGTGTGGCAGCTGCAAGGAGATGTAAAGGCTGAGCGCAGGGCAGCAGCAGTTGTGGTGAGCTGTAGGGTAGGAGTGATTGACTGTTTTGAGGAGAGAGAACAGACAGCTGGACTTCAAGAGTAATTAAAGCTCTAAGTATCTGAATAAGCTTTCCTCAGCACCAGACTCCCAGAAGGTTATAAGCGAACTCTGAAAACACAGCATTAAAAGTACTGCCCAAGCAGTACTTGGGGACTTGGGGACCACAGATGTTGACCGAATGCTCAGCACCACTTCCTAGCTATATGCCATCCCAGAAGATGGTGTTTAGCCACCACTGCCAAGGCTGGCATTTTAGCACCAAAGCCCAGTGCTCTTCAGTCTCTCTCTGATCTCACCACCCCAAATTACAGACCTTCCACCAATCAGAGGGGTCTGTAACCATTGATATTACACTAGTTTTCTTCCCAAAGCCACAACATATGTATAAATAAATATTTAAGATCACTTAAAAATTCACATTGGAGTTTAAATAAATACTAGCAGTTATGTCAAAAATAAGTTGTTTCCTAAACCAGGTCCTGGTACTGCAGACACTTTCCAACCTACTATTCAAAAGACTTCAGCATGTGCTTTTTTTTTTTAATGGACTTAAACAGATGTAAATATATTCTGCTACCGGAAGATGAAATCATGTCTTAATGCTCCTTTTGCATCTTCTCTGCTTATTTAGTTTTCAGCCCCCTGGGTGGCTAATCTAGTCTGCCTCCTGGTCACAAGCACAACTGCCAACACAAATCTGAGTGGAAGTAGAAGGGCAAGATGGCAGCTTTAGGTTGATTCTCTGTGATGCCTTACTTTGATGCCTTTGTTTTCTCACTTAATGAGCAATTTGCATAAGAAAGAGTCTGTTAATTTGAAAATTTTTTAAAGTGGTTTGTGTTTAGTAATTGTAGAAGCTGTTGAAAAATGCTGCATTTGGAGAAAAATGTTGAACATCTATTAGCAAGACAAAAAAATCATGTTTCAAAACATTTCAAAGTTTGTTCCCTTTCATTTTATCCTAATTCACTTAGAAAAAGATGGTATGGCAAGGAAAAGAGGCAGTGAAGCACAAAAAAAAGTTGACTTTCTGAATTTGAAGATTAGATTCTTTAGAGTATATATGTATGAAGAAAACTGCTCATGATATTAGTAAGAAAAGAGGTATTTTTTAATCAATTAATAGTGCCAGATATTAAGATATATGGATTAGCTTATAGGTTGTATGGGAATGGTTTAGTGTTATCTGTAGAGACTCAGCACCAGGGGTTACTATTATTTCACTGTTTTGATTCTAATCAAGTCAGGAACAATAAAATGCTCAGGTTCTTTCTACTGTTGTGCTAATATATTCTACAGACAGGTTGTTTCCTGGCAAAAGTATCATCTTGGGAAGCAGCTGAAAAGTAATTGCATTCTCACAAAACGGGATGAGTGGAGGGCATGTTTTTACAGTACAGCTTCAGATCAATCAGACTGCACAAATTTAGCTGCCTTCTGTTGCTGACTATTCTGCTTGATTAAATTATACATCTCCCAGGGAAGGCCTTGAGAATAACAAGCCCAGTCATCAAAAAAACATTCACCTTTCTGCTCTTCGTTAGGCTTGTGATGCAGGCACTTTCAGGTCTAACTTGCTATCTGCAACTCGGACTAAATGCTGTTGACCTCCTCAGCTGCAGGGGTGAGGACATCTCCCTTGCAAATAATTGGGAGAGTCAGCCTAACAGCTGGGAAAGAGCTGGCTCTGCAAGCTTGGTGGCACACCGGCAGCCACAACACGTGAGCTTTCCGGCACTGCAGCTTAGCAAATAGCAAGGTGTTGGTGGGGCTTTCAGCAGTTCTTGTGTCAGCCGCTGCTGAGTTATGGAGTTCGTCGCTCATTAAGGTACATCAGTTCCAGTTGGTTTGCATGTACGCTCTCAAATGCCATGTGGCTGCCCCTTAATTAGCCAAGGAGTTATGAGAACCTTGAGAACCACTAATCTTGATGGCTGATGCCTCACTTGAGAAGTCCTCTGAGAGCTGTAATTCTCTCTGGCTTTCAGTGCTAATCTGCTTAGAGCTGCTATAGAAGATCTTGAACACTGGGCAGAACAGAATTTGCTTGGAGTAGATTTCACTACTCACGGTAAGATTCAAACACATCACAAGGACTTCTTGGTTTAAAACACAGGTAAAGAACTCAAAAAGGTCTTATTAGATAGATAAAATGAAAACAACATAATTTGATGAAATATGCCCCTGAGCTGCTTGTGTATGCATGGTAAAGTACTAAAATGCTGCAGCTTTCATTTGATTCTCAAGTCAGCCAAGTAAATTACCTTTTCTTTAGAAGAAATATTGCATTTGACAGTTTCTGTCCTTAGAAAATTGTCCTTTTCTTCTAAGAACCTTTCTGTACATCATACCTCTCTGTTTCATGGATGGCCTCATGCCCAAAACAATTCCAGGGTCCTTTGCCTGCTTTCCTAGCATGGCCAAGTCAGTTCTCTGGGTTCAGATGTCCACAGCAGCCCTCAAGGAAGTATATTTTACAAGACAATATCTCAAATGACACCTCATTATTTTTGCAGGGCACCAGAGATGCCATGAGGGGCTGTAGAAGCTCCTGTATGGTTTGTCATAGGTAACACAGCCTATGACTGGATTTGCTTGAATGTTATTGTAAATTAGCAAACTAAAATTGATCATGCTTCCTGGGTTGGTTCCGGAAATTATTTTTTCTCACAGCTTTTTTTACAATGTTTTGCATTTCATTTTGTTATTGATAATCCTCTACTGTAGTAATTTAACACATTTTCTTGGCTTTATTTCTGGCCCCGCTGTCACTTCTGTCTCCTAAGAGGAATAAACACAAGTTCCTAATGGCAGAAAGCTATTAATTTGTTTTCTTGAGCTCTTAAAGTTTCCTCTATGCTTTGAAATTACTATTATATTCCTGAAAATAATGCCTGTGGCCAACCACTATGCCTGTTGTGTCTCTTGTCACTTATCCAAAGTGCACAATTGTAACTGAACATAAGAAGGGAAGATGTAGCAGAAGGCAGGACTTCCTTGTCCAATGGCACAAACATGGAGGAAAAAAAATCAGAAATTTGGACATCAGGTTTAAATTGAAAATCCCCATTCAGTATATGATCCACCCATAAACAAATCTGTCACCCACTGTCTAGAAAGAAATGATCTGTAAATCAAAGCAAGGATTCGATCAGAGTTGTTTTGAAAATGTTTGGTGTAAAAGCAGGCATTTGTAAACTCCCAGATTCCCAACATCCCAGTTCTGTAGCACAAGCACAAGCAGGGAGATTTGGACAGGATGCTGTGTTCACTGGAACATTTGTAATGCTACTACCTTCTGAAAGTTCTCTGCTTTGGGTAATAC